TTGTTATAGAACTAAACAAACGTTCAAGTCACAGTTGTTATAAGTTATATACAGTCGGCAGAGTTAAAGTATGTCTAGAATTGTTGGTAATGTCATCATGACCGCAGCGTTTAAACAGCACTAGTAGCCTCGTACAGTACCATATATTATCATCGCGGGGAAGCGCTAAACCTGCATGGGTCATACAACGCCTAGGGAACAGGAGGTTATCAGGGGTAGCTCCAGTTCAGTAGATCAAGATCCCTTCACCAGCATTAACACTGATGTAGATGGTAGCACAACGAGGTGGTATATCTAATGTTAGGTTAAAAACTAAAAGAAAAACATCACAGCTGGTGCTGATGAGGCTAACAGATGGTCATAGCGACCAGGGAAGTAAATAGACTTGATGAAGCCACACTATATTGTTACAAATATATCTACTTAACAGTAGCGATGCTATATTTGTGTACTATAACAAATATGTCTAATGAAAGAAAGGACGCTATACAACAATGCATCTCATAAATTTGTACCATATTATGTAATAAAATATACCTATTGGTAAAAAAGAATGAAAAGATGGGGTGGTAGGGGAAGTGGAATATTCCAACGGCTTCAGGAAGAAATCCAAATATTCTGTCCTTGAAGCCTTTTTATCCATTTCTTCGAGGCTATGGGTCTCATAACAAGTATATCTATTTTAAAAGGGAACGCCATATAGTATAACAAGTATATCTATTTAAAAAAGGACGTTGTACAGTATAACAAGAATATCTACTTTAAAAGGTCTCTATACACTATAGCTGTATAGCCCTTGTGGCTTAGCGCTTCTTTTTGATTATAATAATAATCTATACACTATAACAAATATGTCTATTTAGAGCAGGGACGCTATATACATAGTGCTTCCTGGAAGCCAGTGAGGTACTCTTGATCAAAGGACACCTGACTTACCCTCCTTTGGATCGAACCTATTTACTTTCATTCCCCAGGTGCTGTATGGCTCCTACTGGTTTAGCACTCCCTCTTTCTCTCATGAATGTCAGTTTTTTTAATAAATGAGTACTGTAAGATATTAAATGCATTAAGAGGACAAACACATTATGGTTACTTTAAAAGCTGGCTCACCAAACATTAGCCCTTGTGGTTTAGCGCTTCTTTTTTATTATAACAATCACCAAACATTTATCTTCTTTGATGTACTGACGTGTGTTTGGAAATCGATCCCGTGACCTTGTGATTGTGAGTGAAATGTTCACACCAGTGTGCAACGTGTCACGCCTCCCATGGTGATGGAAGTACAGCTGGGGTAGTGGGAAGGAAGGTTGACAGTGTGTGTGGGAGGGTGACGGTGCAGTCTACTCACTATACCAACATACATGATAGTATATATACGCTGCAAGTGTCAACCTCACACATTCCTACCATCCCTCGAGGGTAACACCGGCTCCATTGTTCCCTCATCTTGTCATCAAACTTAGTAACAAAGAAGTGAGTTAATTTTTAATTGCATGTAATTTACTGATAAGTTAAAATTCGTTTAAACATCAGCCATTTCCCACCAAGGCAGGTTGACCCAAATTTATAATCATGGGGGAGCAATAAACCCGTTGGATTATACAGCGCCTGTGGGGAGGGGTATGGAAGGTATTCAGACTCAATTCAGGGAACTGGCGCACAGATCCAATTCCCTAGATCAAGAGCCCCTCACCAGCATCAAAGAACCTTCTTTGAGGTGACGTTGACCAGAAGATCGTATGAAAACACTTCACCATTGCTCGTTCCTGAGCTGTCTTTCCAGAAGTGCTTAGACACCGAGCCACTGAACAACAACATCCACACACATTTTTTTCAAAGCGCAGGTAAATTACTTCCCACCTCAAAAAACTCCAGTCCTGTTAACCGGTTGCAAGATCATGGTTTAGGTAACCAAAAAGGGGTACATAAAGTAATTAAATTTTTCTTCCTCCAAGGTTTTCGTTTAAACTACGAATAGTGATAAACTATATAACTTTTTGAAAGTTTATGGAACCATTGTAATGTGCAGGTGCCATCTGGTAAATTTTATATAGACCATTCGAGGTTTTTGGTTGTCACGGGAATACTTAGGAAAGCCTCTTCCGATTGGCGTCAAATTTTCAATACTGGAATATCCTCCGTAGGAGAAGGTCCGGGTTGTTATTAGAGTAAGTGTCAGTTTGTCAGTTTTTGTTTTTAAAATAGTGTTTTATTTTTTAATAATAACAATCTTTATTTCTTCGAGTACATGTACAAGGTATACAGGCCTAGCTGACATCAATGTAATACGACTATATAGCAAACTGCTTGTTATGCAGAGCATTTCGGTTAAATTAGGTAAATTGTCCCCAAGATGCAACCCACACTAGTTGGATAACTCTAAGTGAACAGGGACAACAGGTGTGTTAAGGAAACACGTCCTAATGTCTCCACCCGCACCGGGGATCAAACCACGGTGCTTATTGTGTAAGCTGAGTGAGTTAGCAATCGAGCTAAAAAACTTTAGGATGCTTGAAAGAGCGCGTGTTAGCTCTCATTAGTTAATTACTGTAGTAACTAAGATGTAAGAGGTGCTGCAGCACCTACCTTCCTAGTGAGCACCAACAGTCACTATCATCACAGCTGGCCATGGTCAGTAACTTCAGGTGATCACGATATGTTGAATTCCTAGACAGGTTTCATTTTTATAGTTCAGTACCAGTGTGTTGTGACGGCTTTTAGCTGTAGCTGTCATTCTTCTTTGGTTTTAGCCCTTAGCTATGATGATGGTAAGCCTTTGGCTCTTGAATACTCCTATACTTTTCTGGGGAGAGGGAGGGGGGAAGTAGTTGTCATTCTTTTCGTGTTTGGTTGTGGTTGTCGTTCTGGGATGTGCAGTTGTTTGAGTTTGTGTGTGTGTGAGAGAGATAGATAGATAGATAGATAGATAGATAGATAGATATCAGCGAAATAGTTGACCAATGGAAATCGGTGGCCCACAGATGGCACTAACTTCATTCTGTTCCCTATTTGCATGTCTCATAAAAATAAAAAGGGCTTTCAAATGAGCTAATGTAGGTACTAGTTCTTAGCTTGTAAATTAAGTTAGGAACCTTAACCTAACCTTGTAAAACCCCGTGTAGAGAGAGAGAGAGAGAGAGGGGGGGGGGTACGTGTGAGAGTGAGTGCATTTACAGTGAAGATTCCCACCTGGTACTTCCATGAACCACTTAGATCAATGCAACTCACCCAGCAACAGTACAACTAGTTAGAAGCAACAGTGTCTTCCAAGTTCAAGGGTTAACCTCACTGTTACCTTCAAATGTTTGTTTTAGTAAAAATAGATTTATTGTACGTGTATATACAATTTAGCTCCTAATACAATGTACTGAGGTTGTGATAGTGTGCACACAGGCTGTATAAGGTGCACAAGGTTTGTATTGAAGCGTGCACAAGGTGCAGTAAAGCGGCACACAGCTGCAGTAAGCGTGCACACAGGCTGCAGTGAGCGTTACACACAGGCTGCAGTGAAGCGTGCACACAGGCTGCAGTGAAGCGTGCACACAGGCTGCAGTGAAGCGTGCACACAGGCTGCAGTGAAGCGTGCACACAGGCTGCAGTGAAGCGTGCACACAGCTGCAGCGAAGCGTACACACAGGCTGCAGTGAAGCGTGCACACAGGCTGCAGTGAAGCGTGCACACAGGCTGCAGCGAAGCGTACACACAAGCTGCAGCGAAGCGTACACACAGGCTGCAGTGAAGCGTGCACACAGGCTGCAGTGAAGCGTGCACACAGGCTGCAGTGAAGCGTGCACACAGGCTGCAGTGAAGCGTGCACACAGGCTGCAGTGAAGCGTGCACACAGGCTATAGTGAAGCGTGCACACAAGCTGCAGCGAAGCGTGCACACAGGCTGCAATGAATTGTGCACACAGGCTGTGCAGACTTCACTGCAGATTGCATACATGATTTTAAGGTAAGGAAAACAGGAGACGGAATGAATAATTGGAGAGGAGCTGTATACCTGACAAAAAAAAAAAGCCTGGTGGTTAGAATAGAACATTGATCAGATAAATTAGACTCCATATTTGTGGTTTAATATCAGAGTGTGCAGCACCAGCATGGAGCCCACACCTGACAAAGCACGTCTTGTGACTGGATCAAGTGCTGAGGTTAGCAATAAGTCAGAGAGCCTAAGAGAATACCTGTGAGGAGAGACTAAAGGAAATGAACCTAAACAAGGCAACTAAAAGAAGAGAGAAGTGAGACATGATCACACCGTACGTGATAATTAGAGTTGATGGAATGCAAATTGGAATACCGTTTTAAAGGTTAGACGTTTAGTCACAGGTTGATCGATAAGTGACATGGCAACTAGGATGAGAATATTCACGAGTAAATAAACAAATGCACACACACTGGAAAGGGAGGTGGTGGAGGCAGGATCCATACATAACTTTAAGAAGAGGTATGATAAAGCTCACGGAGCAGGGAGTAACCTACTAGCGACCAATGAAGAGGCGGGGCCAGGAGCTATGCTCAACCCCTGCAACCACAGTTAGGCGAGTACACAAACCAGGCCAGGTGTCTATCGTCAAGTGCCTTTGATCACTAGTAACTACTAACTATTATAGGGAAGAGAAGGAGATTAACAGAGAAGAATTTCGGTTAAATTTGAGGAAACTGGAGAAGCCAAAAACAAAGAGACGAACTAGGATCTTGAGGGTTAACAGAAGTGTTGAGAAATTGTCTATGGGTGGATGACCAAGTTAAAAATTAAACGGAGGCGAATTGTAGGTCCATGAATGTGTGGTACTGCGTTGTCTGATGTAAAGTATATATAATATTTATAACGAGGATAAATTGTATATAAACTTATAGTAACTGCAATGAATAAATATATACTATATATATATATATATATATATATATATATATATATATATATATATATATATATATATATATATATATATATATATATATATATATATATATATATATATAAAATTTAATTTTCAGGTGTGTGTGTTACGGAGATGGGAAGTAGCGTTGCCACACAATTTAGATGTTCCTGTTGGCGACATTACCTAGCTTATCTACGTCATTGGGCGAGTATACTCACACTTTTTTCTATACATATACACATTTTTATCTTTTTTTCATGGTACAGGATATAAGTTCACTTTTTTACGTTCAAATGGTGTTCTCTTTGTGCAATTGGTTACATCATTAATTTCAATTCTCAGCTCGCTATCAGTGTTCAATATTTATCAAGGTTCTTGCAATTTTATCATTATAAATAGATAATATAACTACCGTGTTTTCCGGTATATAAGGCGCACGATCATTTGAGACATGTAAAACGTTGTATTCAAGCAGTTGTTATGTAACGTTAGTAAACACCTGCTAAAGTGTAACCCAAGTCTGCCCTTGACCCTGACCTTGAGCATATAAGGTGCAGGCTGATTTTCCAAGACTTTTTATGGGGAAAAAAAGCACAGCTTATATGGCGGACAATACGGTAATATACAGGATAAGACATAACCAGCTTACCATACTTACCATGAATAATGTGTGTGTCTAGCTGCATTTGTTTGACAACTATTTGAATATGCTGGGTGCAGTAGTGAGTTGACAAGTTTGTTTAGTACAAATTCCATTTTATTGATTGTAAACACTTTTTTTTTTTAATTTTACAAGGTTGCAGGAGCACAACCGAACTTAGCATAATCCTTTGCTACATGGATGTTAGTCGCCTCTGCACCAAGGCTGTGATCATACAATACTTATATTATCATTATACTCACGGGAAATACTTATAAATAAATTATGCATTTGTCTCCCTGCGGCCGCCATTGTACATGCAGCCGTGGGTGTTGGGGTCCGTTTTGCTGGCTGTGGCTCCCTTCATCTTACTGGCCTCCCTCAAGACCACCGCTCCTCCCTATCACCAACATGTCTGTAAGTGATGCGAATAATAATATTATAATCTATTTACTACAAGTGCATGTACAAGGTATACAGGCCTAGCTGACATCAGTGACATACTGCTATATAGAAAGCCACTTGTTACGCTGAGCATTTCGGGCAAATTAGGTCAGTTTTGTCCCAGGATGCGACCCACACCAGTCGACTAACACCCAGGTACCCATTTTATACTGATGGTTTAGAAAGCCAACAAGTTGATGAATGAGACTTGTGAAACATTTGGGAATGTGTCTCATTGTTCAACATGTCTGTAAGTACCAATTTATGTAGTTTCTCTCTTACAAGTTTGTGTACTCCGTGTCTGGCCTCCTCTCTTATTTCATAACTTTGCAATTATCAGGGGTGAATTCAAATAACTACTTTCCTGTTCCCATTTGCTTGTGTACTCATCTATACCTGCTTGTGGTTGCAGGGAGTCGAGTGCTAGCTTTTGGTAGCTCTCAACATTCTGCATGTCAGAATCACTCCCTTCAGCCCTACGGAATTTGTGCATGAGGATCAACAACATTCAATCACCTAAGACCTCTAATAACCCAGGAAAAGGCAGCAGTCAGAATAACAAATTCCCACTCCCGCCAGCATACTCCATCAATTTTCAAAAGTTTGAATCTGCTCACCATTAAGAATATCCATACTTATTCATGTGCCTACTACATACACAGAACAATACACGCAAATGTAAACCCTCCACTCAAACTTCTCACCAACCTTAACAGGACACATGACCATAACACAAGACGCAGATCTCTTTCTGATATACCTCGTGTCCATATCACACTGTAAAAAAAACTATGCACATAAAGGGCCCCAAAATTTGGAATTCATTACCAGAAGATACTAAAGTAACCCGGTCTGAAAATAAATTTAAGACTCTTCTCAAAAGCCACTTAATCACCCTAGACTAAATGCTAAATACTCAGTACACATTGTTGAGAGGAATATAATTGAATCATTGTTTTCACAAAAGCATTTTTTTAATATATGAATATATCTTTTGACTTATTAAATTAGATTCACTTATAATTAATAATCTACTGTACAACTATGATATCATTAATATTCTACTGTACAGCTACGACATAATTCTTAGTGTTAAGTAGTCTGTAAGCCAATAATGTTAAGTCGGCCCATAATGCCTAAGCATAATAGAGACTCTCTTTTCATTGGAACCCATTATTGTAAATACAAAATCTCAATGTACTATTTGCAAAGACATAAATAAATAAAATAAATGGGTCATATCATACCTGCTTTTAAAACTATGTACGGAGCCTGCCTCCACCACTTTATCGAAGTCATTCTATTTACGACACCCCGAGACCGAAGAAATACTTTCCTTATATCCCTGTGGTTTATTTGTGTCTTTAACTTCAGTCGTGCTCCCCGAGTACCTCTTTCCTGCCTCTCGAACAGTTTATCTCTGTCTACTCTGTCAATTTCTCTGGCTGTTTATCAATCCCAGTGTTCTGTCCTCCAATGTCGTTAGATTCATTTCCGTTAGCCACTTCTCAGCTGTTAACCCGTAGCTCCTGAACTAGCCTCATTGCATACCCTTACATTTTCTCAACTGAAATTTGCCAGACACACGCTGACTGCAGAAATCATTTGGCTGATGGAGCCTCTGGCGATATGCTAGGCAGTAAGCTCACCCCCTAGTTCTTTCTCTCTGAATAAGATCTGCAATCTGTCTCCCGAGTTTATACCCCATGTCTGGTCTTCTGGCTCCTTCCCCAATCTTAATAACTTTGCATTCGCTTGAAGTGAATTCAAGCAACAACTTATCTGACCAATTTTGCAGTTTGTCCATATGAATTTGAATTCTTTCCCCTGTCTCCATGTTTTTTTTTTTTTATCCTGATTAGTATTGCGTCATCAGCGAAAAGGATACTTCTGACACAACCAAATCTGTTATGGCATTCACACAAACCTATACTGGTCCTAATACTGATCTTTGAGGAACCTTGCTCGTTAATCTTCCCCATTCTGGCATTCTTCTTTGAACATAACTTTTTTCTTCCTCAAGGAAAAATGTTAGTTTCTTGTGGGGTACAGCATCAGATGCCTTCTTGCAGTCTAGAAAATCTAATCCCCCCCATCCCTACCTATCCTGTCTCGTCATAGAACTCCAACAGGTTCGTAAGACAAGATTTGCCGTCTCTGAACCCCTGCTGGTTATTATTTATGATACCACTTCTCTGCAAGTGCCCTGCTGTTCTCCTGGAAATCTCCATTACCTTGCATGTTATACAAGTCAGACAACTAGTTCAAAGCTTCCTGTCTGCCTCCTTTCTTAAATATTGGTACTATATTCTCTGTCTTCCAGATCTCTGGAAACTGTCCTGTATCCATTGATGTGTTGTAGATCTAAGTTAATGTTTCAGACAACTCTTCTGCTCCCTCGCAGAATCTGTGTGACATCTTGTCAGGTCCTATTGTCATTGATATAACCAAGTCCATCAAAAGTTTCCAGTGTGTGTGTGGCGTCCAGTGCCTGTCGGTGTATCCTGTCCCCCAGGCTCTCGGGTATTGCCCTTGTTTCCACCGAGAAGACCTCTTCAGATCGTTCGATCAGCACTTTACGAGCGCCTTGAAATTTTTCTTGAGCTCAGTCGAATAATCTGGTTTTTTATTCTCGTCTGCTTTCTGATGTTGCTGTGAAACTGTAATGGTTCAGACCGATCGGTCTTTTCTGTTGTCATTCTCAAATTGTCGCTGATCTCCCTCCCTCCCCACCCTAGCATATTCGTTTCTTTTTAATTTGTTCACTTTTCTGTTCTCGTCTATCCTTCACTTTCTGAAGCTTTTCCACCCTCATACGCTTCTTTTTTTCCCTCTGTATCTCTGGTTGAACCATTGGCTCTCTTTGTCTCTGTTGTTCCCACATCTGGGAAGATGTGCGTGTGTATCCAGTTGTGGTTATATGGGTCGAGTCACAGCTCCTGGCCCCGCCTCTTCACTGGTCGCTACTAGGTCACTCTTCCTGCTCCATGAGCTTTATCATACCTCCTCTTAAAGCTATGTATGGATCCTGCCTCCACTACATCACTTCCCAAACTATTTCACTCTCTGAGAACTCTGTGACTGAAGAAATACTTCCTAACATCTCTGTGATTCATCCGAGTCTTCAGTGTCCAACCGTGACCCCTTGTTGTGTCCCATCTCTGGAACATCCTATCTCTGTCCAACTTGTCGATTCCTCTCACTATTTTATATGTCGTTATCATATCCCCACTATCCTGTCCTCCAGTGTCGCCAGGTCGATTTCCCTTAACCTCTCCTCGTAGGACATGCCCCTTAGCTTCGGGACTAGTCTTGCTGCAAACCTTTGCACTTTTTCTAGTTTCCTTACGTGCTTGGCTAGGTGTGGGTTCCAAACTTTTGCTGCATACTCCAATATAGGCCTGACGTACTCGGTGTACAGGGTTCTGAACGATTCCTTATTGAGATGTCGGAATGCTGTTCTTAGGTTTGCCAGGTGCCCGTATGCTGCAGCAGTTATTTGGTTGATGTGCGCCTCAGGAGATGTGCCCGGTGTTGTACCCACCCCAAGATCCTTTTCCTTGAGTGAGTTTTATAATCTCTGGCCCCCTAGTCTGTACTCTGTATGTGGTCTTCTTTGCCCTTCCCAATCTTTATGACTTTGCACTTGGTGGGGTTGAACTCCAGGAGTCAGTTTCTGGACCAGGCCTGCAGCCTGTCCAGACCCCTTTGTAGTTCTGCCTGGTCCTCGTCCGATTGAATTCTTCACATCTGCAAATAGGGACACTGCTGAGTCTATTCCTTACGTCATGTGTTCACATATACCAGAAACAGCACCGGTCCTAGGATTGACCCCTGTGGAACTCCGCTCGTCACAGGCGCCCACTCTGACACCTCTTCGCGTACCATGACTCGTTGATGTCTTCCCGACAGGTATTCCCTGATCCATTGCAGTGCCTTCCCTGTTATCCCTGCCTGGTCCACCAGCTTTTGCACTAATCTCTTGTGTGGAACTGTGTCAAACGTCTTCTTACAGTCGAAGAAAACACACAGTACCCTCTCTCTCTCTCTCTCTCTCTCTCTCTCTCTCTCTCTCTCTCTCTCTCTCTCCTCTCTCTCTCTCTCTCTCTCTCTCTCTCTCTCGTCTTACTGCTGTCACCGTCATAGAACTCCAGTAGTGTGTGTGTGTGTGTGTGTGTGCGCGCGCGCGCGCCTGTGCACCTACAATTATAACAAGAGATCATCAGTGCTGTGGTGTCCACATCTTTTGTAATTGAATTTCACGTCTTGGTGACATGTTCATGATATATCGGTGAAGTGTTTACATATCAGTGTTGATGACGTAGTAGTGACTTTCATTGTTCATTAGTGACGAGTTGATGACGTTCATGACACATTACTTGCGTATTTGACGGTGTATTGCAACATTTCCATGGCATTAGTGACGCTTTGATGTATTACTAGTGTAATACATCAAAGTGTCTAACGTGCTCATGACGCATTACTAGTGTTGATGACGTATTGCAAGTCATTGATGACGCTTTAGTGTCATTTTGGCGACGTTCATGGCGATATAGTGACGCATTAATACTGTGTTCATCACGTATTACTGACGTGTTCGTGACATACTGGTAGGTGATATTGACATTGATGAGCGTTGTGTTCTTGCTAACACACTTCTGCCGCAGGTCATTTCCGCTCGCGGGCGCTGTGGTCGGGGTCACCGCTTGCGGCCATACAGTCATTTGTGTGTAACCTTCCCAACACCTGCTACCAGGAGGGCCAGGATGACCTCCTCGACCACTACCCGGGTGCTCCGTAAGTGCCACACCTCTTGCTTTGGCCTGGCTGGTCTCTCTCTCTCTCTCTTCTTCAGTAATTTATACTGGAATGATAGTTGAAAAGTGAATTACACACACTTAATAAACCAGAAAAACTTTCTTGTGTGATGGAATGTGACAGAAAAACAATTTTGTGATGGAGTATGACAGAAAAACCATCTTGTGTGATGGCGTATTGCAGAAAAACCGTCCTGTGTGATTGAGTATATCAGGAAAACTGTAATGCATGTGGAGTATGACAGGAAAGTCATTCTTTGTGGTGGAGTATGATAGGAAAACGATCCTGTGGTGGAATATGTAGGAAAACCGTCACGTGATGGAGTGCTGCAGGAAACCCATCTTGTGTGAGCTTGTATGACAGGATAAAAAAAAGTGCACAAAAAATAAGCTCTTGTCGAACTTTAAAAACATATAGATCAGATTAACAACACGAGGAAGTTGTACTCAATTAAAATAAATGTTGCACAGGATCAACGCCTTGTTGAACTCGTCGCTACGGTGGGACGATACTGGAGGAGGTGGCATTGTGGGGTTGATGACTGACCTACCCACCAGCCTCGACCGTCTCACCCAGGTGGCTGACATTCTCACCAACCCCAACCTCACCACACTCATGGGTGAGTACATCTCTGTCATGATGATGAGTAAGGACACGTGCAACACCTGGGGTATTTTTATTCTGAAGGTTAGGCAGTCTTCGTATTCATCAGGACTACGGTGAACACCGTCAGCTAGGATGAGGGTAGTGATTACATCGTTTTCTACTATCTCGTTGCAAATCCTTAATTACCACCTCTTTAAAAATCATAATCATGATTTTTAAAGAGGTGGACCGGTAAGCCAGCGGAAGTCCTTGGTCAGATGACCTAAAGCTCCAGCTGTGGGTCATCATATGACCAAGACCCGCGTCGGGAAACGCTTGTTCTGTTTCTTGACAAAGATTATACCTATACCTTCAAATAACCTTTGTATTGATTGCAACTGGTTGGCGATACGTATCGGGAATAACCCAGGTGTTGTACATGCGTTTTATTCATCAAATTATCGGTAAGGCACATGTGTTGAGTGTCTTTTATTGAAACTTCTCGCCTACACGGTAGGCTTTTCCATATACAGAGAATAAATAAGGAGACGCCAGTAGTGGTGGCGAGGTAAAGATGATTTGACCAGTCTGTCAACTTAAAGTGGGTTATGAGGTTGTCAGTTCCTCATCATCTATTTACTCAAAGATGATAGACTGATCACATCATTTCTACCGCGTCATAACTCCTGCTGTCTTCATATTTATGTGACTGAAGATATTTACCTTGTAAGCGGAAACGTTTCAACAGTAAAGATGCCAACTGTTGCACGTGTGTCTTACTCACCTACCTGACGGTATTGTATACAATTTTTGCAATGAACATGTGTCTGTCACTCATCATACGTTACCTTCTTCACCAGCCCCCCCACCCTCACCACACTCGTGAGTCAGCATCTCTGTCACTCCTTTACCTTGCCAATCATCCATAAGATTAGCAACCTCGTTGCTACTCTTTGAGGAAGTTAGTTTAATATATTTATTATGCACCTCATACCCATCCTGTGGGAGACAGTCAAAAAGATTACAGAGGTACATAATGGGTCCAGGGACTGGGCCCCAAAGTTTTGATAGCTGAACAAGTTCCATTATTATGGAGAGAACTAAATCCATAGGGATTATACAGTGCCTGTGGAGGCATTCAGGCTCAATTCAAGGATCTGGAGCACAGATTCAATTCCCTAGATCATGAACCCCTCACTAGCATCAAGGAACCTCCCTTCAAAGGAGGTAGAGTACCAAAGAAAGAGAATTGCTTCACTTGTCGCTCAGGAATGATTTTTTTTTTTTACAAAGTCCGAAAAAATAGCTACATATAACATTTATTATTTGAATTTGTTAGTAAAAGTTTTGCCCGATCTCTCTTATTGACTAATTTACACTTTCTTTTAATATTTGTGTAACAAAATGTGCAGAATTTAACGTGGCCTGCAACGTTATGTACTAGACTTTGAAGGAAAAAAATTGCGCACTATAAATTCACAGAAGCAATAAATGTCCAAATGTACTAGTATATTTTTAGTTAAATTACGTGGTTGGGTGTGAGTTAGGTCTACTTAGTGTGGATCAGTATCCAACTAAAGTTACATATTTTTTCTTATCTATTATTGAAAATTTAAATTTAATTATCATGGCGTTACAGAAAAGGGGCTGCAGGTCCGTGACATCATCAAATCCCCGGATTATCTGGCCCAGGAGCTGACATCCATCCACCACCTGGATCCCGGTGTTGTCTCAGCTCTCCTAGAAGCCAAAATCAATGTTTCCAGGGTAAGCTTCCAGCAAATCTGTAAATTGATTGCACTGATAACGAAGTTAACTGAGCTCTTATACCTCCTGAGGAAGTTTAACTTCAGCTTCTCTGCCTCTGTAAGGTTTAGTTGTTATACCTCAAGCTGGAGGTTAAGGTTGTCTGATAGGTTAGGATAGTGATTCTTGGGTTTATTATTATTACAGTCAAAACTTAAGCGCTAAACCCACAAAGGTCATACAGGATTCTGAGGGATTATCTTTGCCACAGCCAGGTCTCAGACCAGGCCTCCTAAGCTGAAGAGAATGTATTACTGGATTACGAACTATTCATAAGCTCACTGGAGAGTAAAGGTAATTTTACGTGTATATTGAATGTCAGTAGAAGTTTGTGAGATTTACCTGTCATCTTACATGTTCATGAAGTAGTAAGATAAGTAAGAGCAAATTAACAGATTTTTATTTTAAATTAATTGAAAATGATGGTAGTACCTCCCTGGATGGTTGCTGTCTACCAGTCTTAGTAAGTAAGTAAGTAAATTTATTCAGGTATACACAAATACAGTTACATAGAATTATCATACATAGCAGCATATGTGTAGAGAACCTAGGATAACCCAAAAAAGTCAGACAGCGTGACTTATTTCCATTGGGGTCCTTTTACCTTATTATTATAATATAAAGGTTATAATATTTTCTTATTATTCTACAATGAAGATAACATCTTAGTATCATACTAAAAAGACTATCTATTACACCAAGGTCATTAAAACTATCTACAATGGGTAAGGATGGAAATATTGGAAAAGGGTGGGAGGGGGGAGAGAGGTAGGATATATAAAAGGTAAGTGGCCCAACCACTTTGGTGTAATTTAAAAAGTGTATGTGAAATGATTAGATATTCTTTAAGGGGTATAATACTAACCCATCAGAGTCACATAGTTATAACAGATATATAAGTACATGACTCTGAATTGGTAGTTGCAATTGCTTTTTTTTTTTTTTTTTTTTTTTTTTTTTTTTTTTTTTTTTTTTTTTTTTTTTTTTTTTTGCGATTGCACAACGGATATTTATGCGACAATGAAGGCAATAATTTTCTGGCCAGCTTATAGAATTACGTGACAATGGCTTCTTACAGGTGGTGTCCAGCCATGGTAAATAGCATAATTTTTACATTAGATTGTTATATAAGATGTCTCCCTTCATCAGGGAGGTTGCTCAATATCATGGGTCGATGGTAATCATCTTTATGTATAAAACGACGGACCCTCTGTGGGAGAGTCATTCTTTGAGTCCTGTGAGGAGGAGTATTGATGATGTAATCCGTGGTATTTACCACTTGTATAGGATGTTCTCTATCTGGCATGTATAGTTCTTGCATTGTATAGAGTTGTTTCTTTTTTAGAGTGTCGAGGCGTACATTTATGGCAGTAATATTGTCTACCAGTCGACCAACTCAGACTGGGATTGGGTTGTGCAACTTATGGTATACACGGATGTACCTTTCTTGAATCGTGCAGCGACCATTATACTGTACATCTAAAAAATGGTTATAATCATAACCCTAATTTTTCATGGAGTGGACCGGTAAGCCAGTGGAAGGCCTCGGTCAGATGGACCGAAAGCTCCAGCGGCGAGGAAACACTCGTCCTGTTTCCTGGCAAACTTTTCCTAACCTAACTTGTACATCTAGTTATTGGCACGGATGTAAGAAAATGTAGGCATTTGGCCACAGCTGCCTAACCTGTGCTTATTATTCATGATCATGAAGAAGTCTTGCCTATGACACTTAAGAGTTTAGCGCTTCCCCTGATGTAACAAGGAAGCGCTAAACCCTTAATGGTCAAACAGCATCTGGTTAATGGGCGAGGTGGAGGAATATTCATGTGTAATCCGAAGAAGGAAAGGATAGTCCGAATTCCTTGGATCAAGAGTGAATTTCAAGACCCTTCACCAGCAACAAGGCTGAAAGGAACCTGTACTGGACACGTGTGGCGGAGGGAAGGCTTTATGGATCCAGCGCCGGGGTGCAACACAGTGGAAGTCTGGACAGCGGAACTGTCAGAGATACATAATGAGTCCAGGGACTGGGCCCCAAAGTTTTGATAGCTGAACAAGTTACAAAGGTAATGAACTCCAGGTAGATCTGGTCACAATCATGACAAGTTACAAAGTTATTTACAAATTACAGAGTAGTTGTATTCGTGATTGTTCTCGTTAATAAGGAACAGCCTTGATAATGTGAAATATCACGAACCTGCTTGAAATATTACTTCTTTTCACTCTGCTTCTGTGGTAGTATATTGAGATATCACTTGTATCTCTTGATTTTATTACATAAGCTCTAATTTAGACCTTCGCATACAAACTTCTTTAATTATGTTGATTTAGCCTAAGATAACTCGATAAAATCAGGGATTTATTTCCCTTAATTAATACCGTGACTGCTTAGTGTCTTGATCAAAGGAGGTAGAGGGTGGCTCATTCCATGGATCAAGAACCCTTCACTACCTGCAACCTGTGCTTATCAGTTTTTTGACGTCATCCATCTTACATCAATTTTTAACTTGGTAATCAGCGTCAAATTTCTGAGTGTTTCCATTTTTTTTAAATATAGTTATTTGCGTTTAAATTATATTAAGTTAAAGTTAGGTTAAGTTAATTTAAACTGGCTTAAATTAAATTAAATTACATAATCACTTGGAAGGTCCTGGAGGGATTGGTGCCAAACTTGCACACGAAAATCACTCTCCTATAAAAGCAAAAGACGGCGGGGGATGCAACATTCCCCCGATGGAAAGCAGGGGCGCCACGAGTACATTGAGAGATGACATAGCAAGTGTCCGGGGCCCCAAGACTGTTCAACTGCCTCCCAGCATACATAAGGGGGATTACCGGTAGACTCCTGGCTGTCTTTAAGAAAGCACTGGACAGGCACCTAAAGTCAGTACCTGACCAACCGGGCTGTGGTTCTACGTCAGCTTGCGTGCGGCCAGCAGTAACAGTCTGGTTGATCAGACTGATCCACCATGAGGCCCGGTCTCAGACCGAGCCGCGGGGGCGTTGACCCCCGGAACCCTCTCCAGGTAATCCTGTACAAACAGACAAATAAAAAATTCCTGTGGCATCTAGCAAAGAATTATAACCGACACGGAACCAAGGCTGGGTCACCATCTGGAAAAGACCCAAGCCTGGAGCGTACCGGCGAATCAAAGAGGAGGAAGCAGTAAGTAAGTAAGTTTATTCAGGTATACACAAATACAGTTACATAGAATTATCATACATAGCAGCATATGTGTAGAGAACCTAGGATAACCCAAAAAAAGTCAGACAGAGTGACTTATTTCCATTGGGGTCCTTTACATAATTTAAGTCATTATACGACTAAGACCCGGTCAGGAAACACTTGTCCTGTTTCCTGACGAACCTTTCCTAACCTAACCTAACCGTATTTTTTAAAGGGGTGGACCAGTAACCCAGCGGAAGGCCTCGGTCACATGACCAAAAACTCCAGCTGTGGGTCATCATATGACTAAGACCCGCGTCTGGGACCTCTTGTCCTGTTTCCTAACAAACATTGTACCTAGCAAAGAATTACAATCCTGGTTTTTAAAGGGGTGGACCGGTAAGCCAGCGGAAGGCCTTGGTCAGATGACCGAGGTGGCCTGGTGGCTAAAGCTCCCGCTTCACACACGGAGGGCCCGGGTTCGATTCCCGGGGGATGGAAACATTTCGACACGTTTCCTTACACCTGTTGTCCTGTTCACCTAGCAGCAAATAGGTACCTGGGTGTTAGTCGACTGGTGTGGGTCGCATCCTGGGGGACAAGATTAAGGACCCCAATGGAAATAAGTTAGACAGTCCTCGATGACGCACTGACTTTCTTGGGTTATCCTGGGTGGCTAACCCTCCGGGGTTAAAAATCCGAACGAAATCTTATCTTATCATAATCAAAATTAAATCCTTAAGAATACCACCACATATGCAGAATATTTACAATTTCTCTGTGGGGAAGTGGATGGAATCCTCTCTCCTTAAGCCAACGTGTCTTGAGAGGTGACAAAAATGCTGGGAGTAAGGGGCTAGCAACCCCTTCTCTATAAATTACTAAATGTAAAAAGAATGAAAGCTTTTGTTTCTTCTTCTTCAGGTCACCCTACCACGGTGGAAGACGGCCTGTGTGTATTTTTTAATTCTTTTAGTGTTATACACAACATGAATGTGTTCCAGATGCGAAGGAAATGGGACTTTTTTTTTTTTTTTAATGAGTGAAGAAATACCTTAACCATTTGCTCAGGAAGCATGTGATCTGATACACCCTTTTACCCTTATCAACCTAATTTCTATATTTGTCTAGGTCACTTAAAACAGTAACACCCAATTTGCTCCCACCTGCACTAACACAGATAACCTACCCGCTGCACAGGCACCTGTTACTCAACAAACATATCCATTGCTTCAAGAAGTCAATGCAGATGTGCTCACTACACAACCTCATTCAGCTACTCAGAACAAACCAAAATGGCCCTACCCTTAACCTTCAAAGCCTTCATAAACTTGATAATTAATATTATTAATCTATTTTTCTCAGACAGGAGCGGAAAGTAGTACATACTGTTGTGTAAAAATAAAGTGCAATAGCTCCTTGTGGCATCCAACCATAATAGCCCACCTGAGACAGCTTACTATATAGGATTGCTGAAATATAATGCAATGCTGGAAATAATTATCTCACATATATGCCTCAAGGGCAGAAATTATTCCATATAATCAGTATCTGACTCGATGGCTATAGATTATAATTAAATAAAAAGCACTACAAGCTCAATATTTACCACATTATCATTCACAAAAGTTGCTTATCATTGCAACCCATTCCTGAGTTCCCTCGATTCCCACACAACCTTCAACCCTGAAAAGGACTTACTTCATAGATTCCATTTCACAGACGACCTTCATAGATTCCATTTCACAGACCTCCTTCATAGATTCCATTTCACAGACTCCCTTCATAGATTCTATTTCACAGACTCCCTTCATAGATTCCATTTCACAGACTCCACTGCATCACCCTCCTTCCATGCCGGACAGCTTTAGCTGTCCTGCAACAGGCTACATTTCATGGTCATGCTAGGCCATCACTGTAGAACATCCACCTTGGCTTGTAATCATCTTCCCAGAAAACACTTCCATTGTCCAGCCATTTACCACTACCTTCAATTCAAAATTCACCATGTACACCTTTAAAGGAACTGTTCTCTCATATTAAAGTACAGTAGCTCCTTGTGGCATCCAACCACAATAGCTCACCCAAGACAGCTTATTACTATATAGGATATTTTGTATACTACTTGTATAACTGTATCTATATCTATATAATAGTCAACAGTAAATTTGCAGTCTAGAAGTTAAGTGCGATCATATGAAGATTTGCCTCCTAAGTTACTTCTGATGAAAAGTGAAAATACAGTAAAGGCAGACCCAAAACTTGCATATAGCATTACTTTAGCAACAGTATTTTATTTTGCGAGGGCAATGCAGATTTTCAAGTGATAAAAAAAACCAGTTACCTTCATCACAAAAGTGGGATAAGCAGAGTCCTTGCCATTTTCATCTGCTTTTAGGCCACTTTTCCTTCATAAACCTTGTGTTTTAATTTTTTTACTGATATTTTTTATTTTATCAGGTCATGTCACTGGTCGGCTACCGTAACGTGAAAGAGGTGGTATGCTCGCCAGAACAGCTGAGTCAGTTCCTGGTGACTCTGGTTAGGTCACAGGTGGATAACATCTCAATGAGTTTGTGTGACCTGCCCATCAATCAGGCTGCTAACATCTCGCAAGTTTTCGTAGACTCGCTTGATCCTGGACCACTCTTTGACAAGGTCAGCTGGTATGTTAGCTTAGGGCTCTGAATTAAATAGATATAGAGAAATGTGCTTTAAAATACTGTATAATGTGAATGTCTATTGAACTTCAGCCATTAAGTACTTATCATTATGGTATAATGTTATTTATGATTCCTTTTATGGATTTGTCAAAAGATTCATATTAGCCTGTGATAAATCTATTTCTATAGATAGATTATGAAAACATGCATTATTTTAGGTAAATTTACCAAAGATTGTGATAGAAAGTTGTAAAGACTGTGTAAGGGCAACTTGTTTAGAAAAGAACAACTTGATATTGTATAGTATGTACTATCACTAAATTGTCTTTCTGTGTGGTTAATACTTGCATTTGTACACCAGTGTCAGGCATTAACTCTGACTAACATGGTCTCCACCCTGCCATGAGTATATAGAAGCCTAACCTAGGTATATTCACCACCTTCCCTCTCACCATCCCACAGGTATCAGAGGTACTAGAGGCCATTGGAGGTTATGAAGCAGAACACCTTGTGCGTCAGGTAGGAGCTCTGCTGGCCTCACTGGGTCGCCTGGAGGCCCTGGCACCCCTCACTACTACCCTCAACACACTTTCCTCTGCTCTCAAACCACTCATTTCTGCCCTCAACACCCTTACTGCCTCTGCCTGGGATTTTAACAGGTCAGTTTTTGTGAACCATGGTACAGGTAGGGTTAGAACCTATGGCAAGTAAGTTGTAAAACTCCAGGTCACTTGCCATGGGTTCTAACCCCACCCATACCTTAGTTTGTTTGCAATCGTGCTATTATGATTTCATCAGTCAGTTTTTGTGTTTTCTCTCTTTGGCTGTTTAGGTGTTATATGTAGTATAGAATATGCTGTATATATTAGTTTTAGTATAATATGTATATTATGCACCCCATGCCCATCCTGTGGGTGGTAATCTAAAGATCACAGAGGTGAAGTACTGTATTTATACAATCTTTCTGTAAAAATAACAAATTTCTAAACATAAATGTAATGTAATTAGTTTAATTTGAGAGTTATTTTTTACCTTACACCCATTCTGTAGAGAAAAAATTCTAATTTTTATTAAAGTTTAAGTTAGATACTAAACAATATACTATAGATTCAATAAAAAAGGAAAATTAGTTCTGTACAATGCAGAAAACATGAATTTGTATTGAAAATTGTAAAATGATACTTAAAAGCTATACAGAAGCTTGCTCATAGAGCAAAATGAAAAATACAAATACAGTAGGACCTCCGTATCCACAGGGGATACATTCCAAGGACCTCCCGTGGATACCGAAACCGTGGATAGTACCAAACCCTATCTATACATCCCTACTGTAAAGTATAATTGATAAATTATGCACAGTAAGTAGAGAATTATCACTTTTCACTGATGGGAAGCACCTCATGGCTTCACTTAGGCTTTGAAAACCTGCCAGCTTCCCTACTTTTGCTCTTTGGTGCTATTATTATGCAATATTAAGAGGTATTTTTGGGCCACAGCAAACTGTGGATAACTGAAACTGAATCAGTGGATACAGGGGTTCTACTGTACTCAGTCATATAGGTGGGAAATGGTCAATGTGTTAATAAAAAAAAATACTTTGAACGGTTTACTTATACAAATTTATTTGCTGATTCTGGCTCCAGTCTGAGTAAGCTGATGCGCATTGCGGAAAGTTTGAGTACTGCCTCCACCTTGTCCTCATCCACCCGTTCTGGCAACACATCTGCCCTTCATACTGCACGCTCTGTCAGCCTTCTCATCTCCCCACAGAATGTCTTTACAGTAGCTGCTGAAGAGGTAAAGTCTACTTCACCAAAATGCTCTGCATAACCATGGGCTTTCTGCATGCAGTCAAATGTCACCCATTTCTGTATGAACATTATATCATGTGGAAATAAACTTTGACTTGGACTGTGGGTTTCTTCTCTAGGGTTGGTAAGAGTGAGTATTCTAAGGAGACTGGTTTTGTCTTTGCTTATGTGTTAGAAAGCATTCCCATAATTATTTATATACAACACAACTAGAAAACTCACTGCATGGAGGGCTCAACCCCATTCAAACTAGTCTTAAAACTAGCTGGTTAATGCATTATCCACTGGACCATGTGCTACATTGCCTGCCATGGGTTTGAACCCTCTGGGCAGTGAGTTGTTTACATTCATGTCATTACAATTTAATGAGTTATTCAACTAGAAAGTTTGAATGTTACATTTGAACTTTGGTGTATGCAATTCTTGAAAAAAAATTCTATATTAAGACAAAAATACATTATTAATAAAGTAATAATCAGCTGATTATGATAGGTGCTGATTTTTGTTAATACTGTAGTATCTTTCGTCACTAATTTCTGAGAATGATAGAATTAAGTTTTATAATGCTATTGGAAGTGAGATTTTCTTCACATAATTTTGCTGATTTACATTATGCTCCTTTTGTCATGTGATTACCTATGTGAGTATCTATGTGAAGTTATAGGAACAGAACTATGTTTGTGGTATATCTTCAGTATTTAGTCTTATAAATATTTTGAAAGTTTCCAGTGTTTGTAGAACATTGCATCTTCTTGAATCTTATTACATCTGTTTTGCACTCTACTTTGCAATAAGAATTGTTTCCTTTTCTTCACCAATTGTTTCTTAGTTTTTTAGTTATGGTATCTTGTTCTCCCTAATGATAAGATCTCTCTTATTTTTTTATCTTATCTTTTTATGATCTTGTGTGTGCTTATTATATATCTTCATTTTCCCATCTTTAATCAAGAGAACTTTTATTGTCCTTAGTCTCTCTTTGTAATTCATATTTATTTACTCTGGTATCAGTTTATATATCTTTTATTTTATTTGTTGTAACTACAGTACAGTACAATTTGTAATGAAACTATACTACAGTGGCATTTTCAAATTTTGGTCTAGAATATATGACTTTCCTTGCAATTATTTCACCATCCACACTGCAGCCCAGTTTCCAAAACCTGCACTACAGTCGATGTTAGAAATTTAGAGGTCCCATCATTTTCCATAAATTTTCCACATCCATCAATCTCAAAAGGTAGTTCAATTCGACTAACTTGCCAATTTTTAACAATTTTCAAGCAGTAACAGGGACTGTTACTGCTTGAAGGACCAGTCAGACTGAGGACCCACCTTATCATTCTGTTCTCCCTCTTTTTCCCAACAGGAGTTGAATGATCCATGGGTGGCAATGTTGCAGGCAATGGGATTGACTCTAGGCTCGGTTGGAGAGGGTATAGGATGGGCAGCAGAGGTGATGCAGCAAAACCCAAGCTCCCACACCCTTCTGACACTCTCCTCTACGCTGTTGCCCACACTACTCCAACCTATGCTCCTCACCCCTGACAGGTACACTTTTTATGTTAACAATATTGTAACAAGTATACTACACCCATGATGTACACATTCCACCCTTTTTCCTTGTGTTATCAGTAGATACACTATGGGAACAAAAGATATTTAGTAATTTTTTCTTGCCATATTCTGTCATACATGATGGGTTTCATACATGAGGTAATAGGAAGAGGGAAGGGCATGGGAGATGGTTTTTCTAAGTTTAGGGCCTATTGATTATGCTAAGGTCATTAATTCCACGATCTTCATTGACACTAGCATTAATCCCCAAGACAGAAATTTAGGTAAACTCAGGGTATATGTACTAAGATGCGCATGTTTTAGTCAATGGGTGATGGCCGATGTGTGAAAAAAAAGAAAAATAGAGGAAGTACTTGTTTGAGGAAAGATGCCTTTGAGCACATATAAACTGAGGGAAGCACACCTCTCAGTACATATATGTAATATATCCTTGGAGAAAAAGTTGGTAGAAAGGAAAGGAAGGGGAAAAAGCTGAGATTGAAAGAAAAATAAAGCATGTAATGACTACCTAAGGAACAGAAAAGGGAATAGAAGGAAGACAATAACTCCAAGGAATGTGAATATGATAATGGTACACATTCTCCAAGGAATGTGAATATGATAATGGTACACATTCTCCAAGGAATGTGAATATGATAATGGTACACATTACTGCTTCTGCTTCCTCTGTTGAACTCGACTGAAGAAGCCTACTATGTAGGTGAAATGTTTTGGAATAAAGTTATCCAACTGTTGCACGTGTGTCTTACTTATCATCTGCAAGGAATAGAAAATATGTTGGAAAAAATTAATTATTAGTCAAGGGAGAAATGGAGTCAGTCGAAGGTTAGGATCTTTGGATTCTGTTTTGTGATGTAGGATCAAAATTCAGTCATTATTTGAGAGACAGTAGTGATGAGTTTGCAAAATAAGATTAATGTTTGACAAGATAGTATAGGTGAGGGGTATTTCCACAGGCTTGGGGAGGCACTTGATAATGCCACTGCCCGAATGCTGCCAGAGGTGGGTAAACCCATTACCCACATGTTGACTGCTCTCTACCCCACCATACTTGTGGCCACCAACCTCACGCAGGCCTCAAACAGTAAGTACGCTGTCTTGAAAGATAAATTTTACCAATGTGGCAAAACTTTGTAAAAGCAAAAATATTAGATAATATAGGAGAGCCCTGCATATACAGTAGACCCCCAGTTAACGATATTTTTTCATTCCAGAAGTATGTTCAGGTGCCAGTACTGACCGAATTTGTTCCCATAAGGAATATTGTGAAGTAGATTAGTCCATTTCAGACCCCCAAACATACACGTACAAACGCACTTACATAAATACACTTACATAATTGGTCGCATTGGGAGGTGATCGTTAAGCGGGGGTCCACTGTACTACAGGTGAAAATCGCTGTAAAGTGAAACATAGCCTTTTTCACTTTCAAATGCATATAAAAGCCTGATAACATGTTTACAAGGAGGCTTTAGGAAAGGTAGGGGGTGTGTGGAGCAGGTATTTACAGTGAAACACATAAGTGAACAGTATTTAGATAAGGCTAAAGAGGTCTTTGTGGCATTTATGGATTTGGAAAAGGCGTATAACAGGGTGGATAGGGGGGCAATGTGGCAGATGTTGCAGGTGTATGGTGTAGGAGGTAGGTTACTGAAAGCAGTGAAGAGTTTTTACGAGGATAGTGAGGCTCAAGTTAGAGTATGTAGGAAAGAGGGAAATTATTTCCCAGTAAAAGTAGGCCTTAGACAAGGATGTGTGATGTCACCGTGGTTGTTTAATATATTTATAGATGGGGTTGTAAGAGAAGTAAGAGTTAAAAGATAAAGAATCACATATAAAGTGGGAGTTGTCACAGTTGCTCTTTGCTGATGACACTGTGCTCTTGGGAGATTCTGAAGAGAAGTTGCAGAGATTGGTGGATGAATTTGGTAGGGTATGCAAAAGAAGAAAATTAAAAGTGAATACAGGAAAGAGTAAGGTTATGAGGATAACAAAAAGATTAGGTGATGAAAGATTGGATATCAGATTGGAGGGAGAGAGTATGGAGGAGGTGAATGTATTCAGATATTTGGTAGTGGACGTGTCAGCGGATGGGTCTATGAAAGATGAGGTGAATCATAGAATTGATGAGGGGAAAAGGGTGAGTGGTGCACTTAGGAGTCTGTGGAGACAAAGAACTTCGTCCTTAGAGGCAAAGAGGGGAATGTATGAGAGTATAGTTTTACCAACACTCTTATATGGGTATGAAGCATGGGTGATGAATGTTGCAGTGAGGAGAAGGCTGGAGGCAGTGGAGATGTCATGTCTGAGGGCAATGTGTGGTGTGAATATAATGCAGAGAATTCGTAGTTTGGAAGTTAGGAGGAGGTGCGGGATTACCAAAACTGTTGTCCAGAGGGCTGAGGAAGAGTTGTTGAGGTGGTTCGGACATGTAGAGAGAATGGAGCGAAACAGAATGACTTCAAGAGTGCATCAGTCTGTAGTGGAAGGAAGGCGTGGTAGGGGTCGGCCTAGGAAAGGTTGGAGGTAGGGGGTAAAGGAGGTTTTGTGTGCGAGGGGCTTGGACTTCCAGCAGGCATGCGTGAGCATGTTTGATAGGAGTGAATGGAGACAAATGGTTTTTAATACTTGACGTGCTGTTGGAGTGTGAGCAAAGTAACATTTATGAAGGGGTTCAGGGAAACCAGCAGGCTGGACTTGAGTCCTGGAGATGGGAAGTACAGTGCCTGCACTCTGAAGGAGGGGTGTTAATGTTGCAGTTTAAAAACTGTAGTGTAAAGCACCCTTCTGGCAAGACAGTGATGGAGTGAATGATGGTGAATGTTTTTCTTTTTCGGGCCACCCTGCCTTGGTGGGAATTGGCCAGTGTGATAATAATAATAATAATAACATGTTTACAATATCATATATTAAATGAGCAATAAATTTAGGGCTAAAAAATGCATATACAGTACATGCACCACTTACCTTGTACTTAGCTTATAATGAGTGGTGAATATATTAAGTGTAGGTACACTGAATAAATGAAGAATGGGTATAATTGAAAACCGTCGTATTAGCGACATGATGAAAAGCAAAGCTCTGTAAAGCGAGGCCCTCCTGTATTGTATGTGTTTATTGTAGAATGGGGTAATTGCATTAGTAACCTCAAGCAACTGTTGAGATAAAGGTTACCAGGGACCACTGGGAGAGGTAAACTTGACAGTGGGACAGCTAGGTATCGATTAATGCTAATTCAAATAATGTGACCACTTCATATATGATAATATCTTTATTTACTACAAGTACATGTACATGGTATACAGGCCTAGCTGACATCAATGACATACTACTAAAGAAAGCTCCATGTTATGCAGAGCATTGTGGGCAACTTAGGTCAGTTTTGTCCTAGGATGCAACTCACACCAGTTGACTAACACCCAGGTACCCATTTTACTGATAGGCGAACATGGACAACCGGTGTGAGGAAACACATCCAATGTTTCCACCCCTTAGCTGGGAATCGAATCCAGATCCTCACCGTGTGAAGCAAGAGCTTTTGCCACAAGGCCACAGGGCACCATGGCCTGGTGGGATTCATTATTCGCGCTAATCAAGACCTACCTGTATAACAGCTGAAATGACAATAAAATAGGTGTAAAAGACAGACATGACCTATACAACAAATGAGGTGATTTAAACAGCAATAGAGGTGAACTGGACAACAAGGATGAATTACACAATGAAAAGAGTGACCTAGACAATGGGAAAGGTCAGCTAGATGAGGGAAGTAAACCAGATAAGAATTAAATTAGACAGTGAAAAAGGTAAACTAGATAATGAGAGAGAAACTAGACAGCAAGAGAGGTGAATTAGAAAACCATAGAAGTGAACTATTCAGTAGGAGACATTGAAAGCTTGTTTATATGTAATTTTACAAGTTTTTTACAACAAATTGAAAATGTAGCAATAAGTACAAATAATGACTCTTCCTCCCTCCATTCTCTCTCTCTCATTCCCTTTTTTCCACTCTGCAGTCATGTTGTCTTGGATGGTGTCAGAGCCTCGGTTGCCCATGAACTTCAGTCCCATACTGATAATAACACACTCCAATTTCTTCCATATGCAGGTATGTACCCCTCTCCCATCCCTCAATGAGAATTTAGTTAATGGTGTACTCATAGATGAGTTCATACTTAGTGTGTACCACTCACCCACCCATCCCTCATATGATCACTAAACAGCATTTTTCACAAAGGGAAATTTATATATAGAGTGCACACAGTGCTGGAGTCCAATTGGTCCTTATCTTAATTTTTTTCCAACATGTCAGCCGTCTCTCACCAAAGCAGGGTGACCCAAAAAGAAAGAAACACTTTCCACAATCATTCAATACTTTCACCATCATTCACACAATATCACTGTCTTTGTGGAGGTGCAAAGGTATGACAGTTTAGATGTCACACCAGACAGTATTCATTAATTAATTTTAATAATTTTGGCTTAGTTGGGTTACACTGCTGGTGGAAAGTAAAAAAAATTGAGATTCATCAATCACATATTGCAATAAATATTAAAGTTTCATTTGCTGTAGTTAACACTTAAAATTATTATTTTCTCAAGTGCAGGCACTGTACTTCCTCTTTTAAATAAAAAATAATTAAATAATTTTAAGTGATGTAGTCTATATATTTAAAATATGTTTTTGTTTTATCTCATTAGAAATCAATAACAGAAGAAAGATTGGGTGCCTGGGCATGTGACAGAACCTCATGGCCTGGTGTCAGCGATGATTACTGGCTGGTAGTACAGGCAAAGTTCTGTAGTGAGGCTGGAGCCAGAGATCTCCAACAAATTACAGCACTTCTCAAGACTCCACTCAACAACCAGTCACTTGTGGTGGAGGTAAGTTACTCAGACACTTGATCAATCACTAATGGACCAGTTGAGTTGCTCAGACATGTGACCAATCATTGGTGGTAAAAGTGAGTTGCCCTGACACCTGATCAATCACTAATGGACCAAATGAGTTGTTCTGACACTTCTTCAGTCACTGATGCACTGGGTGAGTTGCTCTGAAATTTGGATCAATTATTGATGAACTAGGTGAATCACTTGGGTAAGTCATCCAGCCACTGATGGGCCATCTGAGTTGCCCATCCCAACCTTTCAACTGCTCACTGCTGTGGAATCTAGTTCTGCTGGTTATTGAGGATCTGAGTGTGTCATCCAGCCACTCTTCCAGTTATTGATGTTATAATACTCTTGACCTGTCACTGATATCCTGGGTTTTGTGCACAGCTTAGCTACTGAATGAACTTTGTAGCTTTAAGGATAGGTTAGACAGGTATTTGAGTAATAGGGATGGATTTAAGAAGAACCTACCAGGTATGGGCCAGTTGGCCTCCTTTATGCGAGTCACCCATCCCAGTTACTCTAATACATGTAGTCATTGATTGACAAAATGAGTTACCCAACCCAAGTACAGTGTTTTGTCAATTTTATTTAGGCTTTTCTTGCTTATACAAATTTTTGCATTGGTTTTTAGGGTTCACAGATGTTACAGACATATACAGTAGTACATTATGTAGATCTAACCTATAATAACCCAATAAAGTCAAACAATGTGACTTATTTCCTGAAGTTACTGACTACCTAACTGATTCAACCAGTTCTTAATAACTCGTGAGGCACAATACATTTGTCTCTGTTATTCCTTTCCTTACATTCACCATCTGCTCAGCCATTCTCTCATCTATTCAGGCAAGCCCTTGTTGGTCATATGAGTCATGTTGGCCTAATTACATTACTGACTTTGTCTGTCACTGAGAATACAAGTAAATCAGCAGCTGACTGTATGAGCTGATGAATCATGAGTCTCTTGATACCAAGAATTACAGCAACCCTATACTTTCTTGGATCAAACCTGATTACCTCCATTCTCCAGGCATTGTATGATCCTTATTGGTTTAGCACCCTCGTATTATAATAATAATAATATGAAGAAGCAGTGAATTATAATATTTATAATTTTATTACAGTTCATTACACAAGATTATGTATGTAGTACAATAAATCAGAAGTCATAGTATGCACAGTTTTTTGGGCAGTGTTTAGTATATCATTACAACTAATCTTATGTATAGAGTTTCATAGCCCATAAAGAAATGCTCATTATTAAAATGTTATTGCAAACAAACTTTCAAAATTTTTTTTACATAGTAACTATAGAATGTGAACACTGATTAATTGGATAAAACAGTCTTAAAATCCTGAGGTTCTGTGGGGGTTTTCCAGACTGAATATCAGCATACAGCATTATCATGAATAAAATATGTAATATGGTTAAAATGATAATGTGATACTTCTCCCAGCAAATCCTGTCTGATGGCCCAGTGAGTGCATCACAAGTCATCCAGAGTCTAATTAGGCTGTGGGAGGTGATTCAGTCCTCTGCAAACCTCCTGAACCGTCTTGAACTTGATCATGCTCTGAACTCTTCTGAGGGAACCAGCAAGAGGCGAAAGAGATCAATTTTAGATGAAGTCAGTTCACTCGTGTCTGAGCTGCCTCCTGGAACACAAGATAATATTGAGGCTTTTCAGAACGAGGCTCAGCTCTTCAAATATATCATCCAAAACCTGTATGTTCCAGTTATTCTTCTTAAATCACATTATATTACTTATTAAATTACAGTGGACCCCCGGTTAACGATATTTTTTCACTCCAGAAGTATGTTCAGGTGCCAGTACTGACCGAATTTGTTCCCTTAAGGAATATTGTGAAGTAGATTAGTCCATTTCAGACCCCCAAACATACATGTACAAACGCACTTACATAAATACACTTACATAATTGGTCGCATTCGGAGGTGATCGTTATGCGGGGGTCCACTGTATTTTATATGACATTTTTTTATCTCTTTTTTATATTTTTATTATATATATTGCTTGTAACATTTTGTTGCCTTTATTTTGTTATGAAATATAGTTTAGTAGCATAATATCACAATGTGTAAGTGAGGGTGATGAGCTGTGTTAGTTTTTAAGGATGTCATGCAGTAGTTTATTCTATCAACTTAATGTCCATTTGACTCTAGTAGTTTTGTCTGTATTTTGAATATGGCTGGTAATATTTTTTTTAATGCTCATTTATCCATCTACATATCTGTTTAGTAATACAGTTGTCTCTGTTATCTCTTTTCTTACTTTCACCCATCTGTTCAGCCATTCCCTCATCTATTCACTGATTTGTTCATTTATTCTCTCATCCATTCACTCATCTGTCCATTCATGCTTTCAATCATTCACTCATTTGTTCCCATACACTTTTCATTAATTTATGTATGTTTTCATATACCCACCCATCTTTACTCAGTTATATACTAATTCATCCACCTACATATGTATCAACCTTCAAAACTGTCATTTTTCCTCCCCTCCACACCCCTAACTTTTCCTAACCTCTAGCACCACAGTACAGTACAATATAATTTTATTTATTTGCTAAGGTTAAAGTGTGTGTTTACATTTCATAATTTTATTGGAACAAAGAAAACCACTATCATACTGAGGCATTTCAGGCAGGCTCGACCTAATTCTTATAGACTACTTAAGTGTAGACAGGTGAAGAGTGGTAGAATACAAATATTCAGCATTTTACCACTTCCCTATCCATCCTACCTACCTCCAGTTGCATCCATTTCTTTCCTTCCTCACACACACACACACACACACACACACACACACACACACACACACACACACACACACACACACTCTATTGCAGGGCCAGGAGCTATGACTCGACCCCTGCAACCACAAATAGGTGAGTACACACACACACACACCCACCCACCCACCTGTGAAACAAAGTTGTGTATTACAGGACAATGCTGTACCTCAGCCTGACAAGAGATGCATTGCTGGGAGCTGAGGACCTGCAGGAGGCTGGCTACCACTTGCCTGTTCTCTACACTCTCTTCAACTCTACCACATCTGTGGAAACTATTGCAAGTCAGTAACTTACATCACAATAAATCTGTTGTACCTTCAAATGGTAGTTTAATTTTTCCACAACCTTGTTGTTGTGTAAGAACACTGATTTCAAATTTAAATTTCAACCCTTTTATTTCAGAACATAATGTAAGAATTCAGATTTAAAAGCTTTTTTTTTTTTTTTTTTTTTCCATATATGTAATTACTGGTAGTATAGTATTACTGACAATTGTTAGGAAAACAAACATATATACAGCCCATCAAGGGCTTTGTTAAACTGATACAATATATGGATATAATGAATATACAGGGTGGGCCAAAAGTAGGCTTACACTTAGTAGGTATGCACTTAACTCCTGCACCTGCTTGGCATTTTCACACTTCCAATACTGCTTTAGTATTGGAATACTAGTTTGGAACAATGGTTTGGAATTATGGTTTGGATAAATTAAATCGAAAATGTTAACAAATAGTGAAACAACTGTAAGCCTACTTTTGGCCCACCCTGTGTATATACAGTAGGGCCCCACTTATATATGGCAGGTTAGGTTCCAGGCTACCACCAGAAAGTGGACATCACCGGAAAGCAGGGCACCATTTTTTCCACACTTAAATTCATATAAATGCCAAATAACAAGTTTACACTAACATATATGAAGTTAGCAATAGAACTAGGCATTGAAAACAATAAAAGTAAAATGCACACACAGTACACTCATTATTTACCTTAAAATATTTGTAGTCTTAACCCTTAAATGGTCCAAACGTATATATACGTTTTTTCAACATCTGAAAGTATGTAAAAAAATGTAGATCTTTTTTTTTTGTTTTACATTTGAAAACGTGTAAAAAAACTTTTATCTACATTTTTTGTTACATTTGAAAATATGTAAAAAAAAAGTAGATCTACTTTTGTAGCATTACGAATTTGAACGCCGATTTGTTTGGACTGTTTAAGGGTTAATGTAGAATGAAAGATAAGTAGTATTTGTTGTAAGAAGTCAGGTGTGGGAGGTATGGTAGCCAGCCAGGCCACCCCACACACATAATATACTATGACATTTAAAGCACTCCAGAGTGATTAAATGGATATACAGTACATTCATTACTTACCTTAAAATATTTGTAGTCTTAATGCAGGGTGAGAGGTGAGTAGTATTTATTTGTAGGAAGTCAGGTGTGGGAGGTATGGTATCCAGACAGGCAAGGCCACCCCACCCACACGTAATATACCACAACATTTAAAGCTCACTAAAGTGATAAAATGCATATACAGTACACTCATTCTTACCTTAAAATATTTATAGTCCTAATGTAGGGTGAGAGGTGAGTAAATGAAGTAAAACGAATAATCTTCTAAATGAGAGTTGAGAAAGATGCAGAGTTATGTAAACTTGCAGAAAAATGCATATGGTTTTGGTTCATACACGTAACATCTTATTTACGTTAATTTATTTCACTGTGGGGTATATTTATCATGTTTATGTGTTATGTAATGTGTTTATTATATAATTTTGAAAAAAATATCATAGATGGATTAATGAAAATATTTATATTAAAGTAATATACAATATTTAATGTGCCTCAGTGATTATTATTATTATATATTATTATTAATATGGCATCCTCAAGACTAATAAGACACTTTTAGTGATTTTAATGTGTACCTGCATGCCTGCACAGTGTGTAAGTTTATTTAGGTACAGGTACATATAATTATCTGAGTATAGTATTATAAAACATGAAATAACTTTAAAACATTTGAAATTTTGGAAAGTTTCCAGACATAATGGAGAAACGCAGTGTTCACGGAGAATGTAAACAAACTGGGTGGGGGGCGGAGACTGTATTAGAAAGTCAAGTGGGGGGGAGCCGTATAGCGAGTTTTGGTCATAATTTGAAATGTCTGCAGTAGCAGAACACCGTAAGGCAAAACACACTAAAGCGGAGCCCTGCTGTATCTGTCTCCAACATGGTTACAGAATAAATGCAGCTTTGTTATCCCTAAGATTCTAGTACGAATTTTATGTCAAACACACAATATTGCCATTACTGGAGACACTTTCTCTTTTGCTGCTGTTACCACTGCTGTTGTACTTATTTTTGTCCATGTTGTGTATGTATTGGCTTGACAAAACCCCTCATGAGTGAAACATTGCATTAAAAAACATTGTTTCAAGTTGCACACATATCCTTTTATGTAACTTTTACTGTAGTTGAGGATCATCAGTCTAAGAATTCAGATTTAAGCTGTATATTCTAACACATGTCTTTATCTCTGAAGTCAAGACTTAACCTTTTCACCTCAGCATTTGATAACTTGTATTGAGACTTGATTATAACTGGATAATATGTATTATCTCTCAGTCCACACAGGATTCGAACCTGCAAACTCAGCATCAGAGTACACAGTACTTTATCCACACAGCCAGACTCCAGAGTATGTATACTCTGATGCCAAGTTTGCAGGTACGAATCCTGCTGTGGACTGAGAGATAATGTTTTTAAATAATTTTGCCCATTTGCAAATTGTTAAGCATATCAGTATATATATATATAATTAACAGAAAGTATTATGGCATATAGTTGTTAGAGAGCGTGATAACTAAGTACATGTATGTGGAACCCCAGAAGTGACATCATCAGCGGTGGAATCATTGGTGTACCTGGTGATCGTCTTCCAGCAGCCCTGGCACCTGAGTGATCTCATACTCAATAAAAACTTTAAATCACTCCTCTCCATGTTGCCAGCCAATATGTAAGTAGGAGGTTAATTTTTCAGTGGGGATAAATTACCAAAAGTTTATTTTTTTGTCTTGAAGTCTAGAATGAACTTGCATCATAATGAAAGTCGTTCTTTTTTGTGGGTGTTGTAATTGAATTGATGCAGGTAGTTGATGATATATACCTGTATTATAACAATAATGTTTATAATAAACTCCATAAGATGGCAGCATTTTGGGGGAACTTAAACAGTAGGACTAAACCTGGTTAATACAATAAACTCAGTTTACTGGAATAATAAGGAAAAAATATGTGTCCAGTATTGGCAATTGTGGTGGGATGTAAATGAGATTGTTGTAAGGTTTGATAAATAATTTTTGATATAATGGTGATGTACTCTTAATTCATTACCACTACAGTATAATATTAGGGACCAGTCTCTGGACCCAAAATGTACCTCTGATCTTGTGACTGCTGCCCTCAAAGTGAGTATGGGGTATAAAATAAAGCCATCAGATCAGTTAATGAAACTCATGGTTATGAACTTGTAAAAAAAAATTAATATTAATGTATTATTTGATGGCACATTGTCTTGACTGTTCTGCAGGCTGGAGGTGACAGAAAATGTATTCAATATGATGGAGAAGCCTAAATTACTGAAGGTTCCTGCACCACTCCCTCAGTTGGTGGAGGTTCTCAATGCCTCCTATAATGCCCTCAGTACAGTCATTAGTAAGTGCCTTTCACTCCATCAGTTGGTAGAGGGTTTTATCATATATATTATCATCAGCACAACCTACTTGTTGCTCTCAGAGTCCTCCACATACTGCCCCTGGCAGATCCTTCTTTAACTGTATTCTCACTCAGCAAGTTACCAGATTCAATTCTCCACCTCCTTAGTGCAAAAAAGAGTCAAATACTGCACCTTACATTTGCTGATGCTCATGAATAACTATCCTGAATTTTGGTCTTGCCATAGGTACTGGTGACCCATGGGTGTGGTGTGTGGGTGGGTGTCCCCACACCATATCTGTCCTCCATAGTGCGGCTCTAGTCCTCCCACGTCTTCTTGCCTTACCATACCTTATGAGTGTCTGTGGACTGACTTTAGTGAGTAGAGGGAAAGAGAAAGTGAGATCTTGCAATAAAACAGTATGAAATGGGAACTGTGTATTCCAGTAAAGAGAAAGTGTACTGTTAAGGAATTAAATGGAAAGTGTTAATTAAAAATGTTTTAAAAAAAATTATAGACATAATTAGTATTAAAAATATGGAATCATAACAAAATTGTAAATATAAATATTACATGATACTGGCACATTGTGATAACCTAGTGTCTTTCAGCACATGAACTTGGTGCAAATGCTGAATGAGACATCCTGGCACTACTACCCCTGTGGTAATGCCACCCTGGTTGATCTCTTTCCTCCGGCCTCGGCTGTTGCTGATCTTCCAGCCTCCTGGTCTAACCTAGAAACCATCAAGGAAGAGGTCCAGGGCTTCGAGCAGTACCTCTGCCACAACATGACTGCCATCATTGATGAACTCACCTCTGACGCTGAGATGACTCGAACCATCAAAGCCTTGGTGAGTGTCACCCTGCCAGATATGGTATATTTTGTTGGATCTGTGTAGAAGTTTGAAGTGTGAATGTTTTTATGAGTTTTTATATGAATTGCAGCGGTACCCCGAGTTTCGGCCATAATTCATTCCAAAAGGCTGTTCGAGTGCCGTTACAATTATTCCCATAAGGAATAATGTAAATTAGATAGTCCATTTCAGACCACCAAAAATACATTTACAAAAGCACTTACAATAATACACTTACATAATTGTTCGAGTTGAGAGCTGTACGAAACTTGGGGTACCACTGTATTGTATAAGCCTCATGATAAAATATCAATCCCCACAACTTGTGTTGCAGCACAGTATACTGCCATCTTTCATGCTCCCATGTATTTCATTTCCAGTACATTGCTCTTCAAAAAATTAAAAAATCAGATTCAAAATTCAAAATTCTCATTTTTGTGTCCTATTTCTATATTCCACTGTAAATGTCCGGCAATCACACCACTTGCATTTGAAGCCATTATTAATTGCAGTTTACTTAATATGTTAATGCCACACAAAATGCTCTAAATCCAGGGAAAATTAGAGACTGAATAGTGAGTGTATGCATGAGTGAGCACAAACAATAAACTGGCATGGGAGGCCTACTGCTCAGGAAACAATGAAAGAAGACAGGACTTAGTCATGGCTGTTCTGGCCTGTACTAGACAAACATGAAGTTATTGAACTTGGTCTGGTACTTCAAAAGACAACCGGACACTATCACTGCTGACAAAATGCAGAATTAGACATTCATCCATTTTTTTCCAGTGTACTTCCATTGTTTGTTCGGCCAATTTTTTTTTTTTTGTTTAAAATTGCTGAAATCCATCAATGAAAAGTTCATTAATGAGAGATTTTTCTGTATACTGGACTGTCAGATACACTTGGCAACCCTTACCTTTGATATGCCTTTGAAGAGCTTCGAGAGTTTAGCTACTCTCGGAGTTCGGCTATGGGCCAGGCTCATCTGGTGCTTGCCTGGTCAACCAGGCTGCTGCTGCTGGAGGCCTGCTGCCTCACATATCCATCACAGCCTGGTTGACCTGGCACCTGGTGAAGATACTTGTCCAGCTTCCTCCTGAAGGCTTCTACACTCGTTCCAGCTGTGTTTCTGATTTCTTCTGGTAAGATGTTGAATAGCCTGGGACCCCGGATGTGTGACGCTGGAAGTGTGACACAGTGTACTTTCTAACAATCTGGGGCAGTAGAGAAAGGACAGCCAAAACCCAGTTTGCAGTTTGATGAAAAAAAATTCATTGGTCACCGAGGGCCAAAGACAATGCCGGAGTTTTTGCAAGAGCCATGCAAGTTCATTTCCTTGAAACCCCCTTATGTTCTGGGACCTCTTTGTTAGGAGAATTATGAAAATTTTTCTTGAAGTGGGTTTTAGTCATATGATTACCCACTTAGTGGATCTTTTGGTCATGTGAGTGAAGTCTTCCACTAGTTTTTTGGTACACCCTATAAAAAATTGAAGATAAAATGTGATGATAGGTTGTACACCTATTTAAAAAATAGATTACTACTGCACAGTAGCATCCAAGGATATGCAGCTTAATAAGCAAAACCAAATTTACCATCCATCTCAAAGATTCACTATCCAACTGAAAGATTCATGTTCTACCTCTAAAATTAATACTCTAGCTCAAAGATTCATACTCTGTCTCAAAGATTTGTTCTCTGTCTCGAAGAGCTCTTATCCATCTCAAAGATATACTCTTTCTCTGTCTCTTGAAGATTTATTTCCCATTTGAAAAAATTTATGTTCCCTCTCAGATTTTCATTCATTCATTCACCATCTCCCACCTCCTTGTGTATAGGCTGAGGACTTCACTCCTGGGGAAGTTGAGCTGGGTGCTACTCTTCAACTGATGAGGTCCTTTGTGCAGTTGCTCACCTCCCTTAACCCTCATGAGATCCTCAACAATATCACCACTCCACAAGGCACTCCCATCTTGCAAGAGTTCCAAGATGCCTTCACACAAACTGAGAGCATAGACCCACAGGTATTTGTAAGGTGAGAAAGAGAGGAGCGAGAGGATTGTATGGTAATGCTTTCACTCAGTCTTAAGCTTGGAATTCACAGCATAAAAATCAAAATACAAAGAAAACCAAATAGATTCTAGGAGATTTTTAAACTCTACCAAATGATGGAATTAGTATGGCTATGCTGACAGGTTGTAGGTAAAAGCTACATACACATGTGTATGTACTGATCAAGACATTTATTAAGGAAATGTTTGGTCAAGAGTGGCTTCTTCAGTCCCAGTCTTTGGAGATTACCCAAGTTGTTAACTTTAATATGTTACTACACCATTAACAAATACTTCTCAAACACTACCCTCTCACAGTAGCTTCTGTACTACTACTACTGCCACTGCCTCTGCCATTGTCACTACCACTGCCATGCCACTGCCACCCTCTCACACCTTGCTGCCTGGCTCCTGCCACTGTAAATGCTCATTCCTTAGTTGTCTCAGTATTAGGACTTAAGAAGTCACCTTTGGCAAAATATTACCTTAATAAATGTCTTGATCAGTGCACATATCTTTTGCTTTCTCATATGATGTCTATTTAGGAGAAAAGCATAGAAAGATATGAAGATATTAAATATTATTCCATGTAAAGAGATTCAACCTTTGACCTACCATGGGCAGCATGGTCCTGGAGCTGGTGGATCAGGGGGTAGAGTGGATGGGAGGAGATGCTCACACACAGCTAGTTGCCCACACAGTGCAGTACATCATGTACCATGCCCATGATATTGTTACTGCTCTCGCCAACCTCTTGCAAGGTAATACTATACATATTGTACTTTTTTCTAAATGTATACCATGATGTTAGTTACAGGATATGAAGTTCACCTGTGCATTTAAGTTCATTTCACAGTTTCTTCATTTTATGAAACATTCCATTGTGATGAATAATGTAAGTTATACTGTTTTTTGAATACTTGTAAGATTTTTAAGTTTTCCCACTAGCCAAACAACTAGTTCACAAAAAGAATGCCAATGGAATTTCATATGCATATACATATGAGGTTTTGTGTGTGAAGGGCTTGGACTTCCAGTAAGCATGCATGAGCATGTTAGATAGGAGTGAGTCGAGACAAATAATTTTTAGGACTTGTTGTGCTGTTGGAGTGAGAGTAAGGTTGCATTTATGAAGGGATTCAGGAAAACCAGCAGGCCAGACTTGAGTCCTGGAGGTGGGAAGTACAGTGCCTGCACTCTGAAGGAGGAGTGTTAATGTTGCAGTTTTATAACTAGTGTAAGTGCACCAATGGCAAGACAGTGATGGAGTGAATGATGAAAGTTTTTCTTTTTCGGGCTACCCTGCCTTGGTGGGAAACGATTGATGTGTTAATAATAAAAAAAACATGTGTACCATTCTGTCAAAGTCCTGAATATTATAAGTAATGACATGGTGAAGCCTCTGAGGAGAGTATAACATTGAAAAGTAAGAGTCTACTGAGAGGTTGTAAAAACAGGCTGTTTAAGAATGATTTTGTTCATATGCACTGTTAAATGGATGTAATTTTTATTCATGTTGCCATTTTATGTGTACATATTTTAAAAGTCAGACTGCTCCAGTTGTCATGTCATTTAGTATGAAAGGCAACTTGGCTTAGGTGAGGCATCGCACAATGGTGGATGGATGTCAGATCCGATCTAGGTGCATTGTTATGTATTGAGAGGGAACAACTGCTGCAGGTGTAACATAGTTTGAGGGGACAAGCTAACTTAGCTGTGTTATGTTGTGGTCTGAAATACTCTGTATAACTATGGGCTTTTAACATGCTCTCAGGTCTCGCCCATTTCTGTATAAACAATGTATCATGTTGAAATAACCTTATATTTGTATACTAAATCAGTGAACTTGTCAGTAGCAAATATTTGAAAAGACTAATTAACATTAAAGAAAGAGGCACATGTGAAGGATTACAGAGAAGTAAGGAGACATTTTACTATGTTGGTAAGCTTTCTGTGAGAGAAGTGACTGCAAATTTCATGTATTATGCTACAGTTAATTTTATCCTAAGGCAGGAATAGCAATTTCATCCAAATTATGCAAGTATGAAATAGTTAGACTATTTTTGAAGGTAGCTTAGCTCAGAACAGGTAGAAGTGAATGTTCCTTAGGATTAGTCTACCTGAAATACACCACATGCTAGTGGCTTTCTTTTGTGCTTAACAGTATTTTATTACATGTAAACTACATTTTGTATACTACAATAAGAAAAAGTTTTATGTTTGTTTAAGTATACTATGTTAAATAAGCCGTCTCCTCACAGAGATAGTTAATTTTTCAGTTCACAGTAACTAATGACAAATGTAGATAAGCATATTCTTAAATGAGTTTGTAACTTTTGATCATGTTATCTTTGATAAGAGATACAGTAACTTTGCATTTAATATATAAATTCTCTTATGTTCTCTAGATGAAGTGACGTTGACTTCTGTTTTGGGTCTGCCAGAAGATTACCAGCTGCTACAGGTGTTCCATCAGGGACCTACAGGCACTGCCAACTTTATTCTGCAGGAAATGTTGGATCTTGTTACTACCAAATTCCTGGTAAGTGTGAGAGTGAGTAACATTAGTCTTGTATATTATTTTCTAACATGCTGGGAGCCTAATACATAAATATGATCTTAACCCAAGCAATATATCAGTAAAGAGGTATGGTACTTCCTCTTAAAACAATTAATTAGCCCATTTCTTTTTTTATCAGAATGTGCAGGAGGCATGGGCTGCATGGGGAGAGAGGGTGTGCAACCAGAGTGTGGGCGTGAGTATGGTGGTGGAGGCAGTTTGTTACTACACCATCAACCCACATCCTCCACTACATTTTCAGTCAAACTTCAGCAGTGCTGTTGCCAGGACTCTAGTGAGTAATGGAGGGAAAAGTGGAAGAAGGAAGCAGAACTGAACTCTACTTCTGTAACTATAAATATTTATAAATTATTGTATTTAACAGAGGTACTCTTAATTTTTTTTTTTAACATGTTGGCCATCTCCCACTGAGGCAAGGTGACCCAGCACATAAAGGCATCTATTTGCTGAAGAGGATAAAAGAATAAGGAATAAAGATTTTATATTTTTGCAAAGGTTACAATGTGTAATTACAATTTTGATTTGTTAAGTACAAAGAAAGCCACTATCATGCCAGGACATTTCAGGCAGAAATAGTTACGCAGATTCCAGAAGGGGGTCGAAATATACAGATCAATTAATCTCCTGAGTTTCTGTCTCCATGTAGTATTGAGAACTGTTCATTACGCTTCAATTATTCACATTAATGCATACATATATAGGGCCAAGTTCCATTTGCAAGACTTAAGTTTAATAGAAACATATTGGCTTCTCTCTTTGTATCTTGTCATTTATACTTGTCAGATATTGCTAGCAGTGCTGAAATGAGTTTTGATATGAGTATGACTTAAAGCTTTTTGCAATATATCTGACCCATAAAAAGGTTAAAATTTTGTTGGTCAGCTACATTTTTCATCTGACCCAAAATAAAGTTAAGAATGCAGTAGCAGCAGTGTTTTATTGACTGTTAAACTGATTTCTATATAAAAAAAATCATAGCTAATTCTCACTCACACTCACACGAGCTTTTAAATCTCTGCACAAAATTCAATTTAAACCAGCAAATAATAGAGCCTACTAGACTGGAGAATACACTAGACCTCATATTCACTAACAATGATGATCTGATAAGAAATGTCACCATATCAAAAACAATATACCAGATCACAACATAATTGAGGTTCAGACATGTATGCGTGGAGCCCCAGACCGACAAAATGAGACTAGTCATGAGGGAGCATTCACCAAATTCAACTTCAATAACAAAAAAACATAAAGTGGTGACCAAGTAAACCAAGTCCTAACCGATATACAGCTGGGAAGATATACTAAGCAACACAGACCCAAACTTATGCCTAGAACAGATTAACTACGTGGCACTCGATGTATGCACAAGGCTTATTCCTCTAAGAAAAAGGAGGAGTAGATGTAAAATAGAAAGAGACAGGCGCTCCCTTTACAGGCGACGGAAAAGAATAACAGAGCGGCTAAAAGAAGTCAATATACTGAAATGCCAGGAAACTGGTCCCAAAAAATAGCAAGCATCGAACTTAAGCTAAAAAGAATCCTTAGGGGGTCAGGAATCGCGGAAGAACTAAAAGCTATAAATGAAATCGAAAGAAACCCAAAGTATTACTTCTCCTATGCCAAATCAAATCGAGAACAACGCCCATATTGGGCCCCTACTTAAACAAGATGGGTCCTACACAGATAACAGCAAGGAAATGAGTGAGCTACTCAAGTCCCAGTATGACTCAGTTTTTAGCAAGCCCCCTAACCAGACTGAGAGTCGAAGATCAAAATGAAATTTTTTTTTGAGAGAGCCACAAAATTTGATTAACACAAGCCTATCCGATGTTATCCCCGATGCCAAATGACTTCGAACAGGCGATAAATGACATGCCCATGCACTCTGCCCCAGGGCCAGACTCATGGAACCTGGTTCATCAAGAACTGCAAGAAGCCCCTATCACGAGCCTTTTCCATCCTATGGAGAGGGAGCATGGACACGGGGGTCGTCCCTCAGTTACTAAAAACAACAGACATAGCCCCACTCCACAAAGGGGGCAGTAAAGCAACAGCAAAGAACTACAGACCAATAGCACTAACATCCCATATCATAAAATCTTGAAAGGGTCCTAAGAAGCAAGATCACCACCCATCTAGAAACCCATCAGTTACACAACCCAGGGCAACATGGGTTAGAACAGGTCGCTCCTGTCTGTCTCAACTACTGGATCACTACGACAAGGTCCTAAATGCACTAGAAGACAAAAAGAATGCAGATGTAATATATACAGACTTTGCAAAAGCCTTCGACAAGTGTGACCATGGCGCAATAGCGCACAAAATGCGCGCTAAAGGAATAACAGGAAAAGTCGGTCGATGGATCTATAATTTCCTCACTAACAGAACACAGAGAGTAGTCGTCAACAGAGTAAAGTCCGAGGCAGCTACGGTGAAAAGCTCTGTTCCACAAGGCACAGTACTAGCTCCCATCTTGTTCCTCATCCTCATATCCGACATAGACAAGGATGTCAGCCACAGCACCGGTCTTCCTTTGCAGATGACACCCGAATCTGCATGACATGTCTTCCATTGCAGACACTGCAAGGCTCCAGGCGGACATCAACCAAATCTTTCAGTGGGGCTGCAGAAAACAATATGAAGTTCAACGACGAGAAATTTCAATTACTCAGATATGGTAAACATGAGGAAATTAAATCTTCATCAGAGTACAAAACAAATTCTGGCCACAAAATAGAGCGAAAACACCAACGTCAAAGACCTGGAGTGATTATGTCAGAGGATCTCACCTTCAAGGACCATAACATTGTATCAATCGCATCTGCTAGAAAAATGACAGGATGGATAATGAGAACCTTCAAAACTAGGGAGGCCAAGCCCATGATGACACTCTTTAGGTCAATTGTTCTATCTAGGATGGAATATTGCTGCACTCTAACACACTTTCAAGGCAGGTGAAACTGGAAAGGAAATGTACAGAGATTATTTCACGGCGGCATAACGAGATAAAAACACCTCAATTACTTGGGAGCGCTTGTATTTCAACTGTATTCCTGGAAGCAGGAGGGAGAGATACAGATTTATCACCTGGACAATCCTAGAGGACTAGTACCGAACTTGCATCACGAAATCACTCACTACAAAACAAAAGACTTGGCAGACGATGCCATCCCCCAATGAAACGCAGATGTGTCACTAGCACGTTAAAGACCATACAATAAGTGGCAGGCCCGAAGACTGTTCAACTGCCCAGACACATAAGGGATTTTTAACCCTGGAACTTTCAAGTGACTGACCCTAAAGTAGTTTCTGATCAGCCAGGCTTTTGTCATTTTTTGGGCCCAGCCAGCAAACATGTGGTTGATCAGGCACTGTCATCACCAGGGCAGTGCACAGGCGGCCGCGGGGTTACCGAATTCTCTAGGTAAACTCATCATACGTATAATTATTTGCAGTGTTAAATATTTTTTTTGTTCTCAAAGTCTGGATCTGGCTTGTACATCTACAATGTCAGCACCGAAAAGGTGGTGTTGTCTGCATATCTCTGGCAAGACATCTATTGAATGAGTGATGGTCAATGTGTCATTTGTTTGAGGCTGCCCCAACCTTGGTGAGAGCTGGCTGATGTTTAAAAAAAATAATTTATACTCATTTGTCACTTGGGGATGATTAAACAGAATTTTGTCACTGGAAAATCTTGATTATTATACAACCTTCAGTTTAATTTGCATTATAAATTTTTAAGTTTCAGTGGTTGTGACAGAATTTGCTCTGTGTAGAGCTTTATAAAGTCAACTGATTTGATAAAGCTCTTCACAGTGGGATGTTGTCACAATAAAAGCTTGCTGTGCACCTGTTTTTTCTTTAGTGATGTGGGCAGTGTGCCTTAGTATCCAACTAATTCCTATTACAGTATGGTACTCCAGTAATAAGCCTCAGTGGGAAATGGCCATGTGTTAAAAAAAAAAAAAAGTAACTAAATGTTTTATATTAGAATTTAGTAATTTCCAGACACACTGTTAGTACTGGAGCTTAAGAGACTTTCACAGAACTAATTAAAAGTTAAAGTAAAAATGAAATAAATATTTTTTCTTATTAACCACACAAAGAAGTTGCAGTACTTATACATTCCATCTGATTCTGTTTTTGATATTGCTTTCATTATAATACAGATATAATGCAATTCAGTTGTAGGATCAGAAGCATGTCACTAATTCTGCAGTGCATTTTGGGCAAACTAATCATAAGGCTTATATATTGTGATGGAGGAATGTGTTGTTTCACATATCGGGTCACGGTAGGACCTGACTAGTCAGTGATAATTTGCCGCATCCTCTAGACCTAGAGCATAATTAATGTCATTAAGTATCAGCACAGCTTGAGTAATCCATTATAATCACAAGTACAGTACAGTGAGGCTGCAAATGATTAGTTGATCAGTTACAAATAAATTACATCAGTTCAATGACCTGCATTTTGTGGAGTGGTTGAAGTGGGGGAAATCAGAATATGAGAATTTACAGAATTAGTGGATATTGCAGATGTTGCAACTATATGGAATAGTAGTAAGTTATTAAATGCTGTAAAGAGGTTTTATGAGGATAGTGAGGCTCAGGTTAGGGTGTGTAGAAGAGAGGGAGACTACTTCCCAGTAAAAGTAGGTCTTAGACAGGGATGTGTAATGTCACCATGGTTGTTTAATATATTTATAGATGGGGTTGTAAAGGAAGTAAATGCTAGGGTGTTCGGGAGAGGGGTGGGATTAAATTTTGGGGAATCAAATTCAAAATGGGAATTGACACAGTTACTTTTTGCTGATGATACTGTGCTTATGGGAGATTCTAAAGAAAAATTGCAAAGGTTAGTGGATGAGTTTGGGAATGTGTGTAAAGGTAGAAAGTTGAAAGTGAACATAGAAAAGAGTAAGGTGATGAGGGTATCAAATGATTTAGATAAAGAAAAATTGGATATCAAATTGGGGAGGAGGAGTATGGAAGAAGTGAATGTTTTCAGATACTTGGGAGTTGACGTGTTGGCGGATGGATTTATGAAGGATGAGGTTAATCATAGAATTGATGAGGGAAAAAGGGTGAGTGGTGCATTGAGGTATATGTGGAGTCAAAAAACGTTATCTATGGAGGCAAAGAAGGGAATGTATGAAAGTATAGTAGTACCAACACTCTTATATGGGTGTGAAGCTTGGGTGGTAAATACAGCAGCGAGGAGACGGAGGCAGTGGAGATGTCCTGTTTAAGGGCAATGTGTGGTGTAAATATTATGCAGAAAATTCGGAGTGTGGAAATTAGGAAAAGGTGTGGAGTTAATAAGAGTATTAGTCAGAGGGCAGAAGAGGGGTTGTTGAGGTGGTTTGGTCATTTAGAGAGAATGGATCAAAGTAGAATGACATGGAAAGCATATAAATCTATAGGGGAAGGAAGGCAGGCTAGGGGTCGTCCTCGAAAGGGTTGGAGAGAGGGGGTAAAGGAGGTTCTGTGGGCAAGGGGCTTGGACTTCCAGCAAGCGTGCGTGAGCGTGTTAGATAGGAGTGAATGGAGACGAATGGTACTTGGGACCTGACGATCTGTTGGAGTGTGAGCAGGGTAATATTTAGTGAAGGGATTCAGGGAAACCGGTTATTTTCATATACGTAGTCGGACTTGAGTCCTGGAAATGGGAAGTACAATGCCTGCACTTTAAAGGAGGGGTTTGGGATATTGGCAGTTTGGAGGGATATGTTGTGTATCTTTATATGTGTATGCTTCTAAACTGTTGTATTCTGAGCACCTTTGCAAAAACAGTGATAATGTGTGAGTGTGGTGAAAGTGTTGAATGATGATGAAAGTATTTTCTTTTTGGGGATTTTCTTTCTTTTTTGGGTCACCCTGCCTCGGTGGGAGACGGCCGACTTGTTAAAAAAAAAAAAAAAAAAAAAAAACATTATGTGAGATTTAACCTTTCCGCTGTCATGAAGACCTACGATTATCGATGCCAGGGTCCCCTCATGTAGATCTATATCTTGAGCTGAAGTTAGTCATATAAGGTGAGAGTGGTAAATTTCGGTTTAGATGTGAGAGAATGGATGTGTGGTGAGTTTGCACAAAATAAAAAAAATCTGCCCCATGTGGAGTATGATAGGAAAAGCAAAACTCTGATTTTGTGTTTGATTTAAAATAGCAGCTTTGAAATATTTTTTAGGATGGTTTTATGGTTTTAGTGAATGTTTCTTGGTATTATTTGATAGAATGAAGATCCTGAGAACCACAACAGCTGACTAACACCCAGGTACCTACTTACTGCAGCAGGTGTAAGGAAACATACCCAATGTTTCCATCCATGCCAGGGATCAAACCACTGACACTCATTATGCAAGTTAAGTGCACTGCCACCAAGTCATGGGACACCTTGTTGTTGATCCCCATGTACAGATACCATAGGTGAGGTAAGGATAGATGAGAGTGTGGTACACAGTGAGCAAGGGTGTTTGGGGGGTCATAACATTTTTTGGATTTTTTTAAAATGCTCTCAATATGTATGTTGAATTTTCGTTTGCCATCCAGGTGTATTCCAAGAATTTACCCTCATCCTGCCTATCGATTGGTGCATTGTTTATCTATGTGTTCCAATGAAAATTTTCTTTGTTCCTAAACCTGTCATAGGTCTTGTTAGTATTCACTATCAATCTGCAGCTTAGCGAGGAAACTTCAGACTGTTTCGATTCATATGGGACGGACCGAGACACCACCCATAGTTTCCTTCTCAAATTGAGGGTTAATAGTAAATTGTTCCAGCCTCTGTGTTATGACTTTTATTCTCCAATTGATATTTTCCTTTCCAGACAGAGTATCAAAAGTCAGAAATTCAGGTCCCACATATTGGAGCCAGAGAACTCTATGAACAGTGTGAAGTCCTCCTGGGTCAGCTGCAGAAGTCTGACTTCACCAAGTCAATCAACGTTAGTGGTCTCGAACACTTGTGGAATTCAACTGTAAATGAGTCTCAAATACTGCTTGCTGGACTCGCTGATCTCCAGAAACAATGGCAAGTTGCATCAAACCATCTTGATCTTTTTTTAATGGGTGATTTTTCATCTGGAATATTGTTTTTTGAGTATATTTTTGTAATTAATAGTGTATACATGTGTGAGCATGTTAGATGGGAGCGAATGGAGATGAATGTTTTTTGGAACCTGACAAGCTGTAGGAGTGTGAGCAGGGTAATATTTTGTGAAGGGATTCAGGGTTACCAGTTAGCTAGACTTTAAGTCCTGGAGGTGGGAAGTACAATGCCTGCATTTTTGTCCTGACTTGGACCATTTACAAAGTCACACTTTATGACTTTGTAAATGGTACAAGTCAGACCAAAATGTCATTGTAAGTTCCTGTTTTCTATGTGTAGGTTATTTGTGTATTGTTCCAGTCATGGTATTGTGCCTTTTTGTTTTTTATAGTTACATCTTGCAGACTGCCCACATCATATCAAATAGCAGTACAGTAATATGTATCGGAAGTATGCAAGAAGTCATAGTCTTACATGTAACAATTGTGTACCTTTGGAAATAAAAATTTATTTATATTCCTTATGTATCTGTGTATTGTCTATTCTAAATACCTAGAGTCTTTTGCCTAAATGTTTTTTAGAATATGAGAAAAAATTTCTGTATTTGTTAAGTAAATGTGTTTGAAAATGATGTGGTGTTGTTGAAGGCATTACATTGAATAGAAAAAGTAAGCTTTTATGCCTGGCATGGTTTCATTGACACATATTTTAGATAGAACATTCTACATCAGGCAGTGGCTGGTGGTGGATGCTGTACTTAGTCAAAGTGAAGATCTGTGGAAGATACTGAGCAAGTTCTATACACTTATGAGCTGGTACCACAACAGGCTGCCAGTTAATTCAGGTTTGCTGTCTCATTGTTAATCATCTATACTGTGTTGCCTGTCATTTATATTTTAGTGACATAAGAACTGCTGCAAATTACTTTAAGAACCCACTTCTGTTTTGAACATTAAGATAACTGGCTATTTTTTACCTCAGTGGAAGACAGCCAGTGTGTTAAAGAAATTATTATTAACATTTTTCCCCATGTTTATTTGGGTTCATTTTATGCAAATTCTCTTATGTGATGTCCTTTTTTCTAGCTGTAATACTGTATGTATGATGTTTATTTGTTGTTTGCAATCATTGCAGTTCACATACTGTAGTGAAGATTCTTAATGTTCAGAATTAGGTGTAGGTGGCTTCATTAAGCTTAGTGGAGCTGCAGTGGTCCTGGAATACATCTACTGCATAAAACCAGGGAAACCTGTGTTATATTCATGGAGAAGAACTGAAAATATCAGGGTCATGCAGCACAAAAAATGGAAGGTAGTCAGGTTTGAGCCAATGAAGGGAAGTATAGCTCCAATTCTGTCTATCAAGAACCCTTTACTAGCATCAAAGCCAGTGAGGGGTTCTTGATACAGAAGGGGTCTTGTACAGTATTTAAAATGCCAGGTTATCAGCAGTGTACAATATTGTCTTTAGTAATTATATTTCCCAATTGTAATTGGAAAATAAAGATAGGCTTAACAAATTTAGCATAGGTTCCCCTGTTTTTGAAGTATAGAAACCTTTAATGCTAATACGTAGGAAAGTAAAGGTCAGTTTAATTAACATATGTGCTCTTTCCCACAGGTAATTTAACTGAAACTATACCACCATATATCGTCAGACTTCATAATGTCATCAATTCAACTTGGATTGATCTTCTGGATGGTCTTGACCACAGCTTCCACCTCAATGTATCATTGTTCAACCTTACCCTACCAGAATTCTGCTCATCAGTTTCCAGTCTTGAGGAAATGTCAGGAAACAACAGCCAGTTCCAGGAGGCTGTGAGTGAGTTGTGCAATCTACTCCCAGAGTTGACTCCAGCAAACCTCAATTTGTGGCTTCAGTATGAACAGCTGATTATTGACTTAGTAAGATCTTATATTTGCATTTTTAGAGAAAAAGTAGAACTAGGATATAGATTTTTCTCTAATCGCTTATATTAAATATTTTAAAATAATAGTGTACATTAAATTGGTTTGGATGGGTAAGTGATTTGAGTAAAGGAATGTTTAATATGTACCCAGATGTGTCCAACTATATTACATACTTAATGATTGCAATAGTCTTAAATAGAGAACTGAAGGAAATTGAAATCAAGATAAAAGCCAAAGTAAAATTTTGTTTCTAAGAATTACATGGTGTAAGGATAAGATAAGATTTATTTGGGTTTTTAACCCAGAGGGTTAGCCACCCAGGATAACCTAGGAAAGTCAGAGCATCATCAATAATTGTAATTTTGTTTTTTTTTTGTTTTTTGGGGGGGGGGGGTCCTTCAGTCTTGTCCCCATGATGCGACCTGCTACAGTTGACTAACACCCAGGGATCGAAGGGTTGGAGAGAAAGGGTAAAGAAAGTTCTGAGTGCTAATGACATGAATGGTTCCGAGAGCTAGGGGCTTGAACATCTAGCGAGCTTGTGTGAACATTTTCGATTGGAGTGAACTGAGATGAGCGGTTTTTTTTATGATGTACTATTGGAGTGTGAGCAAGGTAACATTAAAAATCAAAATCAGGTAAACTGGTAAGCCACACTCTAGTCCTGGAGATAGGAAGTACTGTATTGTCTATACTGTGAAGGAGGGTTGGGGATTTTGCAATTTGGAGGGTCATTTGAATTATTATCCGCACACTTCTAGCAAGACAGCTGATAAATGAGTGGTGGGGAATGTGGATTTTTTTTTTTTTTTTTTTTTTTTTTTTTGTCACCCTACCTTAGTGGGAGATGGTCAGTGTGTAAAAACAAAAACAAAAAAAAACAAAAACATGGAAATACAAAGCTGAATAAAAATTGCACCCTGAAAATAACTTCTTTTTTTTCCAGTAAACTGTTATGGTGCAGTAGTATTTTTTCATTTGCAGGAAAATAACACATTGGAGTTTTCATCTTCCAAATTGATGAGTTTGGTGAGTGTTGTACAAAATCAGACCTGCAACGTGCTCCAGGCTTTTCTTACTCACAAAGAAGCTGACCAAATGTTTTTCTGCGACTGGTCTTCTGCTTCCTTCTCACTACCGTTGCCTTCCTACCTGCTTGAAGAAAATTGGAATATTTTGTTGGGAAGGATTTCTGAAAGGCACACAGACAAGTAAGATAAACAAAATGTCTAATAAATGTACAACTGACCCACTGTTCGGAGAAGAAATTTCAGATGACGTTTGTCTTTCCTAGACTGCCTCTAAAGTTTTCTTTCCAGATTGAGTGTCATTTGTGAAATATTGCAGCTACTCTATCATTCAAATTCAAATTTCAAATCCAGTATATAAATATTGTAGTTTACATGTAATAAAATATTCTTGTTTCAACACGTTGGCCGTCTCCCACTGAGGAAGGGTGACCCAAAAAAAAAAAAAGACAGTCACCATCATTCAACACTTTTGCCATCATTCACACAATATTACTGTCTTTACGTAGGTGCCCAGGAATGACAGTTTATATAAAATATTATTAAGCACAAAAGTATGCAGTGCATTTTGAGCAAACTAATCCTAGTGCTTAAATACTACTAAAGAACTAGACACAGATTATTAAGTAAGGAGTTATTAAATGTACAAAAAAGAGAGGTAGCTAAAAGAACAATAGTATAATTTTAAAAGTAAGCATTAAGACTTCAAACTGATTCAGTGATCTTAAGTAGGATTTCATAACATTAGGAAAAAAGACTTAAGGAGTTGTGTTAACTTATATTTGCTTGATTAATCTGTTACGTGCTATAACTTTTTTATATTGAGTAAGATATTCAGCAACAAGAATTGTACTAGAAAGAATTAATTTTAAAGACTTGTTTAAGCTGTATAAATGGTTTTTGATGAAACATTATAATTATTCTCTTGTCTCTGCAGCATCTTGGGAAGTGTGGTACCTGCAGTAACGATGGTACTACAGTGGCTGGGAGTTGAACAAAACCAACTTAGCGATTTTTTGAAGCTCTTCTCCATTCAGATGTCTGTTTTAAAAAGCTTCTTGGGTAAGCATTCTTGACAATTAGCCATTATTCTGCTCCATATTATGCTGTTTAAAAAGCATTCATAAAAGACCAAAAATGTAGATGATTCATCATGTCTGATCAGCCAGGTTGTGATGGCTATGTAAGCCTGAGAGACCCTAGCAGTAGCAACCTTGTTGACCAGGTAATCAACAGTGTAGTCTGGCTTCAGGTCAAACTGTGAGAACAGAAGAGTTCTTGAAACTAGTCACACACACATGTCAGTTAACCTTTCATGGGATGAAAGAGGAAACACCCAGTAGATATTACTTCATGCAACATATGTGGTTTGGCATATAGATATGTATCCTATTTCAGTCAGAAGACTCTGAGTTATATTAAAAGTTTGCTATAACCAAGAGGAAAGGTCTTCATCTATGGTGATATCCATACAGTTAATAGTTAGATACATCATACGTAACTTGAATGACTTAGTGAGATGTACATTATCAATGCACCAGACCAGTGTCTCTCAGCTCCACACCATTGGTGTGCTGTGAAGTAAATATGTACCTAAGTATTGGATAGCTGCGATTATTACCCTTTGTTTGTAAGAGGCGACTAAAATGCCAGGAGCAAGGGGCTAGTAACCCCTTCTCCTGTATAAATTACTAAATTTAAAGAGAGAAACTCTCGTTTTTCTTTTTGGGCCACCCTGCCTCGGTGGGATGCAGCTGATTTGTTGAAAGAAAGAATGTGATGTGATGTCTTTTGAGAGAAAAAAGTGGTTTTTTCCCCTGTAAAAGATACTGAGAGGGCCGGGGAAAGAAAAATTTATATTAAAAATTTTTATTTCACTGATGAAATTTTTTTTAAAGAAAAAGGGTGAGGGCTTTTTAGAGTTTTTGAAAAGCTATTTTCATAGTTTTTGGAAGTTACCTAATTAAATAAATGGGACTAATGTAATGAAATGTTTTTTAAGATAAATTTTTAAAATAAATTTTTATGGGGGGAAAATTATAAATAATTTATAATTAAGGGCTGTAAAATTTTTTAAAAAAAAAAAGAAGGCTGCCAATTTTTTTGAGGGAAGGCCCTTAAAATTTCTAAAAATTAAATTTTTTAAAAAATATTAATATTTTACCAATTAAAATGTGTACAATTATATACAGCATACACTTTTAATCAAAATAATGGTTAATATTAAAAATAAAAAAATTGGGGAGGTTTTTTTGAAAAGGGGTTTTGGTGGTTTTGGGAGATGTTTTTAAAGTGTACCCCCTACTTGTTTGGGGCAGGGGCCCCTCCCCGTTTCAGGAGAGAGTTCCCAGATGTTCGGGCCCTTTATCCTTGACATCCCCTCCCCCCCTTTCTTTAAGTATTTTTAGGATTAGGTTTAAGTCTGCCCGAAATTCTTTGGGTGATAGGGGTTTCTTTGACCAGTCAGATTTGAAATGTGAACACACATTGTAACTTTTGCAAAGAATAATTTTGATTTGATTTGAGCATGCCCCTTCCGGGCTCAAACCATTTTTGCTTCCCCCCCCAATTTTAACAGTAATGGAAGGGATTTAAAATTAAAGGGGAAAAACAAATGGAAAAAATTATTTACTTTTAATGAAAATTTAAAATTGGAAGGGGGATTTCATTATTGTTCATACCTCAGGGGGAAAGGACAATTGGGGGGAAATTTTTAAAACCGTGGAGATTGGCTGTAGAAAAATACAAGTAAGGTATAAACAGGCAATATATTGTAAAAAAATTTTAAATTTTTTTGTTTTGGAAATTCACGTGGGAATTGGGGTTTCCCTTTTAGTAAACCACAAATTTTTATTAAAACAAAAATTTTATTTTTCAACAATCCGGGGCCCTCTCCCACCGAGGCGGGGGACCCCCCAAAAAAAAAGAAAATCCCCCAAAAAAGAAAAAAAACTTTCATCATCATCAACACTTTCAAACCCCACTCACAAAAATTATCACGTTTTTGCAAGGTGCTCAAAAACAACAGTTTTGAAACATACACATAAAAGATACACAACATATCCCCCAAACTGCCAATTTTCCTAAACCCTCCTTTTAAATGCAGGCATTGTACATTGGAAAGGGAATAAAGCCTGCATTTTAAGGAGGGGTTTGGGATATTGGCAGTTTGGAGGGTATGTTGTTTATCTTTTATGGTTCTTTTAAATGTTGATTTTGAACCTCTGCAAAAAAGTGATAATGTGTGAGTGTGGGAAAGTGTTGAATGTGATGAAAATATTTTTTTTTTGGGGATTTTCTTTTTTTTTTTGGTCACCCTGCCTGGTGGGGGGGGCCGACTTGTTGAAAAAAAAAAAAAAAAATTCATTTTTCTGATTGCTTAAAAACCAATGTTCACTATGAAAACTGAGGGGCAAAATTTTAAAAATTTGTCATCTTTTTTTTAATATGTCTTCCATATGGAGATGACTGCCTCTCAGTTGTTTGAGGCATAATGTTTCCAGATGTATGCTAGTTTTGACAATAAAATTTTCATGTTTCACCGCACATTATTTAAAAAAAATATGATGTAGACATTTGTCACTTACTGTGGTCCTCAGCACGTAACCTACAGGAGCTGCTAAAAGACTCGCCTGCATTGTTGCAGCTAGCAGAGACGGTGACGCAGTACCTGCCTCCAGCACTGAAAGACATAATTAGCATGGTCTCGAACAAACCTCAGTTGGTAAGTGGTTAGGCTAGATATTTTTGTTTTCCTTATGAATACTACTATTGTCATCTGTTTGTCATGTGCCACTGATAAGTGGTCACATCCTACACTGAAAAGAAGCTTATTTAAAATGTTGTTCCTGTGCCATAGATAAAGGGCATCATTAACATGTGTGTAACATTTCATTATGGGAAATAATTCTACTTAGCACTTTTGTTTCAAATAATTTCATGTATAAATTACCAAGAACTGGAGAAAAAGGACTCAATTTTCATGCCAAAATTTTGGCTGTAGGATTCTTCATTAACTTTTGGGTGTAGAACTCGTTATGAAACATAACTGGCACAGTTACATTGAAGGCCTTTGCCTGTGATTCAAAAATAAAGATTTAAATAAGAGTATGTTTCCTCATAAATTAAATACTCTAGTTTTATCCATAAAGTTTACAGCTCAGGTTGAGCAGTATAATTTGTAGATATTTTAATAGTTAAAAGTAATCATAAATTTGAATTCAAAATGTACAAAAAGTCAAACTATGGAATGGATGGGGTTATAGAAAGTCAGTTAATATTTGATGTAACAGGATCAAACATTAACCGACTTACACTATGATGACTAAAAATTCAGTGTTTTCTTATATGGATATAAAAGTATATGATACCAACAAGTGGTGGAAAAAGACACAAAATGCAATCACTTTGGGCATGTTTGTTGGAAACATTTTGGTCTTGGGACCTTGCTCACTCCTAATGTACATAAGAGTAAGAAACCATGAGCTTATATAGTCAAGAAGGCATCTGAAAAGTAAGGTTTGGCAGCATGTCACCTGACTAAAATTTCTAGTTGTGGGTGGGGCAAAGCTCGTTTGGTGATCATGTGTGCCAGTGTCTCGCCGATACTGTACTTTCCTGCTCCCAAACAATGGCACCTGTAGACATTAGGTTCTGTGAAGATCATGTGTGCTTTGGTGAAAGCATATCAAATGTTCCTCTGCAGCCCTGTGAAGCATGCAAGTTTGCTAAGTTCATCCCTGTTGCACTCATTTTTGTATTCATTAACTAGTGGACAAATTGTTGCCTGTTTCTCCTACATATTGCTTTTCACAATGACCACAATGGGATTGTGTAGGCACTGTCAGATGTTAGTGTGTCATGGGCTGCCTCCTTGATGCCACTAACAGGTTCTTGATATAAAGAATTTGACCATTCCTACCCTTGGATCAAACATGGAGTGCTGTATAATCCCTATGGATTTAGTGCTTCCCTTAAATATAATAATAATAATAATAGCGATGTACCCACTCATTTCTCTTAGTTTACCATAATTAAGTTAATCACTTCATCCACAGATCCATCTTAGTGCTCTATATCTCAGTAATTACTTTCTTTGTCATACTGTACATTGTCATCATAATAGTGTTGAACTAAACAAAAATTGTTCACTTAAATAATTATAAAGATGTTTATTTTATCGTCAGGTAGGTGAACTATTGCCATCACTTCAGAAGAGTGAGAACTGGAGCTCTGTGTGTGACTTTGACTTTCAACCTGTGGGTGATGACTTCCACATATTTATGATGAGACTCTGTCATGTTAATCCTCAGGAGCTCCTCCAAGACTTGGAAGCGCTTGTTAAGCTCGACATATTACAGGTGTGCTGGAAAGCTGACTGTTCTTCGGTGTTATTGCCTTGGTTTGTATGCCATCAGTGTTTACAAGCACTGTATCTGGACCTTAATCTACCCCAGGAATATAATAATAATCTGTACCTAAATAATAATGCTTTGATTACTTTTATCATTTTCATATATTTTTTTATATAATCATTATTATTTATTTTTATTTGCAATCTTAGTGATTCATGTAGAAATGTTTTCAAGAATTTCGTCCTTTTGAATCTTAATTTGGAGACCAATTTGAAGAATGTGAAATTTTTGTAAAGGAATTTTTGTCATTTGCATATTTGATATAAACATGAACAAGTTTCTTTGTACAGCATTTTTTATATACCTGTGTGTTAGTCAGCAGTTGTGGGTTGCATCTGGGGGGTGTTAGTATACCTTAGATATGGCTGGGCTTTGAAAGGAGCTGAAGTATATTAACAGCTCTAAGAAGCCTGTAAAATTGACATGTGAAAAAAAAGGTTCTTAATCCAAGAAATTGAAGCTACCATCCCTTTCCTCAGATCAACCATAATCATTTCCCATTCCATAAATACTGTACGACTCTTCTAAGCTTAGTATTGCTCCTTCAGTATTCGATAATATTAATAACTGTACAGCTCATAATTATATAAACTGTGATGGTTATAGATGGAGTATTGTATTATGATACATAGTGATTATAAACCTTTGATAAACAGTGATAAACCTTTGTTTACTAAAATAATCTGCCAGTGATTAAGTGCTCATGACACTTTCAAGGAGAACTACCTGGATGATATTGAACAGCTTGTTATCCAGAACTGAAGTCTTCTTTCCCTAGTTCATATCAACCCTGACTGCCTCCCTTTCACCAGGCTTTGTAGATCTCTCATGGCTTATTGAAGTGCATGTAATTAAAGATTTTCAGCCCATTATAAAACTTAATGTTATTGAATTCCTTAATTATTTGTTATTTTGAGATGGAGTGGTTACTGTACTGGGTAGGCAATCAGGTTTATATTTGTTAAAGAAAGATTAAGCTTTTATCCCGTACCATATCTGTAGTTTAAGCTACTTTCCATGTAAAACCATACCCCCTTCTGACCCACACTGTACACTGAAGCATTGAGTTCGTAAATAGATCATTACTAGTGTAACCTTAGCTGATAAAATATTGGGGCCCAGTCCCTGACCCCATATGGTGCTTCAAGATGAGTATGAGTTGCATAATAAAGTCATTAAGCTAACCCACATTTATTAAAAATATTTGGTTATTTGAAGGAAACATGGCTCCTACAAAATATTTTTCTCTTTTTAAATGCTACCGTAGGTTATACAAAATTCTTTTAGTGCAGATAAATATTACAAATGACCATGTTGCTATTCTGGTGTTCCTTAATTCTTTCGCAGAGCAATGAAAGCATTACCATTGAGGAGGTCATGAACTCCAGCATACTTACATCCACACAACTAACTGAACAAGTTAAAGATGGTTATCTAATTCAGATGTTTAGTAAACCTCTTGAATACTTGGGTGCCGAAAATTGGACACTCTTGTCCAGCATGGTATTCAATGTTACGGCAGAAGAAATGTGGGACAATAGGTGGGTCTTTCATTTTCTGGGAAAATCTGTATTAATGCATATACTGTAGGCCTAATTCATTTAATACTTCAAATTCTTTGAAGTAAGTTTTAGAACAATTTATAGATGTTAAAAAAGCTTGTAACTGGTATATTGTAAGCTGATTATATAAGTAGTATATTTGTTATATGTATATTTGATTATTATTGCAAATAGATTAGAGTAGAATTTTTTTTTGTAATTATTTAGGTTTATTAAAATGCTTCGATGAAATATAAGCATGCCACAGTTGCCAGTTATGGGGGCTTCTCACAGCCATAAATTTTAATATGATGCTCTGTGGGATGTAAATAGTGATAATTAGTAATATAAAAAATACTTCAAATTTGTAATACTTAGTCATTTATTATCCATCATTTTAACTTGCAGCACCATGATCGTGGCTACTTTATTAGAACCTTTGGTGGAACTAAGTCGTGAGTCCACAGATCGTGGAGCAGCGGTTAAGACAGCATTACAGAGTCTTGATAAATACCTCCGCTGGGGCAGGTTCCTCCTGGCACTCTCTCGTGGTGGTGATATTTGGATGGGCATAAAAGAGGTATGTCTATATGGAGTATAATTCTAAAAAAAAAAATGATCACATTCACCATTTTTCCTTCAATAACTCTCCTGCCATAAGTATAGGGACATCACAATTCAGAGATCCTTCTCAACAACAATATCCCTAGTCCTTCTTCAGGGTTCAAAAACTGTACTTACCACCTCCAGGACTCAAGTCTGGTTAATTGGTTTCCCTGAACCCATTCAGAAATGTTACCTTGCTCATACTCCAACAGCAAGTCAGACAATAAAAGCCACTGATCTTGACTCACACCTTGTGTACACTTCATATGGTCTACTCTTTTGTTACACACAGCATCTCGGTCAAACTAAATCTAATACACTGCTTGCAGACTACTTAATCTGTTGCCACTTTCTCCCATTTTCTTTATAGGCTCTTATTTATATTAAATCCCATCATCCATTTATCACTTGATTTTCACAGTTAATTTATACCTTCGTGTGGAGATTTACAGTCATTGGTATTAAATATTATTCTTAGAATATTAATCATCTACATGCATATTCATATACATGTATTTTTTGTTCTTTCTGGTAGATCATTTATACGAATTACAAACATTTTTGGGGAAAGCACTGATCCTTGAGGCACTACATTGTTGACATTGATTGAAAGTTCAATATAATGACCATATTGGCAGTTTGGAGGGATGTGTTGTGTATCTTTATACGTATATCCTTCTAAACTGTTGTGTTCTGAGCACCTCTGCAAAAACAGTGATTATGTGTGAGCGAGGTGAAAGTGTTCAGTGATGATGAAAGTATTTTCTTTTTGGGGATTTTCTTTCTTTTTGGGTCACCCTGCCTCGGTAGGAGACGGCCGATTTGTTAAAAAAAAAAAAAAATTCTTGAAAGTTTTTTTTGTGACGAGTGTTTGCATAATAGATTTGATATATGTATAAGAATTTGCTGATCAAAAGCACACTCTTTGCTAGTTAAGAGATTTTTTACTATCTAAATATTGAAGTTTTTAATTGCCATTTCTGTGCGCAAAAAGAATAAATACGCTACTGATATCTCTAGGTTAAGGGTTAATTGGACAAATATACAAGTGATTATGATTAAGTGTGAACAGGACCTGACTATGATGGACCATTACACCCACTACAGTGCTAATCTATTCATATGACCTCATGGTTATATCCACTCCTAGTTTCTTTCACCTCTTTGATTTTAAAAACTCCCCTCTCAGCTGCAGGAGTACTGCTGTGTTCATGGTTGAAATTATTTTAAAATGTCTTTATAAGTGGTTCTTCTTTCAACACGCTGGCCGTATCCCACTGATAATAAGTGGTTATAGTTTATTCAATATATATTGTATTTTTTTTTTTTTTTAACTTCAGTCCTCTCCCACCGAGGTTACGTGACCCAAAACAGAAGACCCAACTTTATAAAGTTTTCTTTCTACGTTTAGTAATTATACAGTAGGAGGGGTTACTTGCCCCTTTCTTCTGGCATTTTAGTCACCTCTTACAACACGCATAGCTTATGGAGGAAAGATTGTATTTCCCTCCCCCATGGAGATGAAAGGAAATAAATAAGAACAATTAAGAAAATTGAAGAAAATTCAGGTTTTGTGTGTGTGTGTGTGTGTATATATAGTATATATATACACATACATACATATGTACTTGTACATTCATGTGTAGTGTGATCTAAGTGTAAATAGAAGTAGCAAGATGTACCTGTTATCTTGTGTGTTTGAGACAGAAAAAAAAGGCAACAGCAATCCTACCATTATGTAAAAATAATACAGGTTTGCATTTCACACACTTGACAGGACAGTAGTACTTCCCAGGGTGGTTGCCATCTACCGACCTTCTACTTACTATTTAGGTAAATATTTTCATGAAATATGAATTATGATGAGAATTATTCATGCCTTTATTAACCATTTATTTTTATTCTAGGCCTACATTGACAAGCCACTTGTAAGTCAGTTCCTCGACATGGTTCAAAATCTACCTGAATTTGTGTTGGAGTACATCACTTTCTTTGGAAATTTTTCCATGGTAAGTTATTATTTTTGTAATATATCTCGTATAATATTACTTAAAAATTGCTAAATCAATAACAACAGTTGAAGCCTCTTTTTATATCTATGTAGGTATCATAAATGATGACCAGAGTAGGGAACTGTCAAGTTTAATCTACCACACAATGTTTAATTTGTTGAAGTTAATGTGCTAGTCAGCCCCAGTCTAAACATGGAGCAAATATTGTACATTAAACAATATGTTAGGTAAATGGACACAAATGCAACTAATGTGACATTTTATTGTGGTAATGTTTTGCACTTGACAAAGCTCCTGGAAAGTGAAACATTGTCACAATAAAATGTCATGTTACCTGCACCCATGTCCATTTACCTAACATTTTGTCAGTAATTATACCATTATTACCAAGTTGTTGTATGTTGACACTACTACTACTACAAGGTTTTCTTTGCAGATGCCCCAGGACATGTTGCTTTATCAGGACACTCCTTGCAACTTTCACCTGTTTTTGATTGATGGACATCGTGATCTTTTAGCAGACAATGCTTCCAGTATTCTGACTGAGGTGTTGGAGTATGTTTGTGAACAGCATCAGATGGACCTCTTTATTTCTCAGCTTCTTCCTGACTCCTTGCCAGTCATTGCTGTGAGTTCGTTATAAATGATAACACTTTCTTATTTCTGCAAGGCTATTTTGTACGGTGAAATTTTGTCTTATGTTCACCTTATTGCTGTTACCATATAGTACAAGGTAATATTTCCTCTCTATTTTCTCATACATTCAAGAATTTCCATATACAATAGCTATCATATCTCTTTTATTCTCACCTCTCTTCCACTGAGGGCATTTCTGGTGCTTTCAGTCCTTATCAGTACATATCTTAGCTCTGACGCTTTTCTTGCCTGTAGATCCATCTTGTCCTACACAAGCTCTGCAAATTCTACACTTTCCCAGTCCATCCATTTACCTTTAGTGGTATAGACAAACCGACACTATCAGCAGGTTATACAAAAACCCAGCATGACCTAAAAGGAGAAAATCAACCAAACAACTCAAAATAATGACCAAAGACGTAGATGTACTCCATCTCCACAATAGATGACACCATCATAATGTTGTCAGACACAAGCAACCACCCATTTCTTTAATTTGAGCTTTCTGTATCACAGCATAAAAGTTATACATTTCATCAAAATGACTGGAGGCACAGATAAGGAACAGTAAAGAATGAGTGAATACATAGAGACTCAAGAAATTAAGCCCTCCCCATACTGTGACCAATGTCAATCTTTCCTCACAGCTGCAGGAAACATCAACACAACAGTTGCCAGGTTTCACATGATATACCAATGACAAGTGAACCATTAAAGAACTTCAGGTCATCTAGGAAAAATAAGTGACATAAACTGTGAAATGACTATACAGCAGGCTGTAGAAAACTCTGAAGAATATGAAAAACTGAAGAGTAGTAAATCAATAGAATTGTGTATAAGAGAAGGTGATAAGTGTTGCTAATATTGGAAACTTTAAAACAAAAAATTATAAGCTAAATACAGTACTAAAGACTTGACATCACTAGCCTAATTCTACTCCTGAGGTTACAGATATGTAATCATTAGCGCAGTCTTTAAAAGGGCAAAAAATTAGAAGCTAGGAACGTTGCTGCCCAAAATGCTCAGACATGTTAGTGGTTTTCTTTGTACTTAGCATTTTATAAAATCTAAATGACACATTGTAACCATTGCAAAGAAATAAAAATTTGTATATGTATTTGTATTATAATATGATACAGTGTCCCCTTGTTACTGTGTCCAATCTCTGGAACATCCTGGACAAAGACAGGATGTTCCAGAGATTGGACACAGTAACAAGGGGACACAGTTGGAAGTTGAAGACACAGATGAATCACAGGGATGTTAGGAAGTATTTCTTCAGCCACAGAGTAGTCAGTAAGTGGAATAGTTTGGAAAGCGATGTAGTGGAGGCAGGATCCATACATTGCTTTAAGCAGAGGTATGATAAAGCTCACGGTTCAGAGAGAGTGACCTAGTAGCGATCAGTGAAGAGGCGGGGCCAGGAGCTCGGACTCGACCCCCCCAACCTCAACTAGGTGAGTACATGTGCTGGGGGAAACTCTCTCTTGGACTTCTCATGTACAGTAATATAAAACTGATTTTCATGATTCTTCACTAGTAATCGTTTGAGGTTAATTTTAGTTTGTTCGTCATATGTAGGTGTATAAAGGATTTCAGGGAAGCTGGTCACCCAGACTTCAGGTGTCAAGGGAGGAAAGTTATAGTTCCTACATTCTGAAGGAGGGGTGAGGATGTTTTATGTCATGTCATTTTAATTTCAATATCTACTCATTTCTGGCAAGACATCTAGTGAATGAATGATGGTGAAGGTTTCCTTTTTTATAGCTATCATTCTTTTGTGGGAGATGTCCAGTGCAGTAAAAAGAATATAGAATAAGTGTTTACGAAGTTGGCAACCAGAACATGTGGAAAATAACTAAATGAGCTACTGATTTTGATACAGAAAAATACTGTACATACCTTTATGAAAGTTATTTTTTAACTAATTGCAGCCAAACATTGAACTATGATAAGCAGGTGAATTGCCAGGTGCATTTAGATAGCATGTCTATCTCACAATTGGAAGATATAGGATTGAGCCACCACAACTTCATTTGTTGATGTGATCCAGATTATACTGAGCATTGTATCAACATAAAATATTAGTTAATTTGTATATTATTTTTGAATATTAATTTATTGTTGCTTTATTACTCAGTTTGCAAACAAATAGTACACAAATCCCTGTTGATGGTGAATAAAGTGGTCTTTCTTAGTTGTATTTCTTACAGTTCACTTTCATGCCAAATTTTTTTTTTTTTAATAATATTTTGTTTGTTTGACACTTAAAAATCTATTGATATAAAGTGGCAAGTTTTTTGGATTTCATTCTGGTTCCTGTGCAGCAAATGCTACTATGTCATTCATTTATCAATACTTATTTATTCAGTAACTTAGGGAAAAGATCTGGCTTACTTCCAAGAACTTGAGATTACAAATAAACTAATGATCAAGCAGCATTGAATAACTCACACTTTACTTTTCACTTAATGTATTTGTCTTATAAACATTAGGGTGCATAAAAAATGTGATATAGAGGATATTAATACGTAATTTGTAAAACTGATAACCAACTATATATTAACAAGAATCTTCCCTTCAGAATGTAAGCATGGATGTGGATGCAGCTACGCTGGCCCTTCTCATAGACTACATAGCCTGGGATTTCGTTTACATTATTCAAGGCAATTATTTTGAGGGTGATCTTCAAGCTCCTCCATGGATGGATACCAACAAGTGGGAGAAAGTGCTTCTTGAATTAAAAAGCTTGTCTTTCCTAAATTGGTTAGTATTTGTTGATTATAATATAATTATTTTGTGCTAATAACTTGATTGCTTCTGGATTGGTTCTGTTTTGAGATGAATCATGGAATCTGCATCACACTGTTGAAAATGTGAGCTACAAAAGAAAATAATTTGGGAAGGGGGGGTCTATATCACCAGAAAAATATTGTCATAAATGCAGATTTTATAAGTCAGGGTAAGCTGTGTACTGTATATATCCTCAGTATATCTCCATGGGTCAGTGGAACAGAATTCTCCCTCTGTAAGCCATGCATGTCATAAGAGGCGACTAAAATGCCAGGAGCAAGGGGCTAGTAACCCCTTATCCTGTATATATTACTAAAGTTGAAAAGAGAACTTTTTGTTTTTCTTTTTGGCCACCCTGCTTCAGTGGGATACTGAAAGATACTGAAAGAAAGATTTCCATTGAATCATTTTTTCCTGGAATGCAGATTAACTTTGATTACCCAAAATAAAAGTTTAAATTTAAAAGGTTGCGGAACAAAATTTTAAATATTTCTTTTTTTTTAAATTTTCCCTTTACATGGTTGTTCTCACGATTCTCAACTAAAGGTAAAACCCCTCCACGTTATTTTCATGAATAATAAAAGGGGGGCTTAGGCTGATAAAAACGTACAGTGTATATCAGTAAATTAGCTGAGGTGTTTCCTGAGGACTGAAAAAATAATTCTCTTTTTAAATAAGTTTCTCTTCTTTTATGCTTTTTTTATTTTTTTTTTTTAGGATACTGTTTTGGATTTACCAGTATTGATGCAGTAAAATTACTTGTAATTGTAGGCCATTAAAGGAGGTGCTGCTAACTACAGGCTTTGGACGGACACTGTGAGATGACCAGGGTGACCACATTTTTGTGCCTGCAGTGGTTTGGTGTACAATTTGGCTTTTCCATCTTGCAGAAAGTTTTAAAGGGTTTTAAACCTTTATTTACTATGCAAATATTCGGGCCTCATGTAAGGAAACCCTCAGAGTTGCAGCTGAAATTCAAAAACTTAATAATAATAAAATGTGAAATAATATTCTACAATCATGTACATGTTTAGGAATGAATGGGACGAATGGTTTTTTGGGGATCTGACGACGTTGGAGTGTGAACAGGAAATTTTTTTGGAAAATTTCGGGGAAAAACTTGTTAGTCAGACTTCAGCCGGAAATGGGAAATACAAAAGCCTGCACTTTAAAGGATGGGTTTAGGAATTGGGAGTTTTTGGGGGAACTCTAAACTGTCGTATCGAGTGCCTCTGCAAAGACAGTGATTTTGTAGAGGAAATGGTAAAGTGTTAATGTTGAAATTTTTTTCTTTTTTTTTTGGGGCACTCTGCCCCAGTGGGGAAGGGGCCCACATGTTTAAAAAAAAAATGTAAAAGGGAACAGGGCCCAGCTGACAACAGGAATCTCTATAAACAAAGCCACTTCTAATGCGACATTTTTGGGGAAAATTGGGCAATTTTGTCCCAGGGGTGTACCCACACTATCGATACACCCAATACCCTTTTACGATGAGTAAACAAAATAAGTGTTTTATGGAAACATGTCCAGCACACTCATAAACTAGACCATTCAACCTTTTTTAACTTATCGTGACATTTTTTTTTTTTAGGTGACTTGTAACGTAATTTATTTTTTTTAATAGATCCACTAAAAAAAAATTTTTACAAAGGGAACCCCCGGTACTAAAGCTTAATATTACAAAATGTTTTAGTGCCCATCTGTTTGAGTACAAAAGAAATTTTTTCCCCAAACCCAATTTTTTTCTTTGGTTTGGGGTTATCCCCATTTTCAAAAGGGCCCCATGGTGACTTATTTATACAAATAATTTAAAAAAAATGCAAAAACAAAATAGTTTACAGCGAAGTTCTGGCAGGTTGTGTTTGTTTGGTCGAGTGCCGAGGTTCCACTATAGTTTTAGTATTAGTCTAAGTTTGCAAAATGCTGTGTATCCTATGGGCTTTCTAATTATTGTACAATGATCTAAAAAAAATTTGGAAATTTGATTTGAATTTGATTATAAGCAGTTTTTCATAGTATGGGGATAGTCTAGTAATAGTTATAGGAATGGAAATTACTTACAACACTCATGAGTTTTCTTTTGGTCTGTCAGCATGTATGTGTACTGGCTGATTTATTTAGGTGGGAAGTACAATGCCTGCACTTTGAAGGAGGAGTGCGGATATCTTTTGGTGGGAGACAGCCAGTGTGTAAAAAAGAAAAAAGTAACTGATGTAAAAATTTTTAATAAAATGAGCCTATCATGTGACTCCTGTGATTCACAGCAAAAAATGTGTCAACTTATCCTCTTATAATACTATTGTGAAAAAAATATATATTTGCATGTGTATATCTTATATATTTTTGAGTATTGTACAACTATTTTATTTCTATGTAAATCTGTAAGATGTTTCAGTATTTTTAGATTTTTTTTTTTTTTTTTTCAACAAGTCGGCCGTCTCCCACCGAGGCAGGGTGACCCAAAAAAAAAAGAAAGAAAATCCCCAAAAAGAAAATACTTTCATCATCATTCAACACTTTCACCACACTCACACATTATCACTGCTTTTGCAGAGGTGCTCAGAATACAACAGTTTAGAAGCATATACGTATAAAGATACACAACATATCCCTCCAAACTGCCAATATCCCAAACCCCTCCTTTAAAGTGCAGGCATTGTACTTCCCATTTCCAGGACTCAAGTCCGACTATATGATAGTATGGATAATACATAATTGCAGTGGTTATATTTTTTTAAGCTTGATAAGAAATTAACTGCTTCATATATTTGACAGGTTCAACTGGAGTTCTTGATATAGATATGCTACTGAATGGTCTAGGCACTGTGGAGGCACTTTACAGTCTGGTTGCTCCAAGGATATCCAATCTTGTGGCTTTGATATTATGGTTCCCTGAATCAGAGGTATGTTGTATTTCATTTGTGTTCTGTAGTTCTTTACTTTGGAGAAGTTCTACATGTGTTTATCTGCTACTTTGCAGAAATACTATATAAACTGTTCTGATAATTTCTCAAAGCCTAAACTGTCTCAAAATTTGTCCAACCTCATTTTGAAGACACACATAGTACTGGCTTTGCTGATTATCATTCATTTGTAAGTGAATGAATTTTTTTCTGAGAATTTGTTTGTGTACTCATCTTAATTTCATTCCTTTAATATTTTTTCATTATTATTTTTTCATGAATGTCTTATCCTAGGTTCTCATATTTCTCTTTCTCATTTTAGTCTAAATCACCAACAAAACCTGGCTTTTCATAACTTATTGTATAATGTTTTAGCTGCATAGCTAATCCCTTGTTTTAACCCTTGACTGTCACAACCCCAAATCCTGAGGTGTCTCCTGGTGTCGCAAAATTTAAAAAAAAAAAAAAAAAATTCTTATGAAATGATAGAGAATCTTTTCCCGATTGTAATAGCACCAAAAGAATGAAATTTGATGGAAAACTGATGGAATTTCACTCTTGTGAATTTAGCGACCTTGGCGATATTTACGAATCGGCGATTTCGCCCGCTTTGAGCCCTATTTTCGGCTAATTCCATTGTTCCAGTTGACCAAACTCATAGCTATTTCTTTAGAACTCCATTTTTTCTATCGATTGAGTACAAGAAGCTGCCCATTTACCAATTTCAACTACCCAGTAACGTGGTCAAAAATTTGCAATTTGGCCAATTTCACAAAAATTAAAAAATACGGCAATTTCAAAATAGGGTCTGGAATGAACAGTGCAGATATTCCTGACTCTAAAAAAATAACATTTTCTATGTTCATCAGTCATGTCTCCAGGCCCCTCTGATATTACTCTTGCTTTTTGTTCTGAATTTTTATTCAAACAAAAAATAAAAGATTTACTGTTATGCAGACTACTGTAATATTATTATAATTGTATATATAATGTCAACCCATTCATGACTGCATATTAGAATGACTACTTGGACATTTATTGGAAAATGACATCATTTGTTTACTTTTGAACATCGGCAAAAATCAAACATTTTCCCTACTTAGAGCTCCAGTTCAAGGTTCTTTTCTTACTAAAACCAATCAAAATCACTTCTACTTCTATAATATGTTTTAAATTTTTTCAAATGAGACCAAGACAATGAGAATACAACCATAAATGCTATACGAAAAAGACCACAAAGTCGTCATTTTAATTAAAAGAAATGGTCAAAGTTATTTTTTTTCTCATTATACACTGCGTGCTGCAGGGTTTTTTTTTGTATGGTGCACACTGACCACACAGACCCATTCTCTCACATGTGGGCCCACCAGCTTTCTCTTGCTTGATTTGAAGCCTCTAGAATTTGAGAATGTATACGTCAAAAACGGTGGCTCATAAGACGTATATATACGACCGAAACAGTCAAAGGGTAAAAAATAAAACACAACAGATGTAATGTTAGCTAGTTGGTACATACATGTAAAACCATTGAAGATTCCCTGGGATATAACATCATTGAACGTTCACTGGTATGTGCTGGTGTGGTGATCAGTACTAATAATATCTTAACTTCAGTAGGCTGCATGATTCATATGATGTTACCTCCTCTAAAAAAATTTGGTTGTGAACTAATTTGCAAAAATTCGTCGAGTAAACGAGGGATGCGATGTTTAAAGTCTCTCATGGAAAAGCCTTCTGCTTGAAAAAAATTATCTGGAAAAGTTAATAGGAAAAACTTAATGTTATGAATGTGTCAGTTATGTATTCCAGGACCTAACTTCATTTCAAATTTATATTGTGGAGTGAAAATGGAAATGGGATACATCCTTCAGTGAAATTGTACTGTATTTTGTAGTTTTTAATTTTTTTTTTTTTTTCAACAAGTCGGCCGTCTCCCACCGAGGCAGGGTGACCCAAAAAAGAAAGAAAATCCCCAAAAAGAAAATACTTTCATCATCATTCAACACTTTCACCACACTCACACATTATCACTGTTTTTGCAGAGGTGCTCAGAATACACAGTTTAGAAGCATACACATACTATAAAGATACACAACATATCCCTCCAAACTGCCAATATCCCAAACCCCTCCTTTAAAGTGCAGGCATTGTACTTCCCATTTCCAGGACTCAAGTCCGACTATATGAAAATAACCGGTTTCCCTGAATCCCTTCACTAAATATTACCCTGCTCACACTCCAACAGATCGTCAGGTCCCAAGTACGATTCGTCTCCATTCACTCCTATCTAACACGCTCACGCACGCTTGCTGGAAGTCCAGGCCCCTTGCCCACAAAACCTCCTTTACCCCCTCTCTCCAACCCTTTCGAGGACGACCCCTACCCCGCCTTCCTTCCCCTATAGATTTATATGCTTTCCATGTCATTCTACTTTGATCCATTCTCTCTAAATGACCAAACCACCTCAACAACCCCTCTTCTGCCCTCTGACTAATGCTTTTATTAACTCCACACCTTTTCCTAATTTCCACACTCCGAATTTTCTGCATAATATTTACACCACACATTGCCCTTAAACAGGACATCTCCACTGCCTCCAACCATCTCCTCACTGCTGCATTTACCACCCAAGCTTCACACCCATATAAGAGTGTTGGTACTACTATACTTTCATACATTCCCTTCTTTGCCTCCATAGATAACGTTTTTTGACTCCACATATACCTCAACGCACCACTCACCTTTTTTCCCTCATCAATTCTATGATTAACCTCATCCTTCATAAATCCATCCGCCGACACGTCAACTCCCAAGTATCTGAAAACATTCACTTCTTCCATACTCCTCCTCCCCAATTTGATATCCAATTTTTCTTTATGTAAATCATTTGATACCCTCATCACCCGGTGGCCTGGTGGCTAAAGCTCCCGCTTCACACACGGAGGGCCCGGGTTCGATTCCCAGCGGGTGGAAACATTTCGACACGTTTCCTTACACCTGTTGTCCTGTTTACCTAGCAGCAAATAGGTGCCTGGGTGTTAGTCGACTGGTGTGGGTCGCATCCTGGGGGACAAGATTAAGGACCCCAATGGAAATAAGTTAGACAGTCCTCGATGACGCACTGACTTTATTGGGTTATCCTGGGTGGCTAACCCTCCGGGGTGAAAAATCCGAACGAAATCTTATCTTATCTTATGTTCACTTTCAACTTTCTACCTTTACAGACATTCCCAAACTCATCCACTAACCTTTGCAATTTTTCTTTAGAATCTCCCATAAGCACAGTATCATCAGCAAAAAGTAACTGTGTCAATTCCCATTTTGAATTTGATTCCCCGAAATTTAATCCCACCCCACTCCCGAACACCCTAGCATTTACTTCCTTTACAACCCCATCTATAAATATATTAAACAACCATGGTGACATTACACATCCCTGTCTAAGACCTACTTTTACCAGGAAGTAGTCTCCCTCTCTTCTACACACCCTAACCTGAGCCTCACTATCCTCATAAAAACTCTTTACAGCATTTAATAACTTACCACCTATTCCATATACTTGCAACATGTGCCACATTGCTCCCCTATCCACTCTATCATATGCCTTTTCTAAATCCATAAATGCAATAAAAACTTCCCTACCTTTATCTAAATACTGTTCACATATATGCTTCAATGTAAACACTTGATCTACACATCCCCTACCCACTCTGAATCCTCCTTGCTCATCCGCACTCCTACATTCTGTCTTACCTCAAATTCTTTCAATTATAACCCTACCGTACACTTTTCCTGGTATACTCAGTAAACTTATTCCTCTATAATTTTTACAGTCTCTTTTGTCCCCTTTCCCTTTATATAAAGGGACTATACATGCTCTCCGCCAATCCCTAGGTACCTTCCCCTCTTTCATACATTTATTAAACAAAAGTACCAACCACTCCAACACTATTTCCCCCCCTGCTTTTAACATTTCTGTCATGATCCCATCAGTTCCAGCTGCTTTACCCCCTTTCATTCTACATAATGCCTTGCGTACCTCCCCCACACTTACATTCTGCTCTTCTTCACTCCTAAAAGATGATATACCTCCCTGGCCAGTGCATGAAATTACTGCCTCTCTTTCTTCCTTAACATTTAAAAGTTCCTCAAAATATTCTCGCCATCTACCTAATACCTCCATCTCCCCATCTACTAACTCCCCTACTCTGTTTTTAACTGCCAAATCCATACTTTCCCTAGGCTTTCTTAACTTGTTAAACTCACTCCAAAATTTTTTCTTATTTTCATTAAAATTTCTTGACAGTGCCTCTCCCACTCTATCATCTGCTCTCCTTTTGCACTCTCTCACCACTCTCTTTACCTTTCTTTTACTCTCCCTATACTCTGCTCTTCTTATAACACTTCTGCTTTGTAAAAACCTCTCATAAGCTAACTTTTTCTCTTTTATCACACCCTTTACTTCATCATTCCACCAATCACTCCTCTTTCCTCCTGCCCCCACCCTCCTATAACCACAAACTTCTGCCCCACATTCTAATACTGCATTTTTAAAACTATTCCAACCCTCTTCAACCCCCCCACTACTCATCTTTGCACTAGCCCACCTTTCTGCCAATAGTCACTTATATCTCACCCGAACTTCCTCCTCCCTTAGTTTATGCACTCTCACCTCCCTCTTACTTGTTGTTGCCACCTTCCTCTTTTCCCATCTACCTCTTACTCTAACTGTAGCTACAACTAAATAATGATCCGATATATCAGTTGCCCCTCTATAAACATGTATATCCTGGAGCCTACCCATCAACCTTTTATCCACCAATACATAATCTAACAAACTACTTTCATTACGTGCTACATCATACCTTGTATATTTATTTATCCTCTTTTTCATAAAATAAAGGCTCCCCATTTACATTTACCCCTGGCACCCCAAATTTACCTACTACTCCCTCCATAACATTTTTACCCACTTTAGCATTGAAATCCCCAACCACCATTACTCTCACACTTGATTCAAAACTCTCCACACATTCACTCAACATTTCCCAAAATCTCTCTCTCTCCTCTACACTTCTCTCTTCTTCAGGTGCATACACGCTTATTATAACCCACTTTTCGCATCCAATCTTTATTTTACTCCACATAATCCTTGAATTAATACATTTATAGTCCCTCTTTTCCTGCCATAACTTATTCTTCAACATTATTGCTACTCCTTCTTTAGCTCTAACTCTATTTGAAACCCCTGACCTAATCCCATTTATTCTTCTCCATTGAAACTCTCCCACCCCCTTCAGCATTGTTTCATTTAAAGCCAGGACATCCAGCTTCTTCTCATTCATAACATCCACAATCATCTCTTTCTTTCTTAATTTTATTTTCTATTTTGTACGATATTTTTTTTTTATTTTTTTATTAACACACTGGCCGATTCCCACTAAGGCAGGGTGGCCCGAAAAAGAAAAACTTTCACCATCATTCACTCCATCACTGTCTTGCCAGAAGGGTGCTTTACACTACAGTTTTTAAACTGCAACATTAACACCCCTCCTTCAGAGGGGTGTTAATGTTAATATTTTTACATAATACAATTCTTTTTATATAGCCGGACTTGAGTACTGGAAATGGGAAGTACAATGCCTGTACTTTAAAGAGGGGTTTGAGACATTGGCAGTTTGGGGGGGATATGTTGTACATCTTTATACATATATGCTTCTAAACTGTTGTATTCTGGGCACCTCTGCAAAAACAGTGATTATGTATGAGTGAGATGAAAGTATTGAATGATGATGAAAATATTTTCTTTTTGGGTCACCCTGCCTCGGTGGGAGACGGCCGACTTGTTGGAAAAAAAAAAAATTCTTTTGAATTAATGATGTATATAAATGTGCTATTTTGCAGATGTACTACAATTTAGCATCAGGAATGTCTCCATCTGTGGCTTACGATGAGATGTGTCAAATAGGAGTGGATAAATCATTACTTCATCCAAATCTTCATGCTGAAGACTGGAAAGCTCTTCAAGAGTTGCTTTGCTCCGTTCAGTTCCAGACACTCTATGAAGATGTGAAGCCACTGTTTAATACTTCACACATTATGACTGGCGTAGTGAGTTTTGAATTCCTTCATTAGAATTTTATTTTCTACTTGTCGAAGATGATATTGCTTACATTTCCATAAATATTCCCATAAATTGACTTACATATGAATAAATGCATTGGCATTTTCTTTTTGAGAAGAATTTTTTGAATCAGAGAATATTTTCTACATGAGTTTTATTAAATTATTATTTATCTTTTTAAGTAATAATTTTTCCTAACATCTGCAGTTGTAAAAAGGAATATAAAATACAGTATCCTAGATATATCTAAAATATACTCCAGTACTGCATAAGTAAGTATAATAGAAAGAGACAGCTGCCACTTCTACTTTCAGACCATCAACTGGATGAAGATCTACTTCAGTCTTGATCATCTAACTGAAAAATTAAAGATTTTGAATCTTCAGCAGTTTGAAAAGCCTTTCATCAATAACCCTTTCCTGATCGAGTTGAGGAACTTATCAACTCTGCAGAAGTAAGGATTAAGAATAAGTAAAAAAACTCGTTACCTGAAGCTGTACACGTATATAAAAACTATTTCAGACATATGCCACCTATTGCAGCTTTTGTAGGGCTGGTGGGATTGGACAATAGGATGCAAGTCCCAGAAATGTGTAGATGAGCAAAAAAAGAGATAAATAGGCTGTATTGATTATGTTCATACTTTAATATATGTGGAGAGTTAGCCTGAGATGAAGGATTTGGAATTCATCAGCTGAATGGGAACTGATGCCTTGGTAAAAATGATTATGTTAAGAGTTTTGGGTATGGTAATTTAAAGGCAGTATTTAAGACTATACAGTGTTAGAACAACCAAGACCAGATATATTGAGGGGGTTCTTTCTAGAGTGGGAAGTATGCAAAAGGCTTTATCTGGAATGGCCTCAGATAGGGGAGATATGACTGAATGTGGTGGGAATATTATATGTACTGTGCAGCAATGTGATCAAAGAAAACATTATTGATTGAAAGCCACTCATGTGATTATCTTTCAGTAGGTTTCATGTATCAAGTAATGTTTTATAATATGTAATACACATGTAATTCATATATGATTTCATATTGCTTTTAGGAATCACTACAAAGAATATTTATTTCCTCTCCTATATAGATTTTTGCGTGGTGTATTTATTGGTATATCAGCCATTCAGCAGTGGAGTTTGAGGAATGATGATCCATCCTACAAGCATATTTTTGCTAAGATACTTATTAGAGTTACTGCAGCACTCACACCCATCACCAAAGATGGTAAGCTTTGGCATGATACAAGGCATGATTAATATATGAAACCCTCGATTCATATGCTGACAGTGTTATAAGTTGTAAGTGTTCCCCTGGCAAGCATTAACTTTTAAAAGTTACTCAGTTTTCAGCTCCAGTATATTTTTCTTAGCTTGTATATAATTCTCTCAATAACACTTTTCTTTTATATTATTTTTCAAGTTACTATTATTATTATTTTTTTTCAACAAGTCGGTCGTCTCCCACTGAGGCAGGGTGACCCAAAAAAGAAAGAAAACCCCCAAAAAGAAAATACTTTCATCATCATTCAACACTTTCACCTCATTCACACATAATCCCATCTTGTTCCTCATCCTCATATCCGACATAGACAAGGATGTCAGCCACAGCACCGTGTCTTCCTTTGCAGATGACACCCGAATCTGCATGACAGTGTCTTCCATTGCAGACACTGCAAGGCTCCAGGCGGACATCAACCAAATCTTTCAGTGGGCTGCAGAACAATATGAAGTTCAACGATGAGAAATTTCAATTACTCAGATATGGTAAACATGAGGAAATTAAATCTTCATCAGAGTACAAAACAAATTCTGGCCACAAAATAGAGCGAAACACCAACGTCAAAGACCTGGGAGTGATCATGTCGGAGGATCTCACCTTCAAGGACCATAACATTGTATCAATCGCATCTGCTAGAAAAATGACAGGACGGATAATGAGAACCTTCAAAACTAGGGAGGCGAAGCCCATGATGACACTCTTCAGGTCACTTGTTCTATCTAGGCTGGAATATTGCTGCACACTAACGGCACCTTTCAAGGCAGGTGAAATTGCAGACCTGGAAAATGTACAGAGGGCTTTCACGGCACGCATAACGGAGATAAAACAGAGATTGGTGGATGAATTTGGTAGGGTGTGCAAAAGAAGAAAATTAAAGGTGAATACAGGAAAGAGTAAGGTTATGAGGATAACAAAAAGATTAGGTGATGAAAGATTGAATATCAGATTGGAGGGAGAGAGTATGGAGGAGGTGAACATATTCAGATATTTGGGAGTGGACGTGTCAGCGGATGGGTCTATGAAAGATGAGGTGAATCATAGAATTGATGAGGGAAAAAGAGTGAGTGGTGCACTTAGGAGTCTGTGGAGACAAAGAACTTTGTCCTTGGAGGCAAAGAGGGGAATGTATGAGAGTATAGTTTTACCAACGCTCTTATATGGGTGTGAAGCGTGGGTGATGAATGTTGCAGCGAGGAGAAGGCTGGAGGCAGTGGAGATGTCATGTCTGAGGGCAATGTGTGGTGTGAATATAATGCAGAGAATTCGTAGTTTGGAAGTTAGGAGGAGGTGCGGGATTACCAAAACTGTTGTCCAGAGGGCTGAGGAAGGGTTGTTGAGGTGGTTCGGACATGTAGAGAGAATGGAGCGAAACAGAATGACTTCAAGAGTGTATCAGTCTGTAGTGGAAGGAAGGCGGGGTAGGGGTCGGCCTAGGAAGGGTTGGAGGGAGGGGGTAAAGGAGGTTTTGTGTGCGAGGGGCTTGGACTTCCAGCAGGCATGCGTGAGCGTGTTTGATAGGAGTGAATGGAGACAAATGGTTTTTAATACTTGACGTGCTGTTGGAGTGTGAGCAAAGTAACATTTATGAAGGGATTCAGGGAAACCGGCAGGCCGGACTTGAGTCCTGGAGATGGGAAGTACAGTGCCTGCACTCTGAAGGAGGGGTGTTAATGTTGCAGTTTAAAAACTGTAGTGTAAAGCACCCTTCTGGCAAGACAGTGATGGAGTGAATGATGGTGAAAGTTTTTCTTTTTCGGGCCACCCTGCCTTGGTGGGAATCGGCCGGTGTGATAATAAAAAAAAAAAAACACCTCAATTACTGGGAGCGCTTGAGGTTCCTAAACCTGTATTCCCTGGAATGCAGGAGGGAGAGATACATGATTATATACACCTGGAAAATCCTAGAGGGACTAGTGCCGAACTTGCACACGAAAATCACTCACTACGAAAGCAAAAGACTTGGCAGACGATGCACCATCCCCCCAATGAAAAGCAGGGGTGTCACTAGCACGTTAAGAGACCATACAATAAGTGTCAGGGGCCCGAGACTGTTCAACTGCCTCCCAGCACACATAAGGGGGATTACCAACAGACCCCTGGCAGTCTTCAAGCTGGCACTGGACAAGCACCTAAAGTCAGTTCCGGATCAGCCGGGCTGTGGCTCGTACGTTGGTTTGCGTGCAGCCAGCAGCAACAGCCTGGTTGATCAGGCTCTGATCCACCAGGAGGCCTGGTCACAGACCGGGCTGCGGGGGCGTTGACCCCCGGAACTCTCTCCAGGTAAACTCCAGGTAATAATCACTGTTTTTGCAGAGGTGCCCAGAATACAACAGTTTAGAAGTATATACGTATAAGAATACACAATATATCTCTCCAAACTGCCAATATCCCAAACCCCTCCTTTAGAGTGCAGGCATTGTACTTCCCATTTCCAGGACTCAAGTCCGGTTATATAAAATAACCGGTTTCCCTGAATCTCTTCACTAAATATTACCCTGCTCACACTCCAACAGGTCATCAAGTCCCAAATACCATTTGTCTCCATTCACTCCTATCTAACATGCTCACGCACGCTTGCTGGAAGTCCAAACCCCTCGCCCACAACATCTCCTTTACCCCCTCCCTCCAATCTTTTCGAGGACAACCCCTGGAGTTTACCTGGAGAGAGTTCCGGGGGTCAACGCCCCTGCGGCCCGGTCTGTGACCAGGCCTCCTGGTGGATCAGAGCCTGATCAACCAGGCTGTTGCTGCTGGCTGCACGCAAACCAACGTATGAGCCACAGCCCGGCTGGTCAGGAACTGACTTTAGGTGCTTGTCCAGTGCCAGCTTGAAGACTGCCAGGGATCTGTTGGTAATCCCCCTTATGTATGCTGAGAGGCAGTTGAACAGTCTCGGGCCCCTGACACTTATTGTATGGTCTCTTAACGTGCTAGTGACACCCCTGCTTTTCATTGGGGGGATGTTGCATCGTCTGCCAAGTCTTTTGCTTTCGTAGTGAGTGATTTTCGTGTGCAAGTTCGGTACTAGTCCCTCTAGGATTTTCCAGGTATATATAATCATGTATCTCTCCCGCCTGCGTTCCAGGGAATACAGGTTCAGGAACCTCAAGTGCTCCCAGCCTTCCTTCCCCTGTAGATTTATATGCTCTCCATGTCATTCTACTTTGATCCATTATCTCTAAATGACCAAAGCACCTCAACAAACCCTCTTCAGCCCTCTGACTAATACTTTTATTAACTCCACACCTCCTAATTTCCACACTCCGAATTTTCTGCCTAATATTTACACCACACATTGCCCTTAGACAGGACATCTCCACTGCCTCCAACCGCCTCCTCGCTGCAGCATTTACAACCCAAGCTTCACACCCATATAAGAGTGTTGGTACTACAGTGGACCCCCACATAATGATATTAATCTGTTCCTGAGAGCTCATTGTTATGCGAAATTATCGTTATGCGAATGAATTTTCCCCATGAGAAATAATGGAAATCAAATTAATCCGTGCAAGACACCCAAAAGTATGAAAAAAAATTTTTACCACGTGAAATATACATTTTCCTACACACAAAGAGAAGGATACATGCACAATAGTAGAGTAGTACATGCACAGTATATATTGTGCATGTACTACTCTACTAAATGAAGAATAAATGACACCTTTATTGAAGATGCAGCAATGACTGATGAGACACTGTGTCCTGGGAGTGCCTTTTCCTCCTGAGTACTGTAGGTCCTGTTTGACATTTTCTTCCAGAACAGGCCTTATCACACTGTGTATGCCACTACGATTCTTAAATCTCTCAAACCAACCTTTGCTGGCTTTAAATTCACCAATATGAGCACTAGTTCCAGGCATTTTTCCCTGTTCACCTGGGTGTTAGTCGACTGGTGTGGGTTGCATCCTGGGAGACAAGATTAAGGACCCCAATGGAAATAAGTTAGACAGTCTTCGATGACACTGACTTTTTTGGGTTATCCTGGGTGGCTAACCCTCTGGGGTTAATTGTTTCTTGGTATTCTCAATAAGCCACACCAACAACGGTGCTACAGCAGCAGCAGCTGACAGTGCTACAGTAGCAGCATCTGACAGTGCTACAGCAGCAGCTGACAGTGCTACAGCAGCAGCAGACGGTGCTACAGCAGCAGCAGATGGTACTACAGCAGCAGCAGCAGCTGACGGTGGTACAGCAGCAGCAGCAGCTGATGGTGGTACACCAGCAGCAGCAGACAGTGCTACAGCAGCAGCAAACGGTGCTACAGCAGCAGCAGATGGTGCTACAGCAGCAGCAGATGGTACTACAGCAGCAGCAGCAGCTGACGGTGGTAAAGCAGCAGCAGCAGCTGATGGTGCTACAGCAGCAGCAGCAGCTGACAGTGCTACAGCAGCAGCAGCAGCAGCTGACAGTGCAGCAGCAGCAGCAGCTGACAGTGCAGCAGCAGCTGACAGTGCTACAGCAGCAGCTGACAGTGCTACAGCAGCAGCTGACAGTGCTACAGCAGCAGCAGACTGTGCTACAGCAGCAGCAGACGGTGCTACAGCAGCAGCAGACGGTACTACAGCAGCAGCAGCTGACGGTGGTGCAGCAGCAGCTGACGGTGCTACAGCAGCAACAGCAGCTGACAGTGCTACAGCAGCAGCTGACATTGGAAATAAATGGTATGAAATACTGACACAATGGAAATATAAACACATATGCAGTATAATGTGATCCTTTATTGACTACGTTTCACCCACACAGTGGGCTTTTTCAAGTCACAAACACAGTGGGCTTTTTCAAGTCACAAACAGATCTGTTTGTGACTTGAAAAAGCCCACTGTGTGGGCGAAACGTAGTCAATAAAGGATCACATTATACTGCATATGTGTTTATATTTCCAGCAGCTGACAGTGCTACAGCAGCAGCAGATGGTACTACAGCAGCAGCAGCAGCTGACGGTGGTACAGCAGCAGCAGCAGCTGATGGTGGTACAGCAGCAGCAGCAGCTGATGGTGGTACAGCAGCTGACAGTGCTACAGCAGCAGCAGCATCAGCAGTTGACCATGGTACCACAGTATTTCGATAATATTTCTCACCCTTTTTACCACAGGGTTGGCACTAGAAGCTTTCTTGGGGCCCATGGTCACTTATTTTGCAGATAAAATCACCAAAAATGCTGTAATAATACGAAATGTTCCGATTGTATGCTTGGATGTTACCGCGGAGGCTGGCTTGTAAACAATGCCACCGGCGGAACATGTGAGGCTGGCTCAGGCCTCACATAGACGCGTCTCAGACGAGTAGCGTTGAGCGAGTTTTTTAGCGCTATGCGAGGCAAAATTTTAGCGATAAAATGTATCGCTATGCGGATTTAACGTTATGTGATGCCAATAGTATGCGGGGGTCCACTGTACTATACTTTCATACATTCCCTTCTTTGCCTCCATAGATAACATTTTTTGCCTCCACATATACCTCAGTGCACCACTCACCTTTTGTCCTTCATCAATTCTATGATTAACCTCATCCTTCATAAATCCATCCACTGACACGTCAACTCCCAAATATCTGAAAACATTCACTTCTTCCATACTCTTTCTTTCAACACACCGGCCGTATCCTACCGAGGCGGGGTGGCCCAAAAGGAAAAACGAAAGTTTCTCCTTTTACATTTAGTAATATATACAGGAGAAGGGGTTACTAGCCCCTTGCTCCCGGCATTTTAGTCGCCTCTTACAACACGCATGGCTTACGGAGGAAGAACTCTGTTCCACTTCCCCATGGAGGTAAGAGGAAATAAACAAGAACAAGAATTAGAAAGAAAATAGAAGAAAACCCAAAGGGGTGTGTGTATATATATGCTTGTACATGTATGTGTAGTGTGACCTAAGTGTAAGTAGAAGTAGCAAGACATACCTGAAATCTTGCATGTGTATGAGACAGAAAAAAAAAGACACCAGCAATCCTACCATCGTGTAAAACAATTACAGGCTTCAGTTTTACACTCACTTGGCAGGACGGTAGTACCTCCCTGGGCGGTTGCTGTCTACCAACCTACTACCTAGATTCTTCCATACTCCTCCTCCCCAATTTGATATCCAATTTTTCTTTATCTAAATCATTTGATACCCTCATCACCTTACTCTTTTCTATGTTCAGTTTCAACTTTCTACCTTTACACACTCCCAAATTCGTCCACTAACCTTTGCGATTTTTCTTTAGAATCTCCCATAAGCACAGTATCATAAGCAAAAAGTAACTGTGTCACTTCCCATTTTGCATTTAACCCTTTGACTGTCGCGGCCGTATATATACGTCTTACGAGGTACTGTGTTTGACGTATATATACTCATAAATTCTAGCGGCTTCAAATCAAGAAGGAGAAAGCTGGTAGGCCCACATGTGAGTGAATGGGTCTGTGTGGTCAGTGTGCACCACATAAAAAAAATCCTGGAGCACGCAGTGCATAATGAGAAAAAAAAAAACCTACCGTTTTTTTTAATTAAAATGCCGACTTTGTGGTCTATTTTCGTATAGTATTTATGGCTGTATTTTTGTTTTCTTGGTCTCCCTTGATAGAATGGAAAACATATTATAGAAAAAGAGATGATTTTGATAGATTTTACTATAAAAAGAACCTGGAAATGGAGCTCAAAGTAGGGGAAATGTTTGATTTTTGCCTATGTTCAAAAGTAAACAAATGACATCATTGTCCAATAAATGCCCAACTAGCCATTCTAATATGCAGTCATGAATGGGTTGATGTTATTTATACAGTTATTACAGTATTGGAGTAGTCTGCGTAATAGTAAATCTTCTGTTTTTTGTTTGAATAAAAATTCAAAATAGAAAGCAAGAGTAATATCAGAGGGGCCTGGAGACATGACTGATGAACAAAGAAAATGTTATTTTAGAGCCAGGAATGTCTGCATTGTTCATTCTGGACCTTATTTTGAAATTGTCATATTTTTTAATTTTCGTGAAATTGGCCAAATTGCAAACTTCTGACCACGTTATTGGGTAGTTGAAATTGGTAAATGGGCAGTTTCTTGTACTCAATCGATAGAAAAACCAGAGTTCTAAAGAAATAGCTATGAGTTTGATCGACTGAAACAATGGAATTAGCCGAAAATAGGGCTCAAAGTGGGCGAAATCGCCGATTTGTAAGTATCGCCAAGGTCGCTAACTTCGCGAGAGAGTAATTCCGTCAGTTTTTCATCAAATTTTGATTTTTTGGTGTCATTACAATCGGGAAAAGATTATCTATCATTTCATGAGAAAAATAAATTTTTTTTTTTTTTTTTTTTTTTAAATTTTGCGACACCAGGAGACACCTCAGGATTGGGGGTTGCGACAGTCAAGGGGTTAATTCCCCATAATTTAATCCCACCCCTCTCCCGAACACCCTAGCATTTACTTCTTTTATTTTTTTTTATTTTTATGGTCATAATTTTCACACTTTCCAGACCCACTGTCTATATGCATAATAATGATAATAATAAAAATAATAATAGTAATAATCTTCATTTCTACAAATACATAATACAACTTATACAGACCTAACTGACATCAGTGACATACTATAGATAAAGCCCCTGGTTATGCAGAGCATTATGGGCAAATTAGGTTTTGTCCCTAGGATGCATCCCACACCAGTCAGTCAATACCCATGTACCTATTTACTGCTAGGTGAACAGGGACAGCAGGTGTGTCTATTCACCAAAATGTTTCCATGCTTACCAGGAATCGTACAATGGACCTCAGTGTTTGAGCTGATTGCGCTTCCAATCGAGCTATGGGACACCTTGAGTAAGAACTTTCAGTTTTGTTATGCTATAGTGCTTTATCATGCATAATACTCTGTGAATGAGTGGACTGAATGAAGTCTTCAGAAATGTCATTCCCCTACCTTGATGGGAGATGGCCAGTTTGTTAAAAAAAAGAGAAAGAATAGGAGAGTTTGGGGATGTTGCAGTTCAAAGGATCACTTGAATTGTGATATATCTGCACGCTTCTGAAAAGAGAGCTATGGAATGAACGATGGTGAATGCATTTTCTTTTCTTGGTTACCCTACTGGTAATGTGGTGGGAGATGGCAAGTATAGCTCATGCTAGTCAGGTTCTTATTCAGATCACTTGTACATTTTTTCAATTTATTTTTAAAGTTACTCAAGTTATTAGTTTCAGTGGCTACTAAGACTTCAACCTTTTACTATCAGAATAAGTGTAGAAGTTTTGAAGAGGAGACTTTGACTATCTCTGCCAAGTGTCAGAGCATTTAGTCTGTGATGAAGGTGTGCCAGTGACCTACCAATAGCAATAATCTGGTTGAACAGGCAATCAACAAAAAAGTCTTGCCCCTGGCTGGGATGTGTAGGTAGAAAAGCTATCAGAACCAGTCACAGGTATATTGCAGTGCTAAGTGTGACATTATGAACCTTGTCAGTAGGTAACCTGAACCACTGATGAAATTTATTACTTGGTAGCTCTTCTAAGGGGTATTTATGTAATGCCATATGAGCCCATTAATTATGGCTGTTCTTGATGTAAATAATTGATGTATAATATAACATACCAAAAATATATATATTTAAGAAAACTTTTGCCTCTGCCAGGAGTTTCCAGCCTGTATGAGAGACTTTTAGACCCTCAACTGTTTAAGGAACTACTGAAGAACTACTCCCATATTGTTGAAGACATTCATAGGACTGAAGCAAACATGAGTCTTCAGTTGCAGGTGAGTCAGTGCTAGTATAAGTTTTTAAGACTTTAAACCTGTACTCACTCTAGCTGCCCTTCTCTCTGAAAGTCTCACACTCATTATAAACTTATGATGATTGAAACTAAGTTATTGCACAACCATGTTTCCTATTTTGCACCTGTATGAACCTACACTCTAACCCCTAACTAATGTAGACCTTCCAACACTATGCTGTATGACCCACATGAATATAGTGTTTTTTTTAAATATAATAAAAATAATTATAATTTAACATGTCCTCATCACAATACATAGAGAAGATACATACAATACTGTATGCATAATATATATATGTCCAGAAATAGTTGTGAATTTTAATAATAATTAGTTTTTTTTTTTTATTTTCATATAGTCGGACTTGAGTCCTGGAAATGGGAAGTACAATGCCTGCACTTTAAAGGAGGGGTTTGGGATATTGGCAGTTTGGAGGGATATGTTGTGTATCTTTATACGTATATGCTTCTAAACTGTTGTATTCTGAGCACCTCTGCAAAAGCAGTGATAATGTGTGAGTGTGGTGAAAGTGTTGAATGATGATGAAAGTATTTTCTTTTTGGGGATTTTCTTTCTTTTTTTGGGTCACCCTGCCTCGGTGGGAGACGGCCGACTTGTTGAAAAAAAAAAAAAAAAAAAAAAAATTATATATAAATGCCACAGTAAGTTGAAAGCTCATTGTATGCACAGCACTGTGGGCAAACAAATTATATATTGATTAATAATAAATAATGTTTTAAAGCAAGATAATTATTAATTCTCAATTTCCATTTTTATACAGCTGAATAGGTCTTCCCTCTTGGATGAAATGGAATATGATTTTTTTGTTGCTGAGAATTCTACAAATAAATCAACATATCTGCTCCTGCTCTCAGAGTTAAGGACTTCCATTCTTAACCTAACAAAATCAGTAATGCCACCAAACAAGACATCAGAAATAGCTGTAACTGGAGACAATTTTCTGACGACTGTTACTTCAAATTTGGTGCAAAATGTAGAGGAAGTTCTTCATGTTGCGTGAGTAGAAAATTATTTGTATTGAACCTGTTCAGTATTAGGATAATTATTTAACATTCAAGAAATAGTATATTGGTTATACTGAAAGAACCTCTACACATAGTATAATTTGGGGCAACCTCCTAAAAATTACAATACAGTGGACCCCCGGTTAACGATATTTTTTCACTCCAGAAGTATGTTCAGGTGCCAGTACTGACCGAATTTGTTCCCATAAGAAATATTGTGAAGTAGATTAGTCCATTTCAGACCCTCAAACATACACGTACAAACGCACTTACTTAAATACACTTACATAATTGGTCGCATTCAAAGGTAATCGTTATGCGGGGGTCCACTGTATAATTATAGCAGTTATAAAGTAAAAAATTGAATTTTTAATTTTTAACATGCTGATCTTCTACCACCAAGGCAGGGTGACCCAAAAGAGAGAAACTTTCACAGTTATTCACACTATCACTGCCTTACCAGAGGTGTACAGATGCGACAGTTTAGATTTCCCTTTAAACAGCAAATATCCCAAACCCCCCTTCCCCCCTTTTTTTTAATTGAATTATAGAAAATAAATTAAAAGAAAGACATGCTGATTAAAAAAAATAATTTAAATTTTTATTTTGGTATTGTATGATTTATATATTATTAGTAATAATGTCCATAGTGTAAATTACATGACAGTACATCTATTATGATTATTTGTACACTATTGTATATGTACTGCAATTATAGCCAATTTCTATCAAAACAAATTATTATGGTATAAATGCTTTCTTGAATAATAATATCACTGTACCAAATACACATGAAAATTGGCAACAGTGAAAACTGGCAACAATTGAGATTATTGATACAGTATATTTGTTAAGAAAACAAATAAGTAATATTACATAAGAAGTAATAAATGTTCTGTATTAATGGAGCAGTTCATAAATTTTTATTATCTTTTCTACCTTGTAAAAGACAGTACTTAAGAGAATAACTAATCAGATTATGTAACATTCACTTTGCAATTTGCAGGAAAATACCACTTTGCTCTTATATCTCACCAAGTGAGGAGATGATGGTTTCCCTGCAACCTGTAGCAAAATGGCTCGCTTTACTCTACAAGCATTTGCAACAGTGGGACAACTATGTTAACCTTACCTGTGAAGTCTCCCAAACCGACCTCACAGATGTACTCGTGAGACTTTTACAGGACTTTGATTGGGAAGATGATATTAAACAAGTGAGTGAAGTTTGTATATTTTTTTTTTCTTCAAAATCTTTATTTTGGCTTAAATGTTGTATTTTTAGGTTCAGATATTTGAAGGTTTCAACCATTGTGTCTGAGCTTTCAACTTTGCCTCTTTATTTTATGATTTAAATTCTCTTTAACAGAAATATAACCAGGAATGTCTTCAAAACAGTAAGCATCCTCACTAAGATACATGACTGTACGTACTTCGCACAACACTACTTACTCTGTACTACTTTCTAATCTATCCTGATCTCACGTATAGTTTGTGCCTGGAGACCTACTACATCAAATCACCTTCAGCCAATAATAACTCAACAAAAAGTGGTGGTATGAATGATCACCCAATCTAGTGCTAGACAACACATGCCCCAACTCTTCAAAAGTTAAAACTTATTCAGTCTACATAACATTCACTCATACAAAACATACAAACTATTTCTTTTTGCAGTATACAGAATGTGGTTTGCATTTTTATCAACACATCAGCTGTCTCCCACCAAGACAGGGCGACTCAAAAAAGAAACACTTTTGCCTTCTTTCACACATAAGCACTGTCTTTGCAAAGGTGCCCAGATATGACAGTTTAGATGTCACTCCAAACAGCCAATATCCCAGACCCCTCCTTGAAAGTGCAGGGAATGTACTTCCCACCTCCAGGACTCAAGTTTGGCTAACTGGTTTCCCTGAATCCCTTCACAAAATATTACCCTGCTCACACTCCAGTAGCTCATCAGGTCCCAAAAACCATTCATCTCCATTCACTCCTGTCTAACAAGCTCACACATGCCTGCTGCATGTTCAAGCCCCTTGCACACAAACCCTTTTTTACCCCCTCCCTCCCTTAATATTACAAAAGTGATCTCTTATGCCAATGAATTTGAATGGCTCCCATTTACTAGGTGTAATACTTTCCATTGAATATAGTAATAATAGTAATTATAACTAGGGGAAACTAATGCAAGCTAGTATACTTCCTAGATGCTGCATAGATTTAGTGTTTAAATCTCTAGTGGAGGGAATGTGAGGTAGGGGTCATCCTAGGAAAGGATGGAGGGAGGGGGTAAAGGAGTTTTTTATGCAAGGGGTTTGGACGTATAGCAGGCATGTGTGAGCACGTTAGATAGGAATGAATGGAGACGTACAGTTTTTGCGACTTGACAAGCTGTTGGAGTGTTGGCAGGGTAATATTTTGTGAAGGGATTCAGGGAAACTGAGTCCCTTCCCTTGCACTTCCCATCTCCAGGACTGAAGTCCTGGAGATGGGAAGTTTGGGATATTTGCCCTTTAGAGTGACATCTGAACTGTTGTATCTGTGTGCTTCTGGCAAGACATTGACAGTGTGAATGATAGAGAAAGTTTTTCTTTTTTAGGCCACCCTACCTTGATGGGAGACAGCCAGTGTATTAAGATTTTTTTTTTTTTTTTTTTTTTAACAATTCGGCCGTCTCCCACCGAGGCAGGGTGGCCCAAAAAGAAAAAATCCCCAAAAAGAAAATACTTTCATCATCATTCAACACTTTTACCTCACTCACACATAATCACTCTTTTTGCAGAGGTGCTCAGAACACGAGTTTAGAAGCATATACGTATAAAGATACACAACATATCCCTCCAAACTGCCAATATCCCGAACCCCTCCTTTAGAGTGCAGGCATTGTACTTCCCATTTCCAGGACTCAAGTACAGCTATATAAAAACAATCGGTTTCCCTGAATCCCTTCACTAAATATTTCCCTGCTCACACTCAGCAGATCATCAGGTCCCAAATACCATTCGTCTCCATTCACTCCTATCGAATACACTCACGCACGCCTGCTGGAAGTCCAAGCCCCTCACCCACAAAACCTCCCTTACCCCTTCCAACCTTTTCGAGGACAACCCCTACCCCGCCTTCCTTCCCCTACAGATATAAACGCTCTCCATGTCATTCCACTGTGACCCATTCTCTCTAAATGACCAAACCACCTCAACAACCCCTCTTCAGCCCTCTGGCTAATACTTTTATTAACTCCACACATTCTCCTAATTTCCACACTCCGAATTTTCTGCATAATATTTACACTATGTATTGCCCTTAGACAGGACATCTCCACTGCCTCCAACCGCCTCCTCGCTGCTGCATTCACAATCCAAGCTTCACACCCATACATACCCTTCTTTGCCTCCATAGATAACATTTTTTGTCTCCACATATACCTCAATGCACCACTCACCTTTTTTCCCTCATCAATTCTCTGATTAACCTCATCCTTCATAAATCCATCCGCTGACACGTCAACTCCCAAGTATCTGAAAACATTCACTTCTTCCATACTCCTCCTCCCCAATTTGATATCCAATTTTTCTTTATCTAATTCATTTGATACCCTCATCACCTTACTCTTTTCTATGTTCACTTTCAACTTTCTACCTTTACACACACTCCCAAACTTGTCTACTAACCTTTGCAATTTTTCTTTAGAATCTCCCATAAGCACAGTATCATCAGCAAAAAGCAACTGTGTCAGTTACCATTTTGTATTTGATTCCCCATAATTTAATCCCACCCCTCTCCCGAACACCCTAGCATTTACTTCCTTTACAACCCCATCTATAAATATATTAAACAACCATGGTGACATTACACATCCCTGTCTAAGACCTACTTTTACCGGGAAGTAGTCTCCCTCTCTTCTTCACACCCTAACCTGAGCCTCACTATCCTCATAAAATCTCTTTACAGCATTTAGTAACTTACCACCTATTCCATATACTTGCAACATCTGCCACATTGCTCCCCTATCCACTTTATGATGTGCCTTTTTTTGTTTTCATTAAATTTAATATCCCCAGCATGAACTCGCCTGAAATGCACCATATTGCTAGTGGCTTTCTTTTGTGCTTAACAATATTTTTATTAAATGTAAACTACATTTTGTATACTGCAGAAAGAAATAGTTGTTTGTTTGGTCATTCAGTCAGTAATTTGTAGATTAAAAAAAAAAAAATATTTTTTAAACGTAGACCTGCTCATTTTTTTTCCAGATGAAAAATGAAGAAGCAAATCAAACTTTCAGCTGTGAGTTTATCTTCGAGCAGTGTGCAAACATCAGTGAGCAGGTATGACTCTCCTACCTCTCTTAATTTGATGACCACACCACTGTTTATATAAAATTTTTATACTTTCTTAATTTTGAGAGTATACATTTGATTTATAAGTAATTTGTCTGAATCTTGTAGATTTTTTTAATAATCTCTTAACTTCAGTTACACCTAATGCTATTTATTAAAGTACTTTTCCAATATAAATTTTAAATTTATTTCCTAATAAAAATGTTGGTTATGCAAAGCTTAACATTTCAGTATATAAAAAGTAAGATACAAGAGCTACGGTATTTCAAATGATGAAGTTTGTGATATGATATAAACAGATTATTGTGTACTGGTATATATACTAATAAATTTAGGAAACCATTAATTGGTATGGATATTTGTTGTATATAAAGGGAAAAGGGACAAAAGAGATTGTAAAAATTATAGAGGAATAAGTTTACTGAGTATACCAGGAAAGGTGTACGGTAGGGTTATAATTGAAAGAATTAGAGGTAAGACAGAATGTAGGATTGCGGATGAGCAAGGAGGTTTCAGAGTGGGTAGGGGATGTGTAGATCAAGTGTTTACATTAAGGCATATATGTGAACAGTATTTAGATAAAGGTAGGGAAGTTTTTATTGCATTTATGGATTTAGAAAAGGCATATGATAGAGTGGATAGAGGAGCAATGTGGCAGATGTTGCAAGTATATGGAATAGGTGGTAAGTTACTAAATGCTGTTAAGAGTTTTTATGAGGATAGTGAGGCTCAGGTTAGGGTGTGTAGAAGAGAGGGAGACTACTTCCCGGTAAAAGTAGGTCTTAGACAGGGATGTGTAATGTCACCATGGTTGTTTAATATATTTATAGATGGGGTTGTAAAAGAAGTAAATGCTAGGGTGTTCAGGAGAGGGGTGGGATTAAATTATGGGGAATCAAATTCAAAATGGGAATTGACACAGTTACTTTTTGCTGATGATACTGTGCTTATGGGAGATTCTAAAGAAAAACTGCAAAGGTTAGTGGATGAGTTTGAGAATGTGTGTAAAGGTAGAAAGTTGAAAGTGAACATAGAAAAGAGTAAGGTGATGAGGGTATCAAATGATTTAGATAAAGAAAAATTGGATATCAAATTGGGGAGGAGGAGTATGGAAGAAGTGAATGTTTTCAGATACTTGGGAGTTGACATGTCGGCGGATGGATTTATGAAGGATGAGGTTAATCATAGAATTGATGAGGGAAAAAAGGTGAGTGGTGCGTTGAGGTATATGTGGAGTCAAAAAACGTTATCTATGGAGGCAAAGAAGGGAATGTATGAAAGTATAGTAGTACCAACACTCTTATATGGATGTGAAGCTTGGGTGGTAAATGCAGCAGCGAGGAGACGGTTGGAGGCAGTGGAGATGTCCTGTCTAAGGGCAATGTGTGGTGTAAATATTATGCAGAAAATTCGGAGTGTGGAAATTAGGAGAAGGTGTGGAGTTAATAAAAGCATTAGTCAGAGGGCAGAAGAGGGGTTCTTGAGGTGGTTTGGTCATTTAGAGAGAATGGATCAAAGTAGAATGACATGGAAAGCATATAAATCTATAGGGAAAGGAAGGAGGGGTAGGGATTGTCCTCGAAAGGGTTGGAAAGAGGGGGTAAAGGAGGTTTTGTGGGAGAGGGGCTTGGACTTCCAGCAAGCGTGCATGAGCGTGTTAGATAGGAGTGAATGGAGACGAATGATACTTGGGACCTGACGATCTGTTGGAGTGTGAGCAGGGTAATATTTAGTGAAGGGATTCAGGGAAACCGGTTATTTTCATATAGTCGGACTTGAGTCCTGGAAATGGGAAGTACAATGCCTGCACTTTAAAGGAGGGGTTTGGGATATTGGCAGTTTGGAGGGATATGTTGTGTATCTTTATACGTATATGCTTCTAAACTGTTATATTCTGAGCACCTCTGCAAAAACAGTGATAATGTGTGAGTGTGGTGAAAGTGTTGAATGATGATGAAAGTATTTTCTTTTTGGGGATTTTCTTTCTTTTTTGGGTCACCCTGCCTCGGTGGGAGACGGCCGACTTGTTGAAAAAAACAAAAAAATATTTGTTGTTAAAAGAAACATTTATGTTGGTTTGCCATACATTGTTGATAAAAAATTTATGTTAAGCAAAGTAACATGGTAAGCCCCTGAGGTAATGATAAATTGTCCAATACATTTCTTAAGAAAAATGACATAGACAGTTGATAGAATAGACAGCCTGAAAATTAGATTTGTATTCAAACTTTTGTTGTCTTCTGTAGGTAAAGGATTTAGCAACACATTACTTACAAGATGAAGAAGCTGTGCAGCACCTCTCGACCTGCCTAGTTTCTGCTACCAATTCTACAGCTGGACTCCAGTTCCAAGGGTTTGTGACTGAATTGGTCTTGTAACATGCTTTAATGCATGAGAATCACATTCCTCTTTAAGGCTCTTGGGGTTTCACTTGTAATATGTAGTGACCTAGTGTGACTTAGAGTGAACTGAGGCAACTTATGTTGCATTTATATGAGCCTCTTTATATGTAGCTACCTTAGTGATACATTAATACTACGTACTGTATACATATGTCCTTATATTTTTGTTACAGAATTTTGACAGTAGCTGGAGACTTATTTGGTTTGGAATCAAGCAAGAATATATCATATGTACTCTCAGATGCCATCGCATCCTTACCTGGTATATCATTAGCTCTTCGAACCCTTGGCTCTAGAGTGGCAGTGATGATCCCTTTTGAGAATATCCTCATAGACAACTATGAAACAACTTTAAACTTCAGTACAATGGTTATAGATGCCATTAAGAATGACTTATTAGTGGATGTCAATCGTGTAAGTGGATAATTAAATTTAAGCTACAATAATTTTTATATTTAATTGTTCTCACAATTAGCTTTCTCTTATGGCAGTTTGACACTGCACTAAAGTAAAAAAGAATTAGACACATGAGCAACATCCGGGTATTTTTAATTTGTAGATGTTTTTCCAGTGGCTTTATCAGTACAACACAAGGACATAGTGTGAAGAATGCAGAACTATATACAAAAGATGAGGTAATCAGTCTCAGACTTGGGCTGGTAAAGAGCACCGTAGTCTTCAAGACTACAGTGAAGACTGTGGTGACTGCAGTGAAGACTATAGTAAAGAGCACCATAGTCTTCAAGACTACGGTGCTCTTCACCAACTCCAAGGCTGATGGACTGATTACCTCATCTTCTGTATATAGTTCTACATACTTCATATTATGTCCTTGTATTATATTGATAAAGGCACTGGATGGCAGAATGTCTACAGATAAAGATACCCAGATGTTGCACATGTCTAATTCTTCACTGTGCACTCTGAAAATATAATAAAGCAATGGCTTCCAATTTCTTCTGGTTCCTGAGATCTAAGCAACTTGTAAGTGAAAGCACAGCTTTCAGTGTTTACACACACACTACTAGTTAACAGAAACCTAGACTGTGGTGATTTTTCATGAGATGTGTGTGGTATATGTATACTGTAAACTTTGTATTTGGTTGGTTTTCATGGTATTGAAGTGTGTTAAATAACTTTAAATTTGATTGCTTGTTTGTGTGTGAAGCTGCACCAAGTATATATGGTGACAAAATGTTACAAAAAGCTTTGAATTATTATTATTATTATAATCATAATGAAGTCTTTCCTCCATGGGGAAATGGAACAGAATTCTTCCTCCGTAAGCCAAGCGTGTTGTAAGAGGCGACTAAAATGCTGGGAGCAAGGGGCTTGTAACCCCTTCTCCTGTATATATTACTAAATGTAAAAGGAGAAACTTTCATTTTTCTTTTTGGGCCACCCCGCCTCGGTGGGATACGGCCGGTGTGTTGAAAGAAAGAAAGAACCAAGTCTTTAACCCAGGCCTATGAAATACTAAGTGTTGTTTCATTTTCATTGAAGAAAAAGTATGTACATAAAGTATATACACATACATGTAGTGTGTTCCTCAAGTGCAGTTTCAAACACAGATCACTTGTTTACTGTAAATTTAATAACCAAAAACATCAATCCAAAGAAATTTGTTTCTGGAATTTTAACTCAAAATTGCTATAACACAATTTTTTTTCTCTGAAATTTTAATTTCCTTCATCCTCTGAGTATTATATCATTTTATTTGCATTTTCAAGATCATATTATAGTATTTTTTGTTATTAAGATATGGTGCGGAAAACTTTCCTGGTACAGAAATAGCACAGCCTGTTAGGAAATTAGCATAGTGGGACATTATTGTAATCAAAACTAAGTTCTAAACCACCAGAATCATGCAGCATAGTGGAGGTATAACCAGGTTAGATATGTGATATCTAAATATTTTTTTATTTAAAAGCCTTAAAATGCATGATTAGTAATTGCAGTCAAAACATTGAAAATGTTAATTGAAACAGATCATAATACAGAATTTATTTATATACATATATATGTTAAGAATCTTTATGTACCTTAACTTGATAATGAATTTCCAAGTGTTTTTTATATAATTCTAGATTTATGGGGCTGATTCTCAAAGGCTTACAAGCTTACTGTCATCTCTTGAGAATATGAAGAAGTGGCTTCGAGTTAGAAATAAAACAGAAGCAACAAATAATATTTTCAAAAGGAGTGCACAAGTTACACCGATTGAGATGTTATACCAAGTTATCCAAGACATGGGTCAGGAGTATTTTACCAGAAACCTCATAGGAAATCTTAATTACACCTATCTAAATACTGAGGTAAACTATTAAACTGACGTATACTGATTAGATCATATAGGCTGTAGTGATATTCAGTGTTGCCATGTAACCTATGAGTCGTCCAAGACTGAAAATATGTTTTTTGTGTTTTTTACACACTGGCTGTCTCTCACCGAAGTAGGGTGACATGTAAAACAAACTTTATTTCTTTGTACAGTATACAAAATGTAGTTTACATGTTTTTTTTTTTTTTTTTTTTTAACAAGTCGGTCGTCTCCCACCGAGGCAGGGTGACCCAAAAAAAGAAAGAAAATCCCCAAAAAGAAAATACTTTCATCATCATTCAACACTTTCACCACACTCACACATTATCACTGCTTTTGCAGAGGTGCTCAGAATATAACAGTTTAGAAGCATATACGTATAGAGATACACAACATATCCCTCCAAACTGCCAATATCCCAAACCCCTCCTTTAAAGTGCAGGCATTGTACTTCCCATTTCCAGGACTCAAGTCCGACTATATGAAAATAACCGGTTTCCCTGAATCCCTTCACTAAATATTACCCTGCTCACACTCCAACAGATCGTCAGGTCCCAAGTATCATTCGTCTCCATTCACTCCTATCTAACACGCTCATGCACGCTTGCTGGAAGTCCAAGCCCCTCACCCACAAAACCTCCTTTACCCCCTCTTTCCAACCCTTTCGAGGACGACCCCTACCCCTCTTTCCTTCCCCTTTAGATTTATATGCTTTCCATGTCATTCTACTTTGATCCATTCTCTCTAAATGACCAAACCACCTCAAGAACCCCTCTTCTGCCCTCTGACTAATGCTTTTATTAACTCCACACAGTTTACATGTACTGTAATCAAATATTGTTAAGCATGCCAGAAACACTTTCACCATCATTCTTGCTAATATGGTTTCATTAGTTTTAAATAATTGTTTTCATGTGGAAGTGCTCGACCTTAACCCTTAAACGGTCCAAACGTATACTATATACGTTCTCTCGTGTAGCACCCCAAGTTTTTTGAGAATTTTTTTTTTTTAATAGGAAAAAAGAGCATATGGCACCCAGGCGTCCCCAATTTTTTTCATATGGTGCACAGTGAGTGCGCACACCCATTCTCTCATGTCTAGGCGACTCAGGCTTATTGTGCCAATGTTGAATGAATGACAAAGGAAACGTATACAGTGGACCCCCGGTATTCGATATTAATCCATTCCTGAGAGCTCATCGAATACCGAAAATATCGAAAAGCGAATCAATTTTCCCAATAAGAAATAATGGAAATCAAATTAATCCGTGCAAGACACCCAAAAGTATGAAAAAAAAAAAATTTTTACCACATGAAATATTAATTTTAATACACACAAACTGAAGAAGACATGCACAGTTACATGACACTTACCTTTATTGAAGATCTGGTGATGATTGATGGGATGGGAGGAGGGAAGAGTGTGGATGGTGTTAGTGTTTAGAAGGGGAATCCCCTTCCATTAGGACTTGAGGTAACAAGTCCTTTTCCGGGGTTACTTCCCTTCTTCTTTTAATGCCACTAGGACCAGCTTGAGTCACTGGACCTCTGTCGCACAACAAATCTGTCCATAGAGTTCTGTACCTCCCATTCCTTTACGATTTGTCTAAAATGGGCCACAACATTGTCATTGTAATAGTCACCAGCACGGCTTGCAATAGCTGTGTTAGGGTGATTTTCATCCATAAAGGTTTGCAATTCAACCCACTGTGCACACATTTCCTTAATTTTTGAAGTAGGCACAATGGATTCCACAACTGGCATAGGCTTCTCAGGGTTAGCCCCAAACCCTTCAAAATCTTTCTTAATTTCCATACTAATTCTCACCCTTTTTACCACAGGGTTGGCACTAGAAGCTTTCTTGGGGACCATGGTGACTTATTTTGCAGAAACAAGCATAATATGGAATGTACCGAATGTATCCTTAGATGCGCGCACACTGGCTGGCTTGTAAACACTGGCACACAAGGGGCAGTTCAGGCCACACATGGACACATCTCGTATGAATCGTATTGAATACCGGGTTTTCAATCGGATACCGAGGCAAAATTTTTGCGTTAAAATGCATCGAATACCGGATTTATCGAATACCAGGGGTCCACTGTATATACGTTTGGGGCGCTACGCGAGAGAACGTATATATACGTTTGGACCTTTTAAGGGTTAATGGGTCATACAGTACATATACAATGGGAGTAACCAGGTTTGATCCAGGAAGAGGAGGATACCTGTACATTCTTGACTCGAGCTCTTCATCAGCATTTAATATTTATTTGGCAAATTTCTGAATAATTTTTTGGAGTTGGAGTGTTAAATTTAATTTTTAAATGTATGTTCTAAAAAAAATTATTACTTTGATATGGTGCACATGGTATGGTACCTACCATGTGTATTGTATCATGGGAACCATATCATAGTATTGCATAATTTATTTAGAGCACTCATTTAAAAATAAATTTAACATTCCAGCACCAAAAAAATGTTCAGAAATTTGCCAAATAAATAAATATTAAATGCTGGTGAAGAACTCTTGAGCCAAGAACATAGAGATAGCCTTCTTTTCCTGGATCAAACCTGGTTACCCCCATTGTCTGTGCTGTATGACCCATTAAGGTTGTATATAGTATGATACACATGGTATCATATATGCAGTATGGTACATGTTATAATAGTACTGTACTATTATATTTTTAATTGCTAGTGGGTCTCTAGTTTCTAAATTGTAATAAACATTCCATTTAATTTTCAAAGATTTTCAGTTAAAGGTTTTAGGTTCCTAAGATTAATCACTGCCATATATTTTTATTATAATTCATAATCTATGAACTCTGGGCTACAAAGTTAAACAGTTGGTGTTCTCCTCCACATTCTTTAAAGTTTGGCATATTTGTAACCCAGAGTTTATAGATGAAATAATGAATCTACTGCATATTAAATATCACTTGTTACTATATTCATTGAGAATAGCTACACTCTTAGGGGTCATATATCACCTGGAAAGATAATTGGGTTTGATCCAAGGACTGGAAGGATACCAGTAATTCCTTGGATCAAGAGCTCTGGACCAGCATACAAGCAGCAAAACCTTTTAGAGTATTAATAAATACGTATTTCAAAATTGCAAGGAATACCTTTTACATACCAGAAGATAAAAAGCGATACTCAAGTAAAATAAGTCAGTACATACATTCATAAGTAAATTTTATGGCAATTCCTTCCTTACTCAAAGTGATTAACAATAAAGTTGTATGTATAGCTTTAAATTTTATTAAGTACAATAGTGAATTTCCCAGAGAATAGTGACAGTTGTGTTTTTTAATCTATAGAGAGGGTGGGGCTGTGTGTAATATCAAGTGGATTTGCCAGTGTGATTAAAACTAGACATGCGAAATTGTAATAATAGCATTACAAATGAACCACGGAACGGGTAGGGTTTGAACCCATGGCGAGTGAGTCGTAAAATTTCAGGCCAGTGTACAAACCACTCATCTAGCTGGATACATTGATTCATCCAACTCATTTGCCATGAGTTCAAACACCACCTATGGTTTATAAAACTAGACACTATATAAATTACTTAAATAAAAGAGTATTATTGTTTTCTTTTATACCAGATTGAGACCATAAGAATGCAAGCTCTGCTGTCCTCAAACTGGGTTAACCCTGTGATGATACACATGAATACTGCTGTTGCCAGCCTCTCAGAGCTCAGCAAGTTGGGGGCTGTCATGGATCTTAACAAAGTAAGATTTCTATTTTTTATTGTGAGCAGGGTAATATTTTGTGAAGGGATTCGGGGAAACCAGTTAGCTGGACTTGAGTTCTGGAGGTGGGAGGTACAATGCCTGCACTTTAAAGGAGGGGTTTGGGATATTGGCTGTCTGGAGTGATATCTGAACTGTTATACCTGAGTGCATCTGCAAAGACAGTGATTATATGTAAATGATGGTGAAAGTGTTGAATGATGGTAAAAGTGTTCCTTTCATTTTTGGGTCACCCTGCCTTGGTGGGAAACAGCCAACATATTTAAAAAAAAAAATTATATATATTTCCATACCTTGTGCAGAAATACAGTATAATGTCTGAAATTTGATTACGATTCATTTTATATATTTAAAAGATTGGTTGACTTTAAGTCCATCAGAAAGTGTGTTGAGTACATTAGGTGTTTTTTTTTTTTCCATTTTAAGGCTATTTTCTTAATTTTTCACTTTCACTGCAGTATCACTTGGTAACCTGCTTACTATTCTTAATTCTCTTCTACTTAAAAGCTGTCATACTCTACTTCACCTCTTAATTTTCTCGTTTTAGTTTTAGGTTTATTACTTTGTTACAGTCAAACCTCGTTATTTGTAGGATCACTTTTTCCATACATATCCTACACAGTGAACTTCACTGAATCATCTGAGGTTGAAAGCAGATCAGTCTGTTGATTAACTTTCTGCATTAACCAGGTAGTAATCTGTCTTTGTCAATTTTATGTCAGTCTGATTAACATTAGCTACAAATACTATGGCAGAGTATTAGAAGTTCTTGGTTCCTGCACAAATTCATTGTAGTGCTTAGTAGGATGTTGGTGCCCACCCCGTGGCCTGGCTGGCAAAGCTCTCGCTTCACACATGGAGGCCCAGGTTCGATTCCCGGTGGGATAGAAACATTTCAACTTGTTTCCTTATACCTGTTGTCCTGTTCACCTAGCAGCAAATAGGTACCTGGGTGTTAGTCAACTGGTGTGGGTTGCATCCTGGGGGACAAGATTGAGGACCCCAATGGAAATAATACAGACAGTCCTCGATGACGCACTGCCTTTCTTGGGTTATCCTGGGTGGCTAACCCCCCGGGGTTAAAAATATGAATGAGATCATATCTTATCTCACGTTTAATGATTACCTCCTCTATGAGAATGCCAAAACCAGATCATTGACTGCACTGTGTATGGACAGGTACATTCTCCCTCATAATTTACCCTTGGATAGTGCTTTCTGAGGCTTCACTTGTGGGAAGGAATTTCCTGCATAATTGTTGCCTACTTTAGGCAGGAGTCTATTGGTTTCTAATCATCTTCCAGCCTCCACTCAGTCTGAAGGTAGCCCTTGATGACATCATATCATCTATACAAGAGACTATTTTTATTTTCTAGGATGAGTCAGATAGTTGTCATAACCTGCTCACTTATAGGTATGCATTTTAGAAAAGTGCTTTCTGCACTGGTGAGGGTCAGGTCATCCAAGTAGATATTAGTCACAATATCATCTTTCTAGTTCTAGGTAGTGAAGCTATTTTCTTTAAGTTCATATTCCTGTGAGCATTGCTTCATGTCCTTAGCCAGTGCTACACAAGCTGTAACATTCTACTCTGAAAAATGAGGAGATGTTCTCCATCCTAAGTTAGGATTCTTCCTAAGACAATGGAGTACATTCATAAATGCTACATTGCTTTAACTCCAACAGTACACCACCAGCAGAAACCACTTGTCTTTATGGACTTGGATTTAATACACTCGTGTATCACTGATCAGAAGTATGTACAGTAATACTGACAGTTTGATTAAAAAAATCTCATGCTCATATTTCTGTACATGGAAGAAATCACAATAAAAAAAACGTGATTACAGTTGTACAAAAATACTCCAGTGAAAATAGAAAAAACACCTGAGCGCTTTCTATTTTCACTGTAGTATTTTTATATTTCTGTACATGTATTAGTATGAAAATATTCCTGGTGTGCAAAATATCTCTCACTAAAGATACTCAGGTGTTGCACATGTTATTCATCAACCTATCACACTCACACTTCCTTGTTCGATGCTGAAGTCTCTACCGCTCATAAGCCACAAACTAAACTGTAATACATTATGTACATTTTTTCCTGTCACTTTCTTCAATTATAGTACTTGTTGTTTAGATCATTACAGGGGAAGTTGACCCAGTGACCTTCCTGACAGGGTCAGTGCAGCTATTACAGATGAAACTCTGGACTAACTTAGCTCTGAGGTAAGCAATCTTTTAGTATACAAATATAAATTATTTCTTTATGCACTTCAGAATAATGTAGTTTACACATAACAAAACATTGGTAGGCACAAAAAGCCACTAACTAGTATGAAATGCATTTTGGGCAGATTATTCATATTATAGTAGGTCATCAACTATTTTGCTATCAGTTATTTATGTATCTTTAACTGTTTTTTAACACATCCAGTCATATCCCAACATGGCAGGGTGACCTGAAAAGAAAAGCTTAAGTTTTTCTTTTTACCTTTAGTAATTTATACTGGAGAAGAAGCTACTAGCCTCTTTCTCCCAGCATTTTAGCCACCTTTTATGACTTATATGTCTTATGGAGGAAGGATTCTGTAGCATTAAATATCTTGAAAACAATTTGGATTTACAGCTTCTATCCCTTTCTTACTTGTGTAGGGTTATGTATCTTGAAAAAAATTGGGAGTTTACACTTTGTATCCTTTTCTGGTAATGATTGAAATCTGTTTCAAGCAAATTCTTGGTGGCTGTAAATAAATGGGCAAATGGTTCCATATGGCATCTGTATTTGGATACACGTTAAAAAGACAGTAGATTTTCCTTTCAGTTTATTTCCACAGTCAATTTATTTCCACAAGTTGCATAATTTGTACAAAATTAGATGACCTTACGTCTCTCATGTGGAAATCCTCTTAGTTATGCAGAGCATACACAAATAACCTGCACATAAAAGAGAGAAGCTTACGACGACATTTCGGTCCGACTTGGACCATTTACGAAGTCACACTAACCAGAAGAGGAGCAGGACGGCTATATATAGGCAGGAAGAGGTGGTGGTGGTAGTAGTAGTAGTACAAGAATGGTATATAATACCGACAAGATGAAATTAAGACACATGCGCAACACCCGGGCATTCCCATCATAGACGTTTCGCCATTCAGCAGAGCATTTCGTGCAAGCTTAAACCTAACTTATGTCTAGAAAGACTAGTATTTTACATATGTGTGTTTAAGGTGGTAATGGTTTTCACAGTAAAATAGATTCCATTAATATGAGCAGAGATATCATAAGTTACATGGGAATAAAAAACTTACATTATACAATATTTAGATTCCATTAATTCAAAATAAAATTTCTAATAAAAATTACAATAAAAGTGAAACAAATCAGTTGCCTGTATTACAGAATGTGATGAGATAATATTTTACATGTATGTAAAAGTTCAACAGAATTCTTCCTCTGTAAGCCATGTGTGTTTTAAGAGGCAAATAAAATGCCGGGAGCAAGGGGCTAGTAACCCCTTCTGTATATATTATTTAATTTAAAAGGAGAAATTTTCATTTTTCCTTTTGGGCCACCCTGCCTCGGTGAGATATGGCCGGTTTGTTGAAAGAAGAAGAATGTATGTAAGACATTATTGATATTCACAGTAGAATTGATTTAGTGAGAATGACTCTGTATATAGACAGGTAGTCCTAGGAAGGTACATGAGAATAAGAATGCTATGGATTTTTCTTTCTTTTTGGGTCACCCTGCCTCAGTGGGAAGCTGCCGATGTCTTAAAAAAAAAAACTTAGATTATACAGTATTTAAAGTTTTCAGTAATTTACCCTAAAAATAAGCATTAGTTCTTTATACATTGTCTTTATCTTTCAGCTTTAGTGGCATCTTAGGAGAAGCTGTACCAGTTATTACAGGATCTGAGTTGGGGGATGACCTCCAGCGTGTAGTGGACGGCATTAACACACTCCAGGCAGCCAGGAACCTTGGCGTTGTTGACTTTACTAGTCTGTATTATTTTGTGTTCATTATCTTTTATTATTATTTATTTCCTATGGCAAAGATTTACTTATAACATTTATATGAAGACTCTGCAAGTAACTTACAAATTTTATGTGTAAATAAAAACTGTATATAGATTTCTTCAGGAACTTGCAGTATCAATGCCTCAGTGAATAGATATTTAATATGTGAAGCTGTTCAAGTTGCAACATAATGATTTTTTTAGTGAAGGTTCTGAAGTTACTAAGCCTACCCTAAATATAAAAAAAATATTGTACATATCTTCTACAATAATTAGAAATATTGTGGTACATATATTGTTTTACCTAATTTTGGTCATCCTACCTTGGTGAGAAATAACCATTATAGTATTTACTTCTCATTGACTGCATGTGTATATGTATGCATGTATATATATATACTTTCTGGGAATTTTCCATAATTAGTTTTTATCTCCTGGACAGTACCAACAATATCCATCATTTCAAACTGGACAGACATGCAGAAGTATCTGGAAGATGTCCTTCTGATGGATCCACAGGTTATTGAAGCTCTCAAGGACTCTCAGCTTAATCTTATGGCTGTAAGGAGCAACTCATGATTTGTCACCCTATTGAAGTCTAGTATTTAAGAAATGCACTGCATGCCTAACAGTATTTTATTACATATAAACTGTAGTAATTGTATACTGCTTAAAAGAAATAGTGTATTTTGTATTTAAATAGCTCTCTGGGTTAAATAATCCTGTTTCCTCTCAAAATATGAAATATGGAAGTATAGTAGTACCAACACTCTTATATGGGTGTGAAGCTTGGGTTGTAAATGCTGCAGCAAAGAGGTGGTTGGAGGCAGTGGAGATGTCCTGTCTAAGGGCAATATATAGTGTAAATATTATGCAGAAAATTCAGAGTGTGGAAATTAGGAGAAGGTGTGGAGTTAAAAGTATTAGTCAGAGGGCTGAAGAGGGTTTGTTGAGGTGGTTTGGTCATTTAGAGAAAATGGATCAAAGTAGAATGACATGGAGAGCGTATAAATCTGCAGGGGAAGGAAGGCGGGGTAGGGGTCGTCCTCGAAAAGGTTGGAGGGAGGGGGTAAAGGAGGAGGTGTGGGCGAGGGGTTTGAACTTTCAGCAAGCGTGCATGATCGTGTTAGATAGGAGTGAATGGAGACAAATGGTATTTGGGACCTGACGAGCTGTTGGAGTGTGAGCAGGGTAATATTTAGTGAAGGGATTCAGGGAAACCGGTTATTTTATATAACCGGACTTGAGTCCTGGAAATGGGAAGTACAATGCCTCCACTCTAAAGGAGGGATTTGAGATATTGGCAGTTTGGAGGGATATATTGTGTATTTTTATACATATATACGTGTACTTCTAAACTGTTGTATTCTGGGCACCTCGGCAAAAACAGTGATTGTGTGCGAGTGAGGTGAAAGTGTTGAATGATGATGAAAGTATTTTCTTTTTGGGGATTTTCTTTCTTTTTGGGTTACCCTGCCTCAGTGGGAGATGGCCGACTTGTTGAAAAAAAAAAATTATAATCATCAAAATGAATGAAAATGGGGAAAACCTCTCCTAAACCACATTTAGTATAAAAATTTTGATAAGCTCAAATAGATGAAAATTTAGTATAGAAATGTGAAATTGGTTTATCTAAATTGGCTTATCATTTACCTTTAGCAGTATTGCCAGTACATCAGAACATGTTGGGTATATTTGTTTATTTACACTCGTGTCTCTGAAGTGGCAGTAATTAATATCACTTGTGAAAATAATAAAAATTTTTATACATTGTGTCTTTTGTAGGTAGTAGGTTGGTAGACAGCAACCACCCAGGGAGGTACTACCATCCTGCCAAGTGAGTGTAAAACGAAAGCCTGTAATTGTTTTACATGATGGTAGGATTGCTGGTGTCCTTTTTTCTGTCTCATAAACATGCAAGATTTCAGGTACGTCTTGCTACTTCTACTTACACTTAGGTCACACTACACATACATGTACAAGCATATATATACATACCTGGAGTTTACCTGGAGAGAGTTTCGGGGGTCAACGCCCCCACGGCCCGGTCTGTGACCAGGCCTCCTGGTGGATCAGCCCCTGATCAACCAGGCTGTTGCTGCTGGCTGCACGCAAACCAACGTACGAGCCACAGCCTGGCTCATCAGGAACTGACTCTGAGTTTTCTTCTGTTTTCTTTCTAGTTATTGTTCTTGTTTATTTCCTCTTATCTCCATGGGGAAGTGGAACATAATTCTTCCTCCGTAAGCCATGCGTGTTGTAAGAGGCAACTAAAATGCCGGGAGCAAGGGACTAGCAACCCCTTCTCCCATATAAATTACTAAATTTAAAAAGAGAAATTTGTTTTTCTTTTTGGGCCACCCTGCCTCAGTGGGATACAACTGGTTTGTTGAAAGAAAGAAGAAGTCTCTGAAGTGGCAGTAATTAATATCACTAGTGAAAATAATAAAAATTTTTATACATACATTGTGTCTTTTGTAGGTAGTAGGTTGGTAGACAGCAACCACCCAGGGAGGTACTACCATCCTGCCAAGTGAGTGTAAAACAAAAGCCTGTAATTGTTTTACATGATGGTAGGATTGCTGGTGTCCTTTTTTCTGTCTCATAAACATGCAAGATTTCAGGTACGTCTTGCTACTTCTACTTACACTTAGGTCACACTACACATACGTATACAAGCATATATATATACACACACCACACTTAGGTCACACTACACATACATATACAACCATATATATACACCCCCCCCCTGGGTTTTCTACTATTTTCTTCCTAGTTCTTGTTCTTGTTTATTCCCTCTTATCTCCATGGGAAAGTGGAACATAATTCTTCCTCTGTATGCCATGCGTGTTGTAAGAGGTGACTAAAATGCCGGGGGCAAGGGGCTAGTAACCCCTTCTCTTGTATAAATTACTAAATTTAAAAAGAGAAACTTTTTTTTTTTCTTTTTGGGTCACCCTGCCTCGGTGGGATACGGCCGGTTTGTTGAAAAAAAAATTGTCTTTAGCAATAGACGAGGTCCTAGTATTTTTATCATATTTTTGTATTGACAACTGTTGGTGCAATCAGTAATGTAATAAATAAACTTACTGAAACAATATTAGCAAGTTACCCTTCAAAATACTCTACAAATATAATGAATCATCTTTGGTTTTTAGTATTGCACAAGTAATTTTCAGATTTTTAAAAGAAAGATTGGTCACACTTTATTTGTAAATTGAGTAAGAGGTTCAACATTAAGTTGGAAGGTATTTTTTCTATGCGCTACAACTACTATTTGTTACTCACGTTCTTTAATAGGACATCACTCTTTTTTCCAGTTACTGTCTCTTGAAGATGTGACCCTGGAAGAGGTTATCTGCGGGGAGTCCCAAGTAGAGCGTGTGATAACCCTCCCACCAGATACCCAGGTCACATCTGCCATTCTCACTGCCTACATTTGTAAATCCAATGACTCTCAAGGCCTTGCTGCAACATTTTTGCAGCACCTCGATCTTGCTCCACTCATTGTCATAGTAAGAGCAGTTACTTCTTTGTTAGAAATGAGATGGAAGGTGTGGGAGATACCCAGTGTGGGAGACAGCCAGTGTGGGGGATGGCTGGTGTGGATTATGACACAGAATGATTTATAGATATGGATTGCAGAATGCTAAAAACGTGGAATAATTTTACTTGTTTTGTGATTATAACTTATGCACTATGATGGTAAATTGGAGTCATAACAGCAGCAGGTTGTAATGAAAGTGTAAATTTGATAATGGTAGAAACAGAATATTTTTCGAGCACTGAATAACCAAACAGTTCCAGTACCTGTACTTTGTAAATAAAATCAAGCAAAGTAACCCCTGTCAGTGAGGGGGGAAAATGTTAAGGTAAAGTTTAAATGTGCTTCTCATTTTAAGCAGAAAGTATAGCTTGTGATATACATAGGAGGATGTCTAAATAAATCTTGTCCATGCAGCTGACAAAATGTGGACTGAACTCCAGCCTGTCGTCACACGGCATGACCCTAGAGCAGGTGATGGATGCAGTAGACACTCTCGTTGAGGCCTCTACTTATCTGCCTACTCTTCCCAACCTCATTCAGTCCTTGAAAAAATTTCCCATGGAAGTCTTCAAGGAGCCTCAGATGCCCAAATAATATGGGAAAAAGGAAAAAACACACGGGCTATTCGGGAAGGGGAAATTTCATGAAATTCATTTTTTTGAAAATTTATTGTTTTTACTTTTATACCCCAAAAAAAAATTTAAAAATAAAATTTAAGAATAAATTTTATATTTTTATTACACAAAATCTTTGCCCCATGCAATTTACTTTTTTGCTAAATAATTAAAAAAAAAATTACATGTCAATTCCTGCTCAAAACCCCAACCCGGATCGTCAGGTCTAAATTAAAAAGTCTCCTTTTCCCCTCCTATCTAACCCCTCACGCACGCTTGCGGGAAAAGCCCAAACCCCCCCCCTCGCCCCAAAACCTCCTTTACCCCCTCTCAAAAACCCCTTTTTAAAGGACGACCCCTACCCCACCTTCCTTCCCCTATAGTTTTTATATGTTTTTTCCATGTCATTTACTTTAAACCAATCTCTTTTAAATCCCCAAAACCATTCAAAAAACCCTCTTCTGCCCTCCTGACAAAAAATTTTATTAACTCCCACCTTTTCCTAATTTCCATACTCCAATTTTCTGCAAAATTTTTAACACCACAAAATTGCCCAAAAACCCGGGGACACCCTCCCCCGCCCCCCAAACCCGTCCCCCTCGCTACGGGAAATTTACCACCCAAGCTTCACACCCAAAATAAGGGGTTTTTTTTTTTTGGAAAATAATAATTTTTTTGCCTCCATAATAATGAACCCCCCCCCCCCCCCCCCCCCCCCCCCCCCCCCCCCCCCCCCCCCCCCCCCTTTTTTTTCCCTCATCAATTCTATGATTAACCTAAACCTTCAAAAACCCAAAACCTGCCGAAAAGGCAACTCCCAAGTATCTAAAAAAATTCACTTCTTCCATACCCCCTCCTCCCCAATTTTATATCCAATTTTTCCCTTTTTCCCAAAACATTTGATACCCTCATCACCTTACTCTTTTCATGTTCACTTTTTAACTTTTTTAACCCTTTACACCATTCCCCAAACATCCAAAACCTTTGCAATTTTTTTTTAGAATCTCCCCCCCCCTAAGCCCCAGTATTATCAGCCAAAAAAATAACTGTGTCAATTCCCCCCTTTTTTAATTTTATTCCCAAAAAATTTTAAACCCCCCCTCCCCGAACTCCCCCAGATTTTCTTCCTTTACAAACCCCCTCAAAAAATATATTAAACAAAACCCTGGTGACCTTTCCCATCCCTGTCTAAGACCCACCCTTTTTCCAGGAAATAGTCTCCCCCTCTTCTACACACCCTAACCCGAAACCTCACATCCTCTTAAAAAATCTTTACAGGGATTTAATAACTTACCCCCCTATTCCTTTTACTTGCAACATCTTTCCACATTGTCCTCTATCCACTCTATCCCAAAGCCTTTTCTAAATCCAAAAAGCAAAAAAAACTTCCCTACCTTTAACTAAAAATGTTCCCCCAAAAATTATGCTTCAATGTAAACACTTGGGTCACACATCCCCCACCCACTCTGGAAAACCCCCCTTGTCATCCGCAATCCCACATTCTGTTTACCTCTAATTCTTTTAATTTTTAAAACCCCCCGTACACTTTTCCTGGTATATCCGTAAAAAATTTTCCCCTATAATTTTTTTCAATCTCTTTTGTTTCCCCCTTTTCCCCTTTTTAAAAAAAGGGACTAAAACATGCTCTCCGCCAAAACCCTAGGTACCTTCCTCTCTTTCATACATTTATTAAACAAAATACCAACCTCTCCAACACTATATCCCCCCCTGCTTTTAACATTTATGTCATGATCCCATCAGTTCCAGCTGCTTTACCCCCTTTTATTCTACGTAATGCCTCACGTACCTCCCCCACACTTACATTCTGCTCTTCTTCACTCCTAAAAGATGGTATACCTCCCTGACCAGTGCATGAAATTACCGCCTCTCTTTCTTCCTTAACATTTAAAAGTTCCTCAAAATATTCTTGCCATTTACCTAATACCTCCATCTCCCCATCTACTAACTCCCCTACTCTGTTTTTAACTGCCAAATCCATACTTTCCCTAGGCTTTCTTAACTTGTTTAACTCACTCCAAAATTTTTTCTTATTTTCATTAAAATTTCTTGACAGTGCCTCTCCCACTCTATCATCTGCTCTCCTTTTGCACTCTCTCACCACTCTCTTCACCTTTCTTTTACTCTCCATATACTCTGCTCTTCTTATAACACATCTGCTTTGTAAAAACCTGTCATAAGCTACCTTTTTTTCTTTTATCACACCCTTTACTTCATCATTCCACCAATCACTCCTCTTTCCTCCTGCCCCCACCCTCCTATAACCACAAACTTCTGCCCCACATTCTAGTACTGCATTTTTAAAAGTATTCCAACCCTCTTCAACCCCCCCACTACTCATCTTTGCTCTAACCCACCTTTCTGCCAATAGTCGCTTATATTTCACCCGAACTTCCTCCTCCCTTAGTTTATACACTTTCACCTCCCTCTGAAGGGATTCAGGGAAACCGGTTATTTTCATATAGTAGGACTTGAGTCCTGGAAATGGGAAGTACAATGCCTGCACTTTAAAGGAGGGGTTTGGGATATTGGCAGTTTGGAGGGATATGTTGTGTATTTTTGTATGTATATGCTTCTAAACTGTTGTATTCTGAGCACCTCTGCAAAAACAGTGATAATGTGTGAGTGTGGTGAAAGTGTTGAATGATGATGAAAGTATTTTCTTTTTGGGGATTTTCTTTCTTTTTTGGGTCACCATGCCTTGGTGGGAGACGGCCGACTTGTTGAAAAAAAAAAAACACGTCAATCATACACGAAATGTAAAAAGTACAAGTAAATTAAAGGAATCTCTATAAATCGCTGGAATTGATGAATAGTGCAGTACATGTAGCTATCATTGTACTGTATACAGTCATGTTAGTTAATAAAGCTCATCCATCGTGTAGAGCATAGTTTTTTTTTTTTTTCAACAAGTCGGCTGTCTCCCACCGAGGCAGGGTGACCCAAAAAGAAAGAAAATCCCCAAAAAGAAAATTTGAAAGTAATATGAAAGTAATAGTTTGGGCAGTATTTTCTACTAATGTAATTAGGATTTTTTTCTATCTGGAGGGACGTTTGAATTATGTCTGTGTATTTCTAGAAAAACAGGTAGAGAATGACCACTGGTGAATGCATTTCCTTTGGATCACCCTGTCTTGGTGCAAAATGGATATGTTTTTAAAAATAAAATTTATTTTTATTGTATATTAAATCACAAAATTAATTCAATAATTTTCTTTGCAGCTCCTGATTTCCTTGAGCGTGCTGGACATGCTTTGTGTGGCCATCCTCTTCAATTGGTTCCGGATAGTCTGGGACTTATAAAGAAACACAAAGAAGACATACATGAACAAAATCATAGTAAGATGCATCTTATTCAAAGTCCGTATACTGTAGTCTTTGACAAAGAGATACTGTGTCATCACTTGTACTGTAATATGTTTTATTTTAAAAGTTTGTTGTAACAAAGAACCAGCCACGATGCTTTACACAGTAGTAATGTCTACAGTATAAATAATAATAATTCTATAATTTTCAATGTTTATAAAGTGGCAAGCTCTGAGATTCTTTTCCGTTCATTGATAGTGATGTGACCCTTTGCAGCTGTACATTGCAATTTTATTTAAAATCCTTGACAACTAATATGCTGAACTTTACCTTGTCATTACAGATAATAAAAATGTTTGTGGGGCACTCTATGATAATATCAAATCATTACCTGGTGGAGGAGTGCTTCTTCACTTCATTAAACCACTAATGGTGGGCAAGATCTTCTATACTCCAGACAATAACATTACCCAGGGCATTATTGCACAGGCAAGTACTGTATAACAAAATTAAATCACTAATAATTCAAATAACATACAAGTTTTAAAATACTTATTGAGCATTCTATATTTTTACAGGCAAATGAGACCTTTGAGATGGTTGAGAAGCAGTTAGATGCATTGAAGCAATTACACAGAAGCACCACTCAGCTACTCACTGCATCTACCAGGGACCTTGACTTACAGGTACTGATTGCAAGTTGTCTCATAGTTATAATGTAATGACAGTAGAGGATTTCCTAGGTCTGATGTTGGTCACAACTTGGAAGTGTATGTTCATTAGTCTTAAGTACATGGTGTAAGAGAGAGAGAGGAATAACAAGGGTTGTCAGTTCTCTTTACTCTAACAGTCCTCTAGCACAGAGTTTCTCAAACCGGAAGCTATGGCCCCCATGAGTCAAACGGTAAGCTATGGCCTCTATGTTGGCTGTTTGGAATGACATCTAAACTGTTGTATCTGAGCGCCTCTGCAAAGACAGTGATTATGTATGAATGATGGTGATAGTGTTGAATGATGAAAGTTTTTTCTTTCTTTTTGGGTCACCCTGCCTCAGTGGGAAACGGCCAACATGTTAAAAAAAACTATAATAGTAATTAAAATTTTAAATGCATTGTTTTCATTTTTAATCTTTTTTGTTAACTGTATTCTCTGCATTTTAGAAGCTGCAAGAATCACTAGAGAAGTCATGGGTTCAAGGCTTCATGCAGCAATTGCTTCCAGCTTCCTCAGTTACATCATTGCCTCAGCAGATCAAGCAAGCCTCACCACAGCTTCAAGATGCCATGAAATTTGCCAAGGTTGGCTCTAGAAAGAAAATCTGTACATTGAGAACAGTGGAAAAATTATTATGCTTTACTTCTTGTGGGAAATAGTATGTTATTGATTTTAAAATGATAATTTTTTCTTTGTTTTTACTGAATATCATGCCCACCTAATGGTCCCTTGTTTCCTTCCCTCTTGAGGAATTCTCCTATATTGTTGAGGTGGGTGTGAATCTCACCTCGTGTATGGAGCTGCAGAGATTTATGCCTGTCAGCAATGAAGAACAACTATTAAAGAAGGCAAAGTATACTGCAAAACACAAGGAGTTTCTGGCAGGTAAGTTCTCCTTGCTACAGTGTAACTGAGCGAGTGGAGCTCTCACTTGAGAGTGCTTGAAAAATGCTCAAAAAGAGAGGGTTCTATTTCATAATGCCCTTCAAGAGGCAGTACGTTGATGCTGGTGAAGGAATCTCGATTCAAGTCATTGGAACTACCCCCCCCCCTCCCCTTCCTTAAATCAAAATTAGTTACCCTCTATTTCCCATGTGCTATAACACCTTGACAGGTGTAGTGCCTCCCTATAAATATAATTATAATTTTTACCCTCTGACATTTTCTCTTACTGTAATGTCCTACAGTTGCAGTCTCCATGCTTGAATAATAATATCCAAGTGAGGACATGCAGTACAATTGTAGTGCTGAATAATAATTTGATTATTCTTGTATTCATAGGCAACATTTATTTATGGGCTCAGGAAAACCATTTAGTCAGACTTGAGTTCTGGAAGCAGGAAGTACAGTGCTTGCACTCTGGAGGATGGGTGGGGATACTGCAGTTTAGATGGTTGTTTGAATTGTTATCCACACACTTTTAGCAAGACTGCTGTTGAATGAATGATGGCAAAGGTGTTTCCTTTGTTCATCTTACTTTGATGGAAAACATCTATTGTTCTTAAAAAAAAAAAAAAAGTAATCACAGTTTAAAGTTTGAATAAATGGAAATGTCTATATGGTACTAAGTTGTGGTAGAAATTTATTTTTGTTTTGCATAGCATATAAGCACCAGTAATCCTTATCCGATATGTTTTATTTATTTTTGTCCAAGGTATTGTGTTTGCTGGAGTCGGAGAAACAGGTGACACTGGAGGTAACCTTCCACAAAATTTAACCTTCACCATACGAGTAGACTCAGAGAAAAGTCCCTCAACATTGTATCTGGAACCAAGGTAGGATTTAATATATACAGTGTTAATAACAACCATTGAATACAAAACATAGTCATCTAAAAAAATATTCACTTAGATAATAACCAGTAAGCTCACATTCCACATACAAATGACCCACTGTGGTGCATAATACTGTAAGATAATTCCCCCCCCCCCCCAACAAGTCTGCCATCTCCTACCGAGACAGGGTGACCCAAAAAGAAAGAAAATCTCCAAACAGAAAATACTTTTATCATCATTCAACACTTTCACCTCATACATAATCACTGTTTTTGCAGAGGCTCCCAGATACAATAGTTTAGAAGCATACATAAAGATATATAACATATCCCTCCAAACTGCCAATATCCCAAACCCCTCCTTTAGAGTGTAGGCATTGTACTTCCCATTTCCAATACTTAAGTCCGGTGGTCTGGTGGCTAAAGCTCCCGCTTCACACACGGAGGGCCCGGGTTCGATTCCCGGCGGGTGGAAATTCCGACACGTTTCCTTACACCTATTGTCCTGTTCACCTAGCAGCAAATAGGTACCTGGGTGTTAGTCGACTGGTGTGGGTCGCATCCTGGGGGACAAGATTAAGGACCCCAATGGAAATAAGTTACAGTCCTCGATGACGCACTGACTTTCTTGGGTTATCCTGGGTGGCTAACCCTCCGGGGTTAAAAATCCGAACGAAATCTTATCTTATCTCTTATCTTATAAAAATAACCGGTAAGATAAATGATACTTTTTTCAGAATTTTTTCTTTTTTAACAAGTCGGTCTTATCCCACCGAGGCAGGGTGACCCAAAAAGAAAGAAAATCCCCAAAAAGAAAATACTTTCATGATCATTCAACACTTTCACCTCACTCACACATAATCACTGTTTTTGCAGAGGTATTCAGGATACAGCAGTTTAGAAGCATATACATACGTATAAAGATACACAACATATCCCTCCAAACTGCCAATATCCTAAACCCCTCCTTTAGAGTGCAGACATTGTACTTCCCATTTCCAGGACTTACTTATATACAAATAACCGGTTTCCCTGAATCCCTTCACTAAATATTACCCTGCTCACACTCCAACAGCTCGTCAGGTCCCAAATACCATTCGTCTCCATTCACTCCTACTTAACACGCTTGCTGGAAATCCAAGCACCTCGTCCACAAAACCTCGTTTACCCCCTCCAACCTTTTCAAGGATGACCCCTACCCCGCCTTCCTTTCCCTACAGATTCATATGCCCACCATGTCATTCTACTTTGATCCATTCTCTCTAAATGACCAAACCTCCTCAACAACCCCTCTTCAGCCCTCTGACTGATACTTTTATTAACACCTTCTCCTAATTTCCACATTCCGAATTCTCTGCATAATACAGTATTTACACCACACATTGCCCTTAGACAGGACATCTCCACTGCCTTCAACCGTCTCCTTGCTGCAGCATTTACAACCCAAGCTTCACACCCATATAAGAGTGTTGGTACCATTATACTTTCATACATTCCCTTCTTTGCCTCCATAGATAACGTTTGTTGTCTCCACATATACCTCAACGCACCACTCACCTTTTTTCCTTCATCAATTCTATGGTTAACCTCATCCTTCATAAATCCATCTGCTGACATGTCAACTCCCAAATATTTGAAAACATTCACTTCTTCCATACTCCTCCTCTCCAATTTGATATCCAATTTTTCTTTATCTAAATCATTTGATATCCTCATCACCTTACTCTTCTATGTTCATTTTCAACTTTCTACCTTTACACACACTCCCAAACTCATCCACTAACCTTTGCAATTTCTCTTTAGAATCTCCCATAAGCATAGTATCATCAGCAAAATGTAACTGTGTCAATTCCCATTTTGTATTTGATTCCACATAATTTAATCCCACTCCCTCTTCCGAACATCCATGCATTTACTTCTTTTACAACCCCATCTATAAATATATTAAACAACCATGGTGACATTACACATCCCTGTCTAAGACCTACTTTTACTGGAAGTAATCTCCCTCTCTTCTACACACCCTAACCTGAGCCTCACTATCCTCATAAAAACTCTTTACAGCATTTAGTAACTTACCACCTATTTATTCGGAATACTGAAAGTAAATATCTTGGCCCACACTTGGATAATAAAACTGAAAATCAACAACTACTTCCCACAGACAGTTTGAAGGATAGTTTGATATAAAAATATGTAGCATATTATCAAATTGTAAGTTGCTATTTGACTTTGCAAGCAAGCAAAGTTAATTCTAGCTCTTGGCCTTACCTTTCCTTCAACCAGCTAATGTCAGTTAGCCCTATCATCTATTTTTGAACTCTGTATGGAGTCTACTTCTACTATAATATAATAATTCCAGCATGTTCCTACTCAGTTTGTCTTTATCACTGATGAAGAATTATTTTTCTGTTATCTTTGCATTTGTATGTGTTTATCCTAACATTCTTATTACATCTTTGCAGCTTAATTGTAAGACAAGTGAAGACAAGGGACTTTGTTGGCGAGTGAAAAAGTTCTAATGGGCATAAGTTTTATTCAGTATTTGTTTATCAGAGAATGCTTATTTATTCAAAGTTCTAACCACCATTTTTTTTTTTCAGGTTTTGGAGTCCTGGACCAAATACAAATATGGCTTTGGACATGAAATATCATCAGGGTTTCCTTCAGTTGCAGGAGGTTGTGGAAAATGCCATCATAAAGTTTCAATACAAACATGGCAATGATGTCCGTAATATAGGAGCTGCTTCCCTAAAGAATTCTAATTCATATTTCTGGTCGGTAGTTGGTAATGCAAGTAGAAATACAATGGAGATCTCAGTTCCAAATAGTTACAAGTCACAATCATCTGGAGTCAATAAGTTGCCAAAGAAAATTGAATCTTTGGCTTTAGAGTCAAGGCGAACGAAAAGAGAAGCATCGGCACCATTAACCAAAGATGAGGAGAAAATTCTTCTCAGCTTGCCAGTTTATACGAAGCAGCAGCCTTACCCATGCTATGACAAAGATGAGTAAGTTATGACACTGTTGTAGCATTATTAACCTTTAACTATATATTACTAAAAGTAAACTAATATATTTTCTCTTAATGCAATGTATATTGGCCATTTGTTTCTTTCACCTTCAAAAATGTAGTTTACATAAATAGTTAAACATTAATACAGTAGTATTTAAAGCTACAGTCACACCAAGTTGTTTCTTGATTGTTTAATGTAAATTATGTTTTTGGGTAGGCTATTTTATTTTCACTTCTGACAGATCTGTTTTGATTATTGAGAAATTTTTTCTACTAGGCACTGGTGTCTTCATTCTCAAGATTATTCCAGTCCTAAATTTATTCTTTGAGTCATTTTCCTTGAGCAAATTTTGCTCAGTATCATTGTCAATGCTGGCATGACAGCAATCTACAAAAGAATTGATTGCAATAAAGTTTTATGTGCAGAGCCCTTTATATATCTGTATAGTGTGAATATTGGCAGTTTGGAGAGATACATGTATATTGTGTATTCTTATATGTATATACTTCTAAACTGTTGTATTCTGGGCACCTCTGCAAAAACAGTGATTATGTGTGAGTGTGGTGAAAGTGTTGAATGATGATGAAAGTATTTTCTTTTTGGGGATTTTCTTTCTCTTTGGGTCACCCTGCCTCGGTAGGAGACGGCCGACTTGTTTAAAAAAAAAAAAAATAGGTTGATGACTGTGTTAGCTATGTACATTTCCAAACATACCTTTTAAGTCCCATTAGATACACTTAATACTTTGGTAGTATTCATTTAATAAAATATTTTAAGTACCTGTTCCTAGGTATATGAAAGCTATTAAACTTTATCATAAAATGTTCATAAAATACATTTTATTGTCTTTTCAGTTTTACAAATATGCTGAATCTGTCTCCCATGATGAGTTCACTGTTCTCTTTGATGGCTTTCACCATTTTTGTTGTGTTCCTCATCTTCCAGCTGGTGCAGGAAAAAGAGTCTCGAAACAGGCAGGTGAGACTTAACAGGTATTGAAGTAAAGGTACTACGTATATACCAAACTGCATCACTATTTGTAACTGTCCTTTGTTTCACAATATTAGGAGTTGCTTGCAGTCAGCATTCATATTCACCACTGGTTTCAATGCATTCTTCATTTCATAATACATACATACTCTGCTTGGGACTGCTGTATTATTGTGCAGTATTTCAGGTAGCCCTCTAATATTTACCGTTTACAAAATTTGACTCTTTTAGTTTGTTTCAAAGCTATATTATGCATACCCATACCCATCCTGTGAGTGGTAGTTGAAAGACTACCACAAGACACAATAGATATAGGGACTGGGCCCCATCATTTTTGTTAGCTAATTAAATTACAGTACATAGTAATGAACTTAAGTATTTCCAAATTTATTGACACAAGAGCAATGATAACTATTTTTCCAAATTAGCAAAATAAACTTTTTGGTACACACATATTTACAAGTGAGCTCTATCTTTACTGTATCTCAAGGGATTCATGAAATGTAAAACCACGTTGTGTGTACATATTTACAGCTTCAGGAAGTGATGGGTTTAAGGCTGTGGCTGGATCGTCTGGTCTGGTTGTTTTACTCACTTTTGCTTCTCCTGCTCATCACACTGCTGGTCACACTCATTGACAAATTTGGAGGTCTTCAGCCAAATGTCAATTTTGGTGTACTCTTCGCCTTTCTCTTCTGCTACGGGCTGAGCATTATTTCCTTTTGGTGAGTGATTCTTCAACTTTCCGTCCAGTGTTAAATTTTTATATATTCATATTCAAATTCAGATTTTTATTTCTTTTGATGCAGTACAAAAATAATGTAGTTTACATGTAATAAAAGTGTTAGGCACAAAGAAAGCCACTAATATGCAATGTTATCGGGCAAACTAATCCATATATAATACATTAATATAATTTCTCCTTTCAGAACAGTTGGAAGGTGTTAAAATTATAGACAACTGTATGAAATACAGTATTGTAATGAAAATCTGATATTTACCCTTGTTCAAAAAACAAAATTCCAAATGAGACATTTTCTGAAATTATATTTTTAATTTAGGCTTATACTCAGAAAATTAGGCATTGTGGTGATCACTTGAAATTCAGATATTTTGAAAATATTCTCATTTTTAAAAAAAAAAAAATTGCAAAATAGGGAACTTTTCCAAATTACATTTGTTCTTTTAGAAAAATTTGAAATTTTAGATATTCCTGTTTCATAATACAATGGTACCTTGTTATTTGAACTTAATCCATTCCAGGAGGCTGTTTGAATAGTGAGTTGTATGACTGTTGAATAAATTTTTCCCATAAGATTAATCCATTCCAGACCCTGAAAAATTACCAATTCTAAAACATTTTAAGTGAAAATATTAGTCTTTGCACAGGTCCTCGACTACGACACTTTAGATGTCCCTCCAAACTGCCAATATCCCAAACCCCTCCTTTAAAGTGCAGGCATTGTATACAGTTAAGACTATTTACTTTGTTTTATACTTAATTCTAACTATAGATTCACTACAAATCTTATGATTACAAGCATTGATCCTGATACCAACCTCTTATTTAATGACTTAAATGAATCAAACAGTTACTGTAATTACTACACTGCAGAACAATCAAAGGCACTTCTTAGTGCCAACAACAACATAACTCTCTTTAACTACAATATCAGATCTTTAAGCAAGCATTACGATGACCTCATAGCATTACTAAATTCCTTACATGCCAATATGTCCATCATTACACTAGCTGAAACCTGGCTAAAGCCTGATAGTACAGATGTCTATGCCATTCCTGGTTACACAGCCATACACAACTGTAGGCCAGACCAACAAGGGGGTGGCACAGCCATATACTACTCAGACCAACTAGAATGTATCACTAATACTTGCACAAGGGATGAACATGGGGAATATATAATAGCCAAATTCAAATCCAAATACCTACAAAAACCTCTCACATTGATAAACATCTACAGAGTTCCACAGTCAAACATTAGCCAATCTAGTCAAAACCTAGGAAGTATGATAACTGATGCATGCATGAACAAAGATCACTTACTACTCTCAGGTGACTTCAATATAAATCTCCTGCAAGACCAGGACCCCCACGTTACTGAATTCACAAATACAATGAGTAACTGTATGTTGCTACCAACAGTAACAAAACCTACAAGAGTTACAGAGACTAGTGTTTCCCTACTTGACCACATCTGGACCAACACCATATCCCCTTTAAAATCAGGCATAATTACAGATAATGCCACAGACCACTACCCTACTTTCCTCATAACAACTCTTGGTAAACTACCCCAAGACACTACTAAAGTCACCTTCAGACTTCACAGTGAGGCAGCCATTAATAACTTCACAACAGCAGTAGCAAACATTGACTGGCACACTGAGCTAGAAATCTATACAGATATTGACGAATGTATTAATAATTTTCTAAAAAAGACCCAATACCTCTATAACAAGCACTGCCCTAAAAAAACTAAACGGATGACAGCTAAGAGACTGAACAGTCCCTGGCTAACACCCAGCATTCTCAAATTCATAAATACAAAATACCAATATGAAAAACAGTACAGAATGGGTCACATAACCAGAGACCAAACAAAACATTACTCGTCAATCCTAACCAGCCTGATAAGAAGTCAAAAAAATTGTATTATGAGAACAGATTATCCAACTTACGAGGTGATATAAAAAAAGACCTGGAAAACCCTATCAGAAATTCTGGGAACAAAAAAGATATCACGAAATAGCGAAAAAAAATTTAGCAAAATCAGATGAACCCCAACTCCCACCAACAGAAACATAAACAGACTCAATGATTTCTTCTCCACTATAGGACAAAACCTTGCCAATAAAATCCCAAGCTCAGATACCCCACCAAATGACTACCTCACCGGCAACTACCCGAACACACTGTTCCTAGCTCCGACTAACCCATACGAATTTCTCCCTTATTATCAACGCACTAAAAAACAAGGCAGGAGATTAAATACCTTACCACCCTTTATATACAAAAAAGTGTCACAAGTGCTATCACCAATCATTGCAACACTCTTTAACAAATCCATTGAATCCTCCACCTTCCCTACAGTACTCAAAATAGCAAGGGTCACCCCAATCCACAAAGGAGGAGACCAAACAGAGTTGAATAACTATAGGCCAATATCCAACTTACACCCTCTCTCAAAAATCTTCGAAAAATTAATTCATAAACGAATCTACTCCTACCTTATCTCCCAAAACATACTCAACCCCTGCCAATTTGGATTCAGGCCTAATAAAAATACTAATGATGCTATTATACACATTTTTTTTTTTTTTTTTTCAACAAGTCGGTCGTCTCCCACCGAGGCAGGGTGACCCAAAAAAAAAGAAAGAAAATCCCCAAAAAGAAAATACTTTCATCATCATTCAACACTTTCAAACCCCACTCACACATTATCACTGCTTTTGCAGAGGTGCTCAGAATAAAACAGCTTAGAAGCATATACGTATAGAGATACACAACATATCCCTCCAAACTGCCAATATCCCAAACCTCTCCTTTAAAGTGCAGGCATTGTACTTCCCATTTCCAGGACTCAAGTCCGACTATATGAAAATAACCGTTTTCCCTGAATCCTTCACTAAATATTACCCTGCTCACACTCCAACAGATCGTCAGGTCCCAAGTATCATTCGCCCTCCATTCACTCCTATCTAACACGCTCATGCACGCTTGTTTGGAAGTCCAAGCCCTCACCCACAAAACCTCCTTTACCCCCTCTTTCCAACCCTTTCGAGGACGACCCCTACCCCTCTTTCCTTCCCCTATAGATTTATATGCTTTCCATGTCATTCTACTTTGATCCATTCTCTCTAAATGACCAAACCACCTCAACAACCCCTCTTCTGCCCCTCTGACTAATGCTTTTATTAACTCCACACCTTCTCCTAATTTCCACACTCCGAATTTTCTGCATAATATTTACACCACACATTGCCCTTAGACAGGACATCTCCACTGCCTCCATCCGTCTCCTCGCTGCTGCATTTACCACCCAAGCTTCACATCCATATAAGAGTGTTGGTACTACTATACTTTCATACATTCCCTTCTTTGCCTCCATAGATAACATAGATAACACATGCTAGAACATATATACACTGCAATAGAGAAAAAAGAAGTCCCACTGGGGATCTTCATTGACCTACGTAAAGCTTTTGATACAGTTGACCATGACTTGCTCCACGTAAAATTGTCACACTATGGTATAAGAGGGCACTCCCTCAACTACCTCAAGTCATACCTCAGCAACAGAAGCCAATATGTGTATGCAAATGGGGCAAACTCTTCTGCACAACCCCAAATTACAGTTGGTGTCCCACAGGGAAGTGTCCTGGCCCTCTTCTCTTTCTCCTATACATAAATGACCTACCAAATGCTTCGCAATTACTCAAACCCACACTATTTGCAGATGACACTACATACGTCTTCTCCCACCCAGCCCAGTCACGCTAGCCAATACTGTAAATACCGAATTACAGAAAATATCTACCTGGATGAGGACTAACAAACTTACACTAAACATTGACAAAACCTACTTCATTCAGTTTGGTAACAGAGCTTCAGATGTCCCTCTTAACATAATGATAAACGGATCACCTATCACAAAGCTAACAGAGGGAAAATTCTTAGGAATCCACCTTGATAATAGACTCAAATTTCATACACATATACAACAAATTTCTAAGAAAATTTCCAAGACTGTAGGCATACTATCGAAGATACGGTACTATGCTCCACAGTCAGCCCTCCTGGCCCTATATCACTCTCTTATTTACCCCTATCTCACCTATGGAATTTGTGCATGGGGCTCAACAACAATTAACCATCTCAAACCATTAATTACCCAACAAAAGGCTGCAGTTAGAATGATAACAAATTCTCACTACAGGCAGCACACTCCACCAATATTCAATACACTCAACCTACTCACCATACAAAACATCCATACTTATTACTGCACCTATTACATACATAGAACACTTAACTCTGATATTAACCCTCCCCTCAAACATCTCCTTGCCAACCTCAACAGAACACATGACCATAACACAAGGCACAGATCACTCTTTGATGTTCCTCGTGTCCATCTCACACTATGCAAAAACTCAATGCACATAAAAGGCCCTAAAATCTGGAATTCATTACCTGTAAATATAAAAGAAACACTACCTGTTTATAAATTCAAGTCTCTTCTCAAAGATCACTTACTCACCCAAAACCAAATAAATACTGAATAACTGAACCTTATAAATTGTATATCTTAAATGTTTCTCACAATTATATCACATAAATGTTAAACCTAAAACCCAATCTAACTTTATTATTTTTAAATACACTACCTAACAGAATACTCCATACGACTGAATGTACAACAATGCATGCAACCATATGACCAGTCTTTGTAATACTCACTTGTGCTTTATAGTAATCTGTTTACATTAATGTTTTATCACTGATTTCATCATTGCTTAGTTAATCTTAAGTTAATTTTAAGCCAGCCTGTAATGCTATGCATAGTATAAGTGGCTTTGGCATGCTGCTCTTATCTGTATTTTTTTGTACCTCTGTATGTGTGCTCAAATTGTTAATAAATAAATAAAAAAAAATATATTGCTATTGGTAATTAATTTATTGACTTGCTTAGTGTGGCCTTCAGTTTACCTTGTACACTTTCATATTATACTGTTTCATTATCATATATTCTGTAAAGTAAAAGGACACAAGTGCAACTAATGTGACATTTTATTGTGGCAACGTTTCGCTCTCCAGGAGCTTTGTCAAGCCATTACAAACAGTACATAGACACGGAGGGTATATATAGGCTCAGAGTGAGGTGCAATACTAGTGGTAGTAGTAGTAGTAGTAGTAGTAGTAATATAAGTAGTAGTAGTAGGTAGTAGTAATAATACAATTTTTTTTTTATTGTCACACTGGCCGATTCCCACCAAGGCAGGGTGGCCCGGAAAAGAAAAACTTTCACCATCATTCACTCCATCACTGTCTTGCCAGAAGGGTGCTTTACACTAGTTTTTAAACTGCAGCATTAACACCCCTCCTTCAGAGTGCAGGCACTGTACTTCCCATCTCCAGGACTCAAGTCCGGCCTGTCGGTTTCCCTGAACCCCTTCATAAATGTTACTTTGCTCACACTCCAACAGCACATCAAGTATTAAAAACCATTTGTCTCCATTCACTCCTATCAAACACACTCACGCATGCCTGCTGGAAGTCCAAGCCCCTCGCACACAAAACCTCCTTTACCCCCTCCCTCCAACCTTTCCTAGGCCGACCCCTACCCCGCCTTCCTTCCACTACAGACTGATACACTCTTGAAGTCACTCTGTTTCGCTCCATTCTCTCTACATGTCCAAACCACCTCAACAACCCTTCTTCAGCCCTCTGGACAACAGTTTTGGTAATCCCGCACCTCCTCCTAACTTCCAAACTACGAATTCTCTGCATTATATTCACACCACACATTGCCCTCAGACATGACATCTCCACTGCCTCCAGCCTTCTCCTTGCTGCAACATTCATCACCCATGCTTCACACCCATATAAGAGCATTGGTAAAACTATACTCTCATACATTCCCCTCTTTGCCTCCAAGGACAAAGTTCTTTGTCTCCACAGACTCCTAAGTGCACCACTCGCCCTTTTCCCCTCATCAATTCTGATTCACCTCATCTTTCATAGACCCATCCGCTGACACGTCCACTCCCGAATATCTGAATACATTCACCTCCATACTCTCTCCCTCCAATCTGATATCCAATCTTTCATCACCTAATCTTTTTGTTATCCTCATAACCTTACTCTTTCCTGTATTCACTTTTAATTTTCTTCTTTTGCACACCCTACCAAATTTATCCACCAATCTCTGCAACTTCTCTTCAGAATCTCCCAAGAGCACAGTGTCAGCAGCAAAGAGCAACTGTGACAACTCCCACTTTATGTGTGATTCTTTATCTTTTAACTCCACGCCTCTTGCCAAGACCCTCGCATTTACTTCTCTTACAACCCCATCTATAAATATATTAAACAACCACGGTGACATCACACATCCTTGTCTAAGGCCTACTTTTACTGGGAAATAATTTCCCTCTTTCCTACATACTCTAACTTGAGCCTCACTATCCTTGTAAAAACTCTTCACTGCTTTCAGTAACCTACCTCCTACACCATACACCTGCAACATCTGCCACATTGCCCCCCTATCCACCCTGTCATAGGCCTTTTCCAAATCCATAAATGCCACAAAGACCTCTTTAGTCTTATCTAAATACTGTTCACTTATATGTTTCACTGTAAACACCTGGTCCACACACCCCCTACCTTTCCTAAAGCCTCCTTGTTCATCTGCTATCCTATTCTCCCTCTTACTCTTAATTCTTTCAATAATAACTCTACCATACACTTTACCAGGTATACTCAACAGACTTATCCCCCTATAATTTTTGCACTCTCTTTTGTCCCCTTTGCCTTTATACAAAGGAACTATGCAGCTCTCTGCCAATCCCTAGTACCTTACCTTCTTCCATGCATTTATTAAATAATTGCACCAACCACTCCAAAACTATATCCCCACCTGCTTTTAACATTTTCTATCTTTATCCCATCAATCCTGGCTGCCTTACCCCCTTTCATTTTACCTACTGCCTCACGAACTTCCCCCACACTCACAACTGGCTCTTCCTCACTCCTACAAGATGTTATTCCTCCTTGCCCTATACAACGAAATCACAGCTTCCCTATCTTCATCAACATTTAACAATTCCTCAAAATATTCCCTCCATCTCCCAATACCTCTAACTCTCCATTTAATAACTCTCCTCTCCTATTTTTAACTGACAAATCCATTTGTTCTCTAGGCTTCCTTAACTTGTTAATCTCACTCCAAAACTTTTTCTTATTTTCCAACAAAATTTGTTGATAACATCTCACCCACTCTCTCATTTGCTCTCTTTTTACATTGCTTCACCACTCTCTTAACCTCTCTCTTTTTCTCCATATACTCTTCCCTCCTTGCATCACTTCTACTTTGTAAAAACTTCTCATATGCTAACTTTTTCTCCCTTACTACTCTCTCTACATCATCGTTCCACCAATCGCTCCTCTTCCCTCCTGCACCCACTTTCCTGTAACCACAAACTTCTGCTGAACACTCTAACACTACATTTTTAAACCTACCCCATGCCTCTTTGACCCCATTGCCTATGCTCTCATTAGCCCATCTATCCTCCAATAGCTGTTTATATCTTACTCTATATGTTAGAACAATTAATTTGCACATGAGTAAAAGGATATGAAAGCTATTACTTGGGAAACATAAAAATAGGTTAGACAAATATTTTTATTGGAGGCTGGATAGAGAAGGCCTGTTTCACTGTTCATTTTCTGTAATGTGCTTGTGTAGTATTAACAGGAGAGACTGTAATGGCAGGGTTTACTGTTTTCAGGAGGATTCTTGCTAAGACTTCAGAGATAGTGAAGCTGCCTTTGTTTTGTTTAATTGTTCTAACATAATGTTGTACTACTACTACTGCTGCTGCCGCTGCCTAACTAACTACTTATATTACTACTACTGCTACCACTAGTATTGCACCTCACTCTGAGCCTGTATATACCCTTTGTGTCCATGTACTGTTTGTAATGGCTTGACAAAGCTCCTGGAGAGCGAAACATTGCCACAATAAAATGTCACATTAGTTGCACTTATGTCCTTTTACTTTACATATTGTCGGTAATTCTACCAGCTTTATTACATCATATATTCTATTCACAATTTTCTTTAATTATCAGAGCAAGCTTTTACACCTGTACATTGCTCCTTATTTTACGAAAAAAAATATCCTTGCCAATAAGGACCAGGTGCATGGAGAAAAATAATTCTCTACATTTTCATGGCCAGTCATTGCTACGAGTAAGTGTTATCTGAAAATATTTTTGTAGTCTGAATATTTTTTTATCTGCCTCTTTTCTTGTGTATTTTAAATAGTCAGTGTATCATTCTTTTATCTGCAGTTACATGGTGTCCTGCCTGGTGCCATCAACAGTGTTGGCTGTCTTTATAGGAGTGATGAGCTTGTTGGTGTTTAATGTACCATATATCTCAATCTCAATAATAGAAGCCAAAACACCATTCACCATTATTATCCTTTCAGTGAGTATTGATATTTTGACATGGAAAGACAAATAAAATTTTAAATTTTGGCATTGTACAAATAAGTATAATAATTAACAATGAGGAGTCACTATGGAAACTTTTATGAATTTTTCTCATTCATATGCCTATTGCAAACTTTATTTGAATTATTTATTTTTTCTATTATTTTGCCACTAACCTCTGCCTCTACCTCTCCCTCCAATAATAGCAAGATTGTAAATGTTCTTTATCCATTTTGTTATCACACAGACTTCATTCTACCACCTTCCCATCCCTTCTTCCATCTTTTTTCAGAGGGTTTTATTTTTTAATTATTTATATATTCAGCCATTTATTCATAAAATATGTTTTCCAGTTTCTGAGAAAACTTGTTTTATACTTACAGTGTCTGCTACCATCATCAGCCTTTGGTTTTGGATTTCGAGTTATTTGTCAGTTTGAACTACTACAAAAAAGTGTGACCTATAATAACCTATGGCTAGAACCAGTCAGAGGTAGGTGCATTGTTAAATGTGTAAACATGAGTACAATAGTGTATTTAAGATATGTGTGTTGATATTTTTAGCTCCACAAGTTAAGTATGACATTGCTGAAGGAAAGAAAGAGCTTTCTGAAATGGAAGGAATATAGTATGATGGATTTTTTTATGAAATCCTTGCAGACTCTGCCATTTTTTTTAATACACCAGCTGTCTCCCACTGAGGCAAGGTGACCTCATAAAGAAGAAATGAATGTTTTTCTTTTTATATTTAATAATGATCTTTGCCATATTCCGGTTATATTACATATTTTGACATGCATTTATACTATCTTGTCTACACTTGTACAGTGTTCTACCTGGCACTACTGATGTGTGTATCATTCAGTCATTCAGGTTAAGCACTGTTGGGTCTGGTCAATAACTGGATAGATGTCTAGATGGAAACACATTTGAGTTTGGTTAAAGGGACATTGATAAGCCCTTAGCTGTCTTTCCCCAACATGGCTATACAATACCATAAAAGAAATACTGTAGTTGACTATATAGGCTTTTACTGGAAATTCAGTTCTGGAGTAGATCCTTTTATGCCTAATTTGGTTATTAATACATGGAAAGAAATTTTAAATTAGGTGCAATGATTTTATAGCTGATAAGTATTGAAAAGTAGAATTTTTGGAGAAGTTATTAAACTCTTAAATTTAGGGCATGGTTCATATATTTTTAAAGGAAATTGATGAGAGTGATGTATCTTCTGATGTGCAGAATAGATAAGTTATTCTTCCAAAATATATAAATACAAATAACTTATTTCTTTTCTGCTTTATACATATCCATGTATTCAGGTAATTGAAGAAATACAGTAACATAGCTGATTATATGCAATATAGATTATGAAGATTATGATTAAGTATATAAAATTTTCATAACTTGAAAATTTTGTTGCATTTCCAATCATTATGTTAGCAGAGTATGTTTAAACTTATTCAGCTACATGTCATTAAGGTCAGTACCACAAATATGATAAAGGCATTGCAAATACTGTATTGAAAATATTTGTTTTGTAGTAGTACCCTTGTCATTATATAACATGAAACAATAAATTCCTGCCTTACAGAATTCCCATCCAGGCATTGTATTGTACTGGACTGTATAATGGATGAACCTAAGTATTTTAAAGGGATTATCTACTGCAGATACCTGTTTTTACTTCCACCAAGCGTGTGTGAGCACATTAGATAGGAGTGAATGGAGACAAATAGTTTTTGGGATCTGACAAGCTGTTGGAGTGTGAGCAGGGTAATATTTTGTGAACGGATTCAGGGAAACCAGTTAGCTGAACTTGAGTCCTGGAAATAAGAAGTACAATGCCTGCACTTTAAAGGAGGGGTTTGAGATATTGGCTGTTTGGAGGGACATCTAAACTGTTGTATCTGAGCACCTGTGCAAATACAATGATTATGTATGAGTGATGGTGAAAGTGTTGAATGATGATGAAAGTTTTTCTTTTTTGGGGGTTTTCCCACCCTGCCTCGGTGGGAAATGGCCGATGCATTTTACCTTGTGGGTACTTGTGGCTTGGTAGACAGTATCCTCAGTTCACCAGGACTGCTCCCAAGCACCAGTGAAACGTTGGGGATGTTTCCTTACACCTGCTGCCCTTGTACTTGGGTGTATGTTGACTGATGTGGGTCACATCATGGTGTTAGAAAACTATTGGGCCCCAGTCGAAATAAGACTGACAGTCCCTGATGTTGCATGGACTTTATTGAGCTATATTGGGTTGCTGACCTCCAGGCTAAAAGTCTGAGCAAAATCTTATCTTATATTTCATCTTACTCCTTGTCTAGTGGCTATAATAGCTCAGTAAGGCAGAGGAATCCTGAGTATCTAGGCATTTGAGTTATTTATGCACTGAACAGTATATATATTTATATCTGTGCATCTATGGTAAGAGTTTACTCTAATTCCAACTGCAGGGATTTAAGTATTCTTAGCTGATAGTATCAAATTTGCTTGAAAGCTTATGTTAATTATCTATGATAATCAAAGCATCTGAAAGAAGGTATGGAAAGAATGTGGCTTTCGAAGGATCCTCCATTTTGTTGGACGAGATTAATTCATGTATTATATAATCTGTAGCACTATCTGACAGCTTTAACAGCTAAACTGTTTCACAGAATTATTATTTTTGAAAGAGGAAGGATTTTCTGTTATCTGTTCTATATTATTGCTTGGAAAGCTTAATCTGTGGCCTCTTGTATATCACAAAAGATATGTAAAGTAAAAGGACACAAGTGCAACTAATGTGACATTTATTGTGGCAACGTTTCGCTCTCCAGGAGCTTTATCAAGCCATTACAAACAATACATGGACACAGAGGGTATATAAAGGCTCAGAGTGAGGTGAATACTAGTGAGGTACCATTTCGATGTTCACTAGTGGTAGTAGTAGTAGTAGTAGTGGTAGTGACAAAAGTAATACAATATGGTAGAGCAATTAATTCGTACATGAGTAAAAGGATATAAAAGCTATTACTTGGGTAACATAAAAATAGGTTGGACAAATATAAACTGGAATGAGGCAGCTTGTTTCAGTGTTCACTCTCTGTGCTTTGTGTAGTATAACAGGAGAGACTATGTGATGGCAGGGTTTACTGTTTTCAGGAGGAATCTTGCTAAGACTTCGGAGATGGTGAAGCTGCCGTTGTTTTGTTTAATTGTATTCGAAACAGCGATCAGTGCTGATTCAAGGCACTTGCGTGTGCGGAAATTAGTTTCTTTTATCACTAATTGGGCGTCTCTGAATTTCATAAGATGATTGGTGGAATTTCGGTGTTGTACACAGGCGTTGTTTAAGTTGTCGTTCCTACATGCGTATATGTGTTCATTGAGGCGGGTGTCGAGGTTTCTTGCTGTTTCACCTACGTAGATCTTGTCACAGCCTCCACAGGGTATAGTGTAAACTCCTGCATTGACTGGTTTGTGGTGCTTGGGTTTTGTCCTGGTTAGATCCTTTATTGAAGTGGTAGAAGCGATGGCGACTCTGGTGTTAGCTTGTGAAAGTACTTTTGAGACGTTTAGTGCAACCTGGCTGTTGGGAAGAATTATAACTTTGTTGGGAGCGGTGTTGATGCGTGGAGAATTTATGACCTGAAGAGCTCTTTTCTTGCAGTCTTTGATGAAAAAAGAAGGAAATTGTAACTCAGTGAATGTTTGGTGAATGTAAGTACATTCCTCGTCAAGAAACTCAGGACTACAAATTCGGTATGCTCTTAGGAAAAACCCGATGATGATGCCTCTTTTGGTCTTGGTATCTTGACTGGAATAGAAGTGTGTGAGATCATTTTTATTGGTGGGTTTCCGATAAACTTGAAATCTTAGGTTGTTGTCTACTTTGTGAATGAGGACGTCGAGGAAAGGTAGCTTGTCATTGGACTCTTCTTCTAGTGTAAACTGAATCACTGGTTCAACTGCGTTGAGCCTTGCCTGAAGATCCCGTACATCAAAACGTTTTGGAGTTATTACGAGGACATCGTCCACGTAACGTAACCAAGAGTCGCCATCGCTTCTACCACTTCAATAAAGGATCTAACCAGGACAAAACCCAAGCACCACAAACCAGTCAATGCAGGAGTTTACACTATACCCTGTGGAGGCTGTGACAAGATCTACGTAGGTGAAACAGCAAGAAACCTCGACACCCGCCTCAATGAACACATATACGCATGTAGGAACGACAACTTAAACAACGCCTGTGTACAACACCGAAATTCCACCAATCATCTTATGAAATTCAGAGACGCCCAATTAGTGATAAAAGAAACTAATTTCCGCACACGCAAGTGCCTTGAATCAGCACTGATCGCTGTTTCGAATACAATTAAACAAAACAACGGCAGCTTCACCATCTCCGAAGTCTTAGCAAGATTCCTCCTGAAAACAGTAAACCCTGCCATCACATAGTCTCTCCTGTTATACTACACAAAGCACAGAGAGTGAACACTGAAACAAGCTGCCTCATTCCAGTTTATATTTGTCCAACCTATTTTTATGTTACCCAAGTAATAGCTTTTATATCCTTTTACTCATGTACGAATTAATTGCTCTACCATATTGTATTACTTTTGTCACTACCACTACTACTACTACTACTACTACTACCACTAGTGAACATCGAAATGGTACCTCACTAGTATTCACCTCACTCTGAGCCTTTATATACCCTCTGTGTCCATGTATTGTTTGTAATGGCTTGATAAAGCTCCTGGAGAGCAAAACGTTGCCACAATAAATGTCACATTAGTTGCACTTGTGTCCTTTTACTTTACATATTGTCGGTAATTCTACCAACTTTATCACAAAAGATATCATGAGGTGTTACCTGTGTGACAGATCCGTAACTAGTCTTAAGGGCTTATGTTCCCCAGCACCAAGTTTCATGGTATTGAACTCACCAACAAGAGGTTTCAAACCCATGGCAAGGTAGTCTTAAAACCAGCAACCAGTATATTGTCTACTGTATCATACAGCTATGGTACAGTGAATAGCTAATTGGCTTGCTAGTTTTAGGACTAGCTTGCTATGATATCAAACCCTCCACTCAGTGAGTTGTTAACAGTTGTGTCATACATGGTACTTAATTTATGAAGCATTTTTAATATTTTTGATTATTATTACTATTATCATTATTATGATATTCATGAGAGGTTCTGAACTCATAGGGGACATATAATTGTTATGTTACTGTATTTAGGTGTCCCGTAACTCGATTGCTAGTGCACTCAGCTGGCACACTGAGGTCTGGGGGTCAATCCCCAGTACAGGTGGAAACATCGTGACGTGTTTCCTTAAGACATCTGTTGTCCATGTTCACCTGTCAGTAAAATAGGTACACTGGTGTTAGTCGACTGGTGTGGGTCACATCCTGGGACAAAATTTACCAAATTTGCCCAAAATGTTCTTCATAACAAAGTCATGTCTATATAGTAGTATGTCATTGATGTCAGCTAGGCCTGTATACCTTGTACATGTACTTGTAGAAATAAAGATTATTAATATTATTATTTTTTAACACATCAGTCATCTCCCACTGAAGCAAGGTGACCCTAAAAAAAGAAAGAAACACTTTTGCCATCATTCAATGTTGTTGCCAAGGCAACATTGTTAATATTGAATGCCCACAGAGTAGCATTTTTTCTTGGATGATTTATATATTGAGTTTTTCCAGTTATGTGAAGCCTTTTTCTCTAGACGTGGTCCCCATACTCAAATCCAGAGGCCAGAACTTCATCATATAATGATTTTGTAAAATTGTATCATTTTCCTGTTCTTATATTCTAAGATTAGTTTGATGCTTATAGATAACTACAATGTATCAAACTTCCAGATGAAATGTCCAGTTTCTGCATCATCAGTAATACATTGTAAAATGCAAGGATATCTTTTATTCATTAAAATATCTTTCCTTCTAGGTTCAGACTTGACTCTTGGGTTGGCCATCACTATGTTGCTGGTTGATTCTGCCATATTTCTCATCCTAGCTGTCAGCATCAGCAGTCTTAAAAAAGGTGAATTAATTCATTTTAATGTTTTTAATATAATGAACTTGAAAATATAAATTAGCATGAAAAAAGTATGTTCAGTAATCTATAAGAGTTTGTGTGCAGACTTCTGTAGACAATTGCTAAATTATTTAATTTATTTTAAACTGTAGTCCTTTTCAGTCATCACAATGTCAACAAATTGTGTAGAGTAATTAGGACATGTTTCATATTTTTATATTAACATATTTGAAAAAAAGCATTATGATATTTCCTCAGATCCTCCCCAACATTTATCAACTTCTGGAAGATCAGACCTGAACCCTCTGCCAACATTCTCTGAACAGACATCTCTCAAACAATCCAATGAATTTACCTTCAACATTTTTCAGGGTATTAGAGAGATGGCATGGTAGTTAACAGCTTTCACAGACTTGACTGCTCTGCTTCTATAGTATTTTTATTAATGATTAATAACATAAACTTTTTTCTAATCTTTTTATATTCCAAAATTAAACTGGTACACAAATGTGTTTGCAGAGTGACTGGTATCTGAAGTCTAGTCAGTGAATCTTAGGCCTTATAACTCCCTTTGTGTATCATACTAATAATTCGTAATAGTGATTACCATTCAAGTGTTTGATATTGGGTTTAACCATATAACTTTTCTTCATTAAAAACCTGAGATCTGCATGGCTGATATTCCAAGTAATACACTTATGGTCTTACCCACAAGATGGGTATGGGGTGGAAATATAAACACATATGCAGTATAATGTGATCCTTTATTGACAACGTTTCGCCCACACAGTGGGCTTTTTCAAGTCACAAACAGATCTGTTTGTGACTTAAAAAAGCCCACTGTGTGGGCGAAACGTTGTCAATAAAGGATCACATTATAGTACTGCATATGTGTTTATATTTCCATTTTGTCGGTATTTTATACCATTTATTCCCATGGGTATGGGGTGCATAATAAAGATATTAAACTAACTACAACTACACTTAAAGTACTCAGCTTACATTCTAACAGTTTATACTTACTGGTCTTTGTTCCTACTAACCTGTACTTGACATATCAGCAAGCTGCCGGGTAGTCAGCATGCCTACCAGCAAAGTATTTCCCAACATGAGCAATACTAACACTACAAATGGTAAGCTACATCTCCTTAAGTTAAAAAATTCAGATGCAAATTAAAATATTTTTTAAATTTTGTAGGTATAGGAATGGAATAATGTGAGCAAAACTTACTTGGTAATATTTTTACAAAATTCATATTGCTTAATGATACTATTTGTTTGTGCAGTTTACAAAATGTAGTTTACATGTAATAAAATATTGTTAAACACAAAAGAATGCCACTAGCAATGTGGTTCAGGCAGGAATTTAAGTAAATAAATGTAAAGGTGTTAAGGACAAAATTAACTGCTTCAGTAAATAAAAAAAAAATTCTGATATGTAGATCAAGGTTACAGAATTATGCATAATCTTGCAGTATTAACCCTTTCAGGGTCCTTGCCATCGATCTGCGGCTTTATGTCGAGGGTCCAAACCGTAGATCTACGCCATGAGTTCAGCTCACTCTGATAAGCTGTGAGCGGTAAATTTGGACCTAGATATGAGAGAATACATCTACGTAGATGTTATGGAACTTCAGGAGGATTTAAACAAACTCTATTCTTGGTCAGAAAGTGGCAGATGCAGTTCAATGTAGATAAATGCAAGGTTCTGAAGCTTGGGAGTGCCCATAACCCTAGTACTTATAAGTTAAATGATGTAGAACTTAGCCATACAGATTGCGAAAAGGACTTGGGGGTTATGGTGAGCAGCAACCTTAAACCAAGACAGCAGTGCCTAAGCGTACGTAATAAGGCAAATAGATTACTGGGATTTATATCAAGAAGTGTAAGCAACAGAAGTCCAGAGGTCATACTGCAGCTTTATACATCATTAGTAAGGCCTCACCTAGATTATGCAGCTCAGTTCTGGTCTCCATATTACAGAATGGACATAAATTCGTTAGAAAACATTCAGCGTAGGATGACTAAATTAATACATAGCATTAGAAATCTTCCTTATGAAGAAAGATTGAAGACTCTTAAGTTACATTCACTTGTTAGACGAAGAATGAGGGGAGACCTGATCGAAGTGTATAAGTGGAAGATAGGTATTAATAAAGGGGATATTAATAAGGTCTTGAGGATGTCTCTCCAAGAGAGAACCCACAGTAATGGATTTAAATTAGATAAGTTTAGATTTAGAAAGGACATAGGAAAGTATTGGTTTGGAAATAGGGTAGTTGATGAGTGGAACAGTCTACCTAGTTGGGTTATTGAGGCTGGGACTTTGGGTAGTTTCAAATTTAGGTTGGATAAGTACATGAGTGGGAGGGGTTGGATTTGAGTGGGACTTTCACATCAGAGCTTATTTCTTGGGTGGCATTGAAAATTGGGTTGGGCAAATGTTTTGTTAGTGGGATGAATTGTAAAGGACCTGCCTAGTATGGGCCAACAGGCCTCCTGCAGTGTTCCTCCTTTCTTATGTTCTATTGTTCTTATTTGGAATGTGTGTACCACATAAATCAAATCCTTCTGTGCATAATGAGAGAAAAAAACAGAGACTAATTTTCGATTAAAACAGCAACTTTGCAGTTTTTTTTTTTGTATGTTTTTTATAGTTCTATTTGCGATTTCTTGGTCTCATTTTATAGAATGGAAGATATATTACAGAAATAGAGATGATTTTGATTGGTTTTAGTACTGAAAATGGCTTGAAACTGAGCTCAAACTAGCGGAAATGTTAAATTTTTGCCGATGTTCAAGAGTAAATAAATGACCTTACACATCTAATACACGCCAGCTGGTGGGTCTAATATACATTCACAAATGTGCTGATATTATTTATACAGTTATTACAATATTGCATGACAGTTAATCTTGTATTTTTTGGTTTGAATAAAAATTCATTATGTGAATTAAAAATCAAAATGGAATTCATTTGTAAAACCTGAAACATAACTAATGAACAGAGGAAATGTTAGTTTAGTGCCAGGAATGCCTGCATTGTTTATTCTGGGCCCTATTTTGAAACTGGAATACAGTGGACCCCCGCTTAACGATCACCTCCCAATGCGACCAATTATGTAAGTGTATTTATGTAAGTGCGTTTGTACGTGTATGTGTGGGAGTATGAAATGGACTAATCTACTTCACAATATTCCTTATGGGAACAAATTCGGTCAGTACTGGCACCTGAACATACTTCTGGAATGAAAAAATATCGTTAACTGGGGGTCCACTGTATTTTGAACTTTGCACTAAATTTGCCAAATTACCAATTTCCAATCACTTTATTTTGTAGTTGAAACAGTTGAGTTGGCGATTTCTTGTGCTCATTCGATAGAATAGAAGTAATACTAGTGAAATAGCTAAGAATTTGGTCGACTGGAATAAGGTAATTGGCCTAAAATTGGAGTCAAAGTTGGCAAAATCGCAGATGTGTAAATATAGCAGGAGCATAATTTCATCAATTTTCCATCAAATTTCATACTTTGTTAAATTACCTTCAGAAAAAGATTCTCTACCATTTCATAAGAAAAAATAGCAAAATTATTTTTTGAAAATTCTTGGATACCGGTGTGCACTTTGAAATTTGTCCTCTGGATCCTGAAAGGGTTAATTGATGCTGTATTATGAAAAGTAATATAAAGATACAAAATAACAGCAAGTTCATAGAATAATAATACGTTATGGAGGCTGGTCTTTTTTGCCCACAGTGGAATGACAAAATACACAAATTTTCTGTGTAATATCTTGTAAATGCCTAGTTCTTTAAGGGATGTCCCTTGATGCCTTTGAAGGGATTTTGATCCAGGGAATTGGAGCTGCCCTTCACTTCCTCTGATCAGACGTGATTGTTTCCCATTTCCCAGGCATTGTATGACCAATGCAAGTTTAACACTTCCCCATAAATGCAATAATAATGAATGCCATTGATAATCATTCCAATTTGATGTGGGGAAAACTTTGCCCACAGTATGTAAATATGCTTTGAATTTTTTTAAAAGTTAAATGTGATTTATTATAGATATTAAATTGCACAAAGAAATAAACTTTATTTGTTTGTTTGTTATACGTTTGTCTTACTGATTATTTCTTTTTTTCCTATATAGAAGATGCTGTTCATGTTCTGGACATAGACCCTGGTGTGAAACAGAGCCTAAAGAAAGGGTTGAGTATTATTGGGTTACGAAGAATCTTTGAATCCCGAGGAAGATCCAAGGTTGCTGTTGACAATCTTAACCTGGAGCTTTATGAAGGACAAGTGTTGGTACTTCTGGGGCACAACGGTGCTGGCAAGACAACTGTTATGTGAGTCAAACGTAATAACACGATTGCAAACAATTCATGGAACTGGTGGGGTTTGAACTCTTGGTAAATGAGTGGTTAACACACTGGTTTGTGAGTTTTAGGACTCATTGGTGGGTCTGAACCCATGGTAAGTGAGTGGTTAACACACTGGTTTGTGAGTTTTAGGACTCATTGGTGGGGTCTGAACCCATGGTAAGTGAGTGGTTAACACACTGGTTTGTGAGTTTTAGGACTCATTGGTGGGGTCTGAACCCATGGTAAGTGAGTGGTTAACACACTGGTTTGTGAGTTTTAGGACTCATTGGTGGGGTCTGAACCCATGGTAAGTGAGTGGTTAACACACTGGCCTATGAGTTTTAGGACTCATTGGTGGGTCTGAACCCATGGTAAGTGAGTGGTTAACACACTGGCCTATGAGTTTTAGGACTCATTGGTGGGTCTGAACCCATGGTAAGTGAGTGGTTAACACACTGGCCTATGAGTTTTAGGACTCATTGGTGGGTCTGAACCCATGGTAAGTGAGTGGTTAACACACTGGTTTGTGAGTTTTAGGACTCATTGGTGGGGTCTGAACCCATGGTAAGTGAGTGGTTAACACACTGGTTTGTGAGTTTTAGGACTCATTGGTGGGTCTGAACCCATGGTAAGTGAGTGGTTAACACACTGGCTATGAGTTTTAGGACTCATTGGTGGGTCTGAACCCATGGTAAGTGAGTGGTTAACACACTGGTTTGTGAGTTTTAGGACTCATTGGTGGGTCTGAACCCATGGTAAGTGAGTGGTTAACACACTGGTTTATGAGTTTTAGGACTCGCTTGCCATGGGTTCAAACTCCACCTGTTTTGTGACTTGATGTGAGTAAAAGGTCGCTCTCCAGGGATACAGAATTTCTCAATGCCTGTTTGAAAAAATGTTGTCATAGTCACAATAATTCCTGTTGAATATAATATCAATTTCCATTACTGTGCATCTATGCAGTGATAGTTTACATGAAATTTGACATCAGTTGTCAGCTAAACATTTGAATAGAGATTTATCTGTAATATCTAGAACAATGCAGTATTGTACATATATATTATTGAAATCAAAAAATAAATTTGTTTTATTAGTACATGGTGAATATATAATATCTATTCTTTTTAATAATATGCATATTCATCATATTCATTGATTTTATGTGAAGTTTAAGAACTTCATGTGTAGTAAATTTAAATTATAGAATTAATCATAGATTAGCAATGCATTTTGTACTCTATGTATTTTATTTTAACATGATGCAGCTACTTTGTCTTCTTATACTAAATGATGCTTTCTTGTAGACAGTCTTGAAAGAGATATTAAAATATGTTTTTTACCTTTGCCAACATCAGCTCCATGTTAACAAGAGAGCTGAAACCTACAGCTGGCACCATAAAAGTGTATGGTCATGACATCCACCATGCATGGGACAAGGCTCGTAGAGTCATGGGTCTCTGCCCTCAGCAGTCTGTGCTTTTTCCCTACCTAACAGTACAAGAGGTTCTTCGCTACTATGCTATACTTAAAGATTTTGCCACAGAGGCACCACGAACAGATGTTAACACGTGAGTAAGGTTTGGATTACATGATTTACCTGATGGTCACTATCATAATAGGCTTTTATGGAAAGGAAGTTTGGGGCTCTGGGAATTCCCACAACTCTGACTGGTAAGTTTTTTCAAATGTATAATATTTTGAAATTTAACACAGTCCTTGCCTTAGTGAGTTGCTAAAAAAAGAATTTATAGGTTAGATGCTTTAAAGTTCAGCAATGTATATGCCTGAGAAATCTCTCTTTAATAATGGTACCATATTAATAGCAGTTTCATAGTCTTTGCATTAGTAGTCAAATGGTTAATAGGTAGACTTTAGGATGTGCATGTTTTTAGAGGAGTAACAGATGTCAGATCACTATTTAGTGGTAGCTACAGTGAGAGTAAGGAGTAAATAAAAATACAAAAAGATTAGCATCAGTGGGTAAGAGGGAAGTGAAAGTTCAGTAACCAAATTGAGGCAGAAGACAGTTTTTGGAATGATATGAGCAACTAATGGAGGAAAGGTGGGCTAGAGAGGGTGCAAGAATGAGGAAGAGGAGGAGGTATGTCTGGAGAGGGTTTTGGGAGTCAACACCCCTGTGGCCTGGTCACGGACTGGGGTGCATGTGAATTTAAGAATAATAATGTAATAATAATAATCTATATTTCTACAAGTACATGATACAACTTATACAGACCTAGCTGACATCAGTGACATAATATACAAAAAGCCCCTGGTTATGCAGAGCATTTCGAGCAACTTAAATTAATTTTGTCCTCAGGATACTACCTACACCAGATGGCTAACACCCAGGTACCTATTTACTGCTAGGTGAACAGAGATAGCAAGTGTCTTAAAGAAACATGCCCAGATGTTTCCATCAGTACCAGAAATTGAACCATGGACCTCAGTGTGAGAGCTAATTGTGCTACCAACTGAGCAATGGGATGTGGGGAAAGTGTGTTGAGACAGTGCAAAGAATGAAAGGGGGGCTGGTAAATTGGCTGAGACTAATGGAATTAAGATAAAGATGTTAAAAGTGATTGGTGCTTTTGTATAAGAAAAAAACATGAGGTAATATAAGAATTACAGGGGGATAAACCTGTTGATTATACCAGGTAAAGATTCTGGTAGAATTATTTTTGAAAGGGTTAGAGGTAAGACAAAGTAGGATTACAGGGAAGGGAAGATTTAGGAAAGGTAGGGGATTTGTAAGCCAGGTGCATACATTTGAAGTTTTTAAGTGAGTAGTACTTAGATAAAAGTAAAGAGCTGTTTATTGCACTCATGGAATAGAAAAGGTATGTGATAGGGTGGATAGGAGAGCCATGTGGCAGATGTTACAAGTATGTGGAATAGGAGATAAGTTACAAAACGCAGTTGAGAACATGAGAGCATGATTTGAAATCGCAAACTTAAATGAGCGACAGGGATATCAGGAAACATTTCTTCAACATAAGAAAGGTAAATAAAAAGTGGAATTTGCTGATCAATAACATAGTTGAACCTATAAATTAAAGCTAATAGGCATGTACAGCGGAACCCCGAGTTTCGGCCGTAATCCATTCCAGGAGCTAGCCTAAACTCAAAACGGCCGAAAAGCGAAGCAATATTTCCCATAAGAAATAAAGTTAATACAGTTAATCCATTCCAGACCTACAAAAATATTAACAAAAAATACATTTTTTAAAGAATAACTATAGTTTTATATACACACAACACAGATAAATAAATATAATATACAATAGATAAATTAAAATTTAAATAAACATTTAAAATAACATTTACTTACCCCAACATGAACACCACTCTCATATTTTCTACAATATCCTTCTTCACTGCTGTGGTGTTCATCACTTTCTTTACCACAGGGCTGCCACTAGGAAGTTTCTTTGGGCCCATGGTGGCTTATTTCACAGTCACAATTAATGAAGAAGCACTAAACACAAATGTTTGGCTGGCTGGCTAGATGGCTACCTGGCTGGCTGCCTGGATGGCTGAGCGCTCAGGGTAATGTTTACTCAAGGATAAACAACGCTAGATTGGCTCACGATGCCTGTGCAGACAGGTCTGGTATTCCGGCCAAAACCTGGGGCAACAGCCGAAACGCGGGACAAAATTTGGCCGAGAAGAGTAGTCGAAACCCAAAGCGGCCAATTCTCAGGGCGACCGAAACCCGGGGTTTCGCTGCATCAAGAATTATTTATTAATGTATTTTTTAAGGAAGGCCTATAGCTAATAAAAGATATAGCTTCAAGCAGAATAGCAGGTGATGAACATGTAATACAGCCTTTCCTTCCTTAGCAACATACTCATTTATTAACGACTCGGACTTACGATGGGCTCTCTGACCAGTATGCACACCTAAATAATATATATTAAAGCTGATTTTCTCTATTCTGTTTATTACAATATACAGTACAGTACTGTATAAACATTTAAAAATATACCAGAAATGTTATACAGTGGTCCCTCGTTTTTCGTAATTAATCCGTTCCTGGAGGAGCTACTATAAACGAAATTTACGATTTGCGAATCAATTTTCCCCATAAGAAATAATGTAAATACAATTAATCCATTCCTGACACTCAGAAGTATTAAAACAAAAAAATTTTTACATGAAATATACATGTAGTACATAAACAGTACAATGGGAAATGATGAATGAAACATTAACAGCATAACACTTACCTTTATCGGAGATTCTTCTTAGTGTATGGGAGACTGGAGGAGGAGAGAGATTGGATTGTTTACAGTTTGGAAGGGGAATCCCCTTCCAGCAACACCTCAGGTACCAATTGCTTCTCTGGGGTTGCTTCTCTTCTCTGTTCCTTAATGCCACTAGGACCACCTTGGGAGTCACTCTAGTCCTGTCGCGCAAAGTAACTGTGGAGAGAGCTCTGTTTCTGGCGTCTCTTTAACACTTCCCTAAAATGGCCCAAGACTTTGTCACTGTACATATTTCTCACCTTCTTTACCACAGGCTTGGCACTAGGAGCTTTCTTTGGAGCCATGGTAGCTTATTTAGTACTTGCAAGCACTAAAATGAGTGGAATATTATGAAATATTTCGTAGGAGCACTTGAGGGGACCTTCACTCACTGGTAAACAAAGCCAGACTGGCTGGGTAGGGAGGCCTCCCCGGCTCACACCGTGCGTACGCGTCCCGGACGAACTACTATTCGCGAGTCAACCTATGAAAAGCGAGTCCATGTTTATACGAAAATACCCCTATGATTGTCGAAATTTACGATTGCCGAGAACTACGAAAAGCGAGGGACCACTGTAAATGGTGCAAAGGTGGCATTAAAACAATATCAAAGATGGTTGACACAAACCCACTACCATTATAGTATGCTCCTCACTTAGCGACAAATTTGTTTACCAACGTGATCTTAGGAACAGAACTCTGTCATTAAGTGAGGAGAGGCTGTACTGTGAGTAAAGTTAAAAACTTTTTTTTTATTTGCAGAGTGCTACTCAAGATGAAACTCTTCAGCCACCGAGACTACCTAGTAAACCAGCTGTCAGAGGGTATACAAAGAAGAGTGTGTATGGCTATAGCTTTCATTGGCAATTCAAAGCTAGTCATCCTAGATGAGCCTACTGCAGGCATTGATCCAGCAGCACGTAACGCAATTTGGGAGGTAAGGATATCAAAGGGTGTAAGGTTATCAGGGATGGACAGTCTTCTTAGGCACGAACTATTAATGACTGAAAAATAAGTGTGAGCAGAGCCAGTAACAGGTATTCAGTGTTACAAGTCAGTAGTGATGGATTTTTTTTACATAAGACATCAAAGTCAGTAGTTATTTCACTCAGAGGTTGCCTGTGGTCCAGGAGCAATTCTGTATGCAGTTCCATATGTAAAGATTTTTAGTTGCATACTCTCTGATCGTAGGTTCTATCCCCGCCCGTGGTATGGTCACGTCAAACATCTTCCACCAGGGTAGGAGACCCAAAAAGAGAGAAGTCATTTACCATCATTCACAAGCTGTCTTGCCAAAAGTGTGCAGATATGATATTACAAATGACCCTCTGAACTGTAACATCCCTACCCTTCATTCAGAAACATTCACTAGCAATTATTAACTGCTAAAGTGCTAGGTTTCATCAAAGTGTCTCCCTATCCTATACAAGAAATTGGCTATATTATTGAGGATGAGTAGCATAGATCAAATGTTTGCATTGAAAGTGAGAAGTACCTTGATAAGGGTAAAGAGCTCTTTATTGCATTTATGCATTTTGAAAATGTATATGATAGTGTGGAAAGTGGAGCCATGTGGCAGATTTTACCAGTGTTTGAAATAAGGGGTAGGTTACTAAAAGCAGTTAGTTTTTATGCAGAGAGTGAGACTCAGGTTTGGGTATATAGGGGGGAGGGGGCTACTTCTCAGTGAAAGTAGAACCTAGACAGGGATGTATATCACCATGGCTGTTAACACATTTATAGATGGGGTTATGAATGAAGTAAATAAATGCTAGAGTGTTAGGAAAAGTTGTAGATTAAAAGATGCTGGATCTGTTACAAAGTATGTATGTGTCATCACAGTTATTCTTTCCTAAATGTCATATTTCTGCTGGGGGATTCTGATGACAAGCTGCAAAGGTTGGTGGAAGAATTTAGGAGGGTATGTAAAAGGAAATTAAAGGTTTTCATAGAAAAGAGCAAGGTGATGAGGTAATATAAAGTCTAGACAGTAAAAGACTAAGTATCAGATTGGAGGGAGGAAATATGGAGGAAGTGGATGTATTTAGATATTTGGGAGTGGAAATATCAGTAGATTTGTCTATGAGAATCAGGTAAACCTTAGAATAAGGAACTGACTAACTGAATCTAACTATAAACTAGATGGGCTGGGTAATCACAGTCACACAGTCTTTCCCATATTTTGGTGACAAAAATAAACATCAAGCTTGTTATCCTTGAAATACGTATACTGTATCACAACATCTAATGCATTCTTGAGACAGTTCAATCATTTTTTTGTGGGTTATATAGCTGGGCTCTTACACCAAACATTGGGTGTGTTTCTTTACACCGGTTGTCTATGTTCATTCATCAGTAAAATGGGTACTAGGAGTTAGTCGACTGGTGTGGGTTGCATCCTGGGACAAAACTGACTTGACCCTTTCAGGGTTGACAGGCCCTCTCCCAGACTTGTTCTCAGGGTCACCAAATTTAAAAAAAAAAAAAATTCTTATGAAAAGATAGAGAATCTTTTCCCGATCATAATGACACCCAAAGTATGAAATTTGTTGGAAAACTTTTAGAATTATGCTCTCGCGAAGTTAGCAGTCTCGACGATGTTTACGCTTCGGCAATTTTGCCCACTTTGAGCCCTATTTTCGGCCAATTCCAGTGTACTAGTCGACAAAAATCATAACTTTCGCTAGAACTCCATGTTTTCTATCGAATGAGTACAAGAAACCACCCATTTACCAATTTCAACTATCCAATAAAGTGGTCAGAATTTAGCAATTTTGCCAATTTCACACAAATTTCAAAAAAAGCCAATTCCCAAATAGGGTCCAGAATAAACAAGAAAGACATTCCTGGCACTAAAATAACATTTCCTCTGTCCATAAGTCACGTCCCCACACCCCTCTTACATTCTTTTGCTTTTCACTTTGAATTTTTATTCTCACAAAAAATAGAAGATTTACTGTTATGCAGACTACTGCATTAGTGTAGAAATGGTATAAATAATATCAGCGCACTTGTGAAAGAATATTAGTCTCGCCAGTTGACGTGTATTGGACGCATAGCATGATTTGTTTACTTTTGAACTTTGGCAAAAATCGAAGATCTCTACAACTTTGAGCTCATTTTCAAGGTATTTTTCATTGTAAAACCAATCAAAATCGTCTCAATTTCTGTCATATGTCTTCCATTCTATAAAATGAGACCAGGAAAACTAGAATACAACAATAAATACCACATGAAAATACAGTGCAAAGTCGCTGTTTTAAACCAAAAACACTCGTTTTTTTTTCTCATTACGCACTGTGTGCTGCAGGATTTTTTTTTATACTGCTCACACTGACCACATAGACCCATTCTTTCATATCTAGGCCTGCCAGCTTTCTCTCGCTAGATTTGAGGGCGCTAGAATTTAGGCGTACTAGTACGTCAAAAACCCTGGTGCGTATGCCGTACTAGTATGTCGGAAACTCTGAAAGGGTTAATATGCCCGAAATGCTCTGCATAACAAACAGCTTTCTATATAGTAGTATGTCATTGATGTCAGCTTGGCCTGTATACCATGTACATGCACTTGTAGCAAATAAAGATAACTATTATTATTATTATTATTATTATTATTATTATTATTATTATTATTATTATTACTATTATTATTATTATTATTATTCAGTGTATCAACTAATATCTGCATATCTGATAGATTATTAGTGACAACCGGGCTGGTCGTACCATCTTGCTGACTACACATCATTTAGACGAGGCAGAAACTTTGGCTGACCGTGTGGCTATCATGAACCAGGTAAAGCTATTTCAGATTGTTAAAGATATTTTTTAATCATTATAATTTAAATATTTAATGAAAACTCTTCAGGTTAAGTAAGAAAGTTCACACTTCATTTGGAAAGTTGAAACAAAAAATAGTTTAGTGTAATGTCTCCCAGCTTGTAGAGCAAGATGATGTCAATTAGTTTAATATTTTTATTGTGCACCACATACCCATCCAGTGGGTGATAGTCAAAAGATTACAGAGGTATATAAAGGGTCAGCCTTATTTATTTTCACTTAACACTAATTTAGCAAAGATGAAAAGCAGAAAACAATCTGTTCACTGTATTTTCATTTCAAATTCTCTCTTTCCATATGGTATTAAGTAGTGGTTTGTTTTGCATTTACATTTGTAAATTTCTCATCTGTATTTTGGATTTCTAATATTAAAATTTTTAAATTATGAAATAATTTGTGTTTTGGATATTAATTTCTGTAGCTCATAAAGTTTCTGTTGCAGCATTAACAGTCATCTCCTTTACTACTTTTGTATTTCTAATATGTCTTACCTATTGTTTAGTCATGTTGAGAGTACCCCATCTATGTTTGTAAGCAAAATCTTTATAATTTTTTCTATTTATGGGGAAGGACTAAACTTGTAGGAGTCATACAGTGCCTGAGTAGTGAGAGGCAGTCAGGTTTGATCCAAGGAAGGTGAGGCCAGTTTCAACATGAGGTGCAGGCATGAATAATAGGGAGAGTGCTCCAGTGGATTAAATATTAGGGAAAGAAAGCAAAGAATAATTGTTTAGGAAAGAGTAACTAGCACCAGCCAGGCTGTGGTTCATACACTAGTTTGCATGTGGCCAGCAGTAACAGCCAGGTTGATCAGGCCCTGATCCCCCATGAGGCCTAGTCAAGAACCGAGCTGCAGAAGGATTGACCCCCAAAATACCCTCTAGGTATACTCTAAGTAGAAGGGTTGTGCAAGGATTGGTATTAGGACCAGTACTTTGGTTTATGTGAATGACATACCAGATTGGAGTTGAGTTAAATGTATCCCTATTTCCTGATGATGTAACATTAATGGGAATAAAAACAGATGAAGATAGAAAAAGGCTACAAATTGATCTCAGCAGACTGTAAAATTGGTCAGATAAGTGATTGCTTAAATTCAACCCTAGTAAATGCAAGGTTATGAAGGCTGGGGAAGGGTTCAGAAGGCCAGACATAGAGTATAGACTCTGCCAGTATGAAATCTCCACCTGAAAAACCATTTTAAGAAACTGGAGAAAATTCATAATTATGAAACAAGGCTTGATCCTGAGCTAAAGGACATGAACTACAAGGAGAGGCTAATGGAATTTAATCTAACAACACTAGGAGACAGAAGAACGGGATGGGGGTATATGATAGCGGCTTACAAAATACTCAGGGGGATTAAAAGGGTAGACAGGGACAGGATATTTGAGAGGCAAGAAAAGGGAATTTGGGGATACTGAGAGTTAGACATAGATGAGTTACAGTGATGTCAGGAAGTGTTTTTTCAGTCTCAGAGTAGTTGAGAAGTGGAATGATCTCAATGAGGAATTGGTGGAGGCAGGTTCCAAACATAGTTTTAAGAGCAGGCATGATAGGGCTCATGAGGGAGTGAATCTGGCAAGTGTTAAGACGTGGGGTCAGGATCTGAGAATCGACCCCTACAGTCACAAATAGGTGAATGCAAATAAGAGAATATACACACACATGCATGCACATACACACATACATTTGGTATGATTGAAACTCAGTTAAAATTAATAATTATAATTGTAACCTAAGGAGGGGTTTGGGATATTGGTAGTTTGGAGTGACTAAACTGTTGTATCTGGGCTGCCTCTGCAAAGACAGTGATTATGTATGAGTGATTGTGAAAGTGTTGACTGATAATGAAGTTTTTTTTTTTTTCCACCCTGCCTTGGTGGGAGAAGGCCAATGTGTTAAAAAAAAAAATGTAACCTAAATTTTGTATAATTTTCCAGGGAAGACTTTTGTGTGTTGGATCACCTCTGTCTCTTAAATCTGAGTATGGGCTAGGATACACACTCACTCTCAGCAACAGAAGTCATTATGAAGAAATCCCTATCAAGAAAATGATCCACCAATCTTTGTTATTATCTGCCAACCTGGAAGACAAACTATTACCTCCTACTGATGTAATTTTCAGTGGTAAGAATGAATCTTTAGAATACTTGCTACACTGCCAACCATTCCAAGTGTACATTATTCCTTGTAACTTATGATTTTTGTGCATCAAGTAGTGATGTGCTGAACATTAGTGATGTACTGAATATTAGTTAGCCATATCAAACCCATTACCAGATGTTTCATGCTTACAGACACAAAGGTATGAACATCTGCACCTTATAAGTCATGAAAAAAAGGTAATTCTATACTACTGTTGTGCTTCAACCCTTTTATTGATTTTATTTAATAAATGTTATTGTATGTCTATTGCACATTTCTTTGGAGTTCAGAATTATTTATTACTCATTTTAGAAAGGAGGATGCTCGTCTCTTAGCTTGGTTACTGTTAATTTCATAGATAGGGTACTGTTTCTCTCATAGATATGGTACTGTTCTTCTCATAGATATGGTACTACTACTCTCATAGATATGGTACTGCTCCTTTCATAGATATGGTACTGTTCCTCTCATGGATGTGGTACTGTTCCTCTCATAGATATGGTACTATTCCTCTCATAGATATGGTACTATTCCTCTCATAGATATGGTACTGTTCCTCTCATAGATATGGTACTGTTCCTCTCATAGATATGGTACTGTTCCTCTCATAGATATGGTACTATTCCTCTCATAGATATGGTACTATTCCTCTCATAGATATGGTACTGTTCCTCTCATAGATATGGTACTGTTCCTCTCATAGATATGGTACTGTTCTTCTCACAGATATAGTACTGTTCCTCTCAGATTAGTACTGTTCCTCTCATAGATATGGTACTGTTCCTCTCATAGATATGGTACTGTTCTTCTCACAGATATAGTACTGTTCCTCTCACAGATATAGTACTGTTCCTCTCATAGATATGGTACTATTCCTCTCATAGATATGGTACTGTTCCTCTCATAGATATGGTACTGTTCCTCTCATAGATATGGTACTGTTCCTCTCATAGATATGGTACTATTCCTCTCATAGATATGGTACTGTTCCTCTCATAGATATGGTACTGTTCCTCTCATAGATATGGTACTGTTCCTCTCATAGATATGGTACTATTCCTCTCATAGATATGGTACTGTTCCTCTCATAGATATGGTACTATTCCTCTCATAGATATGGTACTGTTCCTCTCATAGATATGGTACTATTCCTTTTCATAGATATGGTACTGTTCCTCTCATAGATATGGTACTGTTCCTCTCACAGATATAGTACTGTTCCTCTCACAGATATGGTACTGTTCCTCTCATAGATATGGTACTATTCCTCTCAGATTATGGTACTGTTCCTCTCATAGATATGGTACTGTTCCTCTCATAGATATGGTACTATCTCCTCTCATGATATGGTACTGTTCCTCTCATAGATATGGTACTATTCCTCTCATAGATATGGTACTGTTCCTCTCATAGATATGGTACTATTCCTCTCACAGATATGGTACTGTTCCTCTCATAGATATGGTACTATTCCTCTCATAGATATGGTGCTCCACCAGTTACTGAACACTATCAAGTAACATAGAGAACTTGGCCTTTGTAAGGAAGAAGAGCAATCTTCTCTGTGGGATTTAATATAAATCTTACTAATCAGAATGTTTTAAATGAACTATTATTATAATTAGGAACATACCAAACTTATAAGGGTCATAGAGCACCTGGGAAATGAGAAGCCATCAGCAGTAATTCAAGGCAGGATAACTCCAGTTCCTTGGATCAGAAACACCTCACTGGCATCAAGACACCTCTCTTGAGGGTTTATTTTAATACAGGCTTATTCTGTCTGTCTATGTCTTGAAAGGTTAAAGATTCTTTATTTCAGCATGATGCAATGTTTGTACAGAGGTGAATGACATTTAGGTGTGCATGCAGAAAGCCTCTTAATAAGCAGAGCATTTTGGGCAAACTTAAGCCTATCTCTAGATTAATAAGGTACAGTACTAACTAATTAATTGCTTAGATATACAGTCTTTTAAGCAGATGTAAAAATAAAATTAGTAGTTACAGTGAATGCAAGAGAACTGATTATCATATATATGTATATATCAAGTTAATATCCTATTATATTCAGTTGGCAGATATGATGATATGTGGGAGTTAATTAAGAGTCATGTGCCAAATGCACGTGTCTTGGAGACCATCAATGGTGAGGTGACATACACTCTTCCTCTGTGCGATACCCAGGGCAATGATAATAGGTAAGAAAAGATATTAATCACAAGAAAAATGTTCCTTGATTTCTCTTTTTATTTAGATTTTCTTGATCAGCTGTGTTTGAATTATAGAAAAAAATTGAATAGTACAGTAATAAAGAAAGATATTTATCAGTCTTTTGGAGTAAAAATAAAATTATGATTTACATCAATCCCCAAGAAATTTTCTGAATAAGGAAGAATTTTACAATGTTCTATTCCTGGTTTTCAGTTGCAATAATGATATGTGGGACTTAATTAAGACCCCCATGTTCACCAAACCCACTCCTCTTGTAGTCATCAATGTGGTTTCATTACTTTCTTCCTCCGTGCCGTATCCCACGAGGCAGGGTGAAAAGGAAAAGAAAGATAATTTATAAAAGGAAAATATGTTCCTTGTTCCGCTTTTTATTTAGATGTTCTGGATCAGATTTCTGTTTTTGGAGATAGGGGAAATAAAAGATGAATAGAAAGAAAAAGAAGAAAACAATTTATCTATGTTTGGATAAGATTATGTATTGTAAGAAAAGTTAGAAGTGCAAAACCTCAGATCTTCTTTTCAGAACGAAAAAAGGAACAGAATCTTCCCAATGTACTAACTTCGGGGCTTTCGCTTTTACAACTCATTAGGCAACTTATTACCACCCTCGCATTCTGCACCAACCTACCTCCCTTTTATACTGAGGATTTACTGGTACTTTATTAATTATCCTCTTAGAATATGTATTGGTTATTTCCAAACTTCATTTTAAAAATTTCTGCTGAAAACTTCACTACTGCACATGCTGTTGGATGAAGGAGAATATTTTGTAGTTTCACTGATAGTCTTGCAAAATATTAAAATAGTACCTTAACCCCCATTGTCTTTAACCCTTTCAGGGTCGGTGCCATACTAGTACGGCTTGCACGCCAGGGTTGGTGCCGTACTAGTACGCGTAAATCCTAGCGCCTTCAAATCTAGCAAGAGAAAGCTGGTAGGCCTACATATGAATGAATGGGTCTATGTGGTCAGTGTGCACAGTATAAAAAAAATCCTACAGCACACAGTGCATAATGAGAAAAAGAAATTCTACACTGCAAAACAGCAATTTTGCAGTGTATTTTCGTTTGGTATTTATGGTTGTATTCTAGTTTTCCTGGTCTCATTTTATAGAATGGAAGACATATTACAGAAATTGAGATGATTTTGTAAAGTAAAAGGACACAAGTGCAACTAATGTGACATTTTATTGTGGCAACATTTCGCTCTCCAGGAGCTTTATCAAGCCATTACAAACAATACATGGACACAGAGGGTATATATAGGCTCAGAGTGAGGTGCAATACTAGTGGTAGTAGTAGTAGTAGTGACAAAAGTTGTAGTGGTAGTAGTAATACAATATGGTAGAGCAATTAATTCGTATATGAGTAAAAGGATATAAAAGCTATTACTTGGGTAACATAAAAATAGGTTGGACAAATATAGACTGGATAGAGGCAGCCTGTTTCAGTGTTCATGTAATATGCTTTGTGTAGTATAACAGGAGAGACTATGTGATGGCAGGGTTTACTGTTTTCAGGAGGATTCTAGCTAAGACTTCAGAGATGGTGAAGCTGCCATTGTTTTGTTTAATTGTATTCGAAACAGCGATCAGTGCTGATTTGAGGCACTTGCATCTATGGAAGTTAGTTTCTTTGATTACTAATTGGGCGTCCCTGAATTTCATGAGATGATTGGTGGAATTTCGGTGTTGTACACAGGCGTTGCTCAAGTTATCGTTCCTACATGCGTAAATGTGTTCATTGAGGTGGGTGTTGAGGTTTCTTGCTGTTTCACCTTGTCATTGGACAAGCTACCTTTCCTCGACGTCCTCATTCACAAAGTAGACAACAACCTAAGATTTCAAGTTTATCGGAAACCTACCAATAAAAACGATCTCACACACTTCTTTTCCAGTCAAGATACCAAGACCAAAAGAGGCATCATCGGGTTTTTCCTAAGAGCATACCGAATTTGTAGTCCTGAGTTTCTTGACGAGGAATGTTCATACATTCACCAAACATTCACTGAGTTACATTTTCCTTCCTTTTTCATCAAAGACTGCAAGAAAAGAGCTCTTCAGATCATTAATTCTCCACGCACCAACACTACTTCCAACAAAGTTATAATTCTTCCCAACAGCCAGGTTGCACTAAACGTTTCTAAAGTACTTTCACAAGCTAACACCAGAGTCGCCATCGCTTCTAGAACTTCAATAAAGGATCTAACCAGGACAAAATCAAAGCACCACGAACCAGTCAACGCAGGAGTTTACACTATACCCTGTGGAGGCTATGACAAGATTTACGTAGGTGAAACAGCAAGAAACCTCAACACCCGCCTCAATGAACACATTTACGCATGTAGGAACGATAACTTGAACAACGCCTATGTACAACACCGAAATTCCATCAATCATCTCATGAAATTCAGGGACACCCAATTAGTAATCAAAGAAACTAACTTCCATAGACGCAAGTGCCTCGAATCAGCACTGATCGCTGTTTTGATTACAATTAAACAAAACAACGGCAGCTTCACCATCTCTGAAGTCTTAGCTAGAATCCTCCTGAAAACAGTAAACCCTGCCATCACATAGTCTCTCCTGTTATACTACACAAAGCATATTACATGAACACTGAAACAGGCTGCCTCTATCCAGTCTATATTTGTCCAACCTATTTTTATGTTACCCAAGTAATAGCTTTTATATCCTTTTACTCATATATGAATTAATTGCTCTACCATATTGTATTACTACTACCACTACAACTTTTGTCACTACTACTACTACTACTACCACTAGTATTGCACCTCACTCTGAGCCTATATATACCCTCTGTGTCCATGTATTGTTTGTAATGGCTTGATAAAGCTCCTGGAGAGCGAAACGTTGCCACAGTAAAATGTCACATTAGTTGAACTTGTGTCCTTTTACTATACATATTGTCAGTAATTCTACCAACTTTATTGAGATGATTTTGATTGGTTTTACATGGTATTGAGCTCAAATTTGCAGAAATGTTCGATTTTTGCCAAAGTTCAAAAGTAAACAAATTATGCCGTGCGTCCAATACACGTCAACTGATGAGTCTAATAGTCTTTCACGAGTGCACTGATGTAATTTATACCATTTCTACACTAATGCAGTAGTTTGCATAACAGTAAATCTATTTTTTTGTGAGAATAAAAATTCAAAGTGGAAAGCAAAACAAATGTAAGAGGTGCTGACGTGACTAATGAACAAAGAAAATGTTAGTTTAGTGCCAGGAATGTCTGTCTTGTTTATTCTGGAAATCGGCTTTTTTTTTTTTTTTTTCAACCCCGAGAACAAGTTTAGGAGAGGGCCTCTCGACCCTGAAAGGGTTAATCCATCACACTCACTCAGTCAGTTTATTCCCACATGATACATAATTTGTATAAAGCTGGATGACATTACATCTTTCACATTGAAAGCCTCTTAGTTATGCAGAACATTTCCAAATGAGTTATATGCTCTTTGCTCCTGGCATTTTAATAGTCCTTTATAATATGCAAGATTTGTATGTTTATTTTGCTTTGAGGTAATTTTTTTAAGTTAGTACTGTTACAGGCTGTAGATATTTTAATATGAGAATACTTACGAAATTAAAATTCCAGGCTTCCAGAAATGTTTGATGAGCTGGAAAAGCGCATGGATGAGTTAGGGTTTGCATCACTGGAAATCCATCCCACAAGCCTAGAAGATGTTGTAATAGCTCTCAACGCCACCAGTTCTAATGTTCCTCATGTCTTACAAACTCGCTCTAAGTCTAGAATGAAACCGATGCCAGAGGACGAGAGTAAGTTACAAAATTGGGTAAATCTTACCCCCTTTATTTTTACCACGTCCCCCGTCTCCCACCGAGGCAGGGTGACCCAAAAAAAAAAAGGAACATTTTCACCATCATTCACACTGTCACATAACTGCCAGAAAATAATCTCTACCTTTATATTGACAGGCAGATTAGTAATGATAGGAGGCTTGGGTGGTAAATGCAGCAGCAAGGAGACGGTTGGAGGCAGTGGAGATGTCCTGTCTAAGGGCAATGTGTGGTGTAAATATTATGCAGAAAATTCGGAGTGTGGAAATTAGGAGAAGGTGTGGAGTTAATAAAAGCATTAGTCAGAGGGCAGAAGAGGGGTTGTTGAGGTGGTTTGGTCATTTAGAGAGAATGGATCAAAGTAGAATGACATGGAAAGCATATAAATCTATAGGGGAAAGAAAGAGGGGTAGGGGTCGTCCTCGAAAGGGTTGGAAAGTGGGGGTAAAGGAGGTTTTGTGGGCGAGGGGCTTGGACTTCCAGCAAGCGTGCATGAGCATGTTAGATAGGAGTGAATGGAGACGAATGATACTTGGGACCTGACGATCTGTTGGAGTGTGAGCAGGGTAATATTTAGTGAAGGGATTCAGGGAAACCGGTTATTTTCATATAGTCGGACTTGAGTCCTGGAAATGGGAAGTACAATGCCTGCACTTTAAAGGAGAGGTTTGGGATATTGGCAGTTTGGAGGGATATGTTGTGTATCTTTATACGTATATGCTTCTAAACTGTTGTATTCTGAGCACCTCTGCAAAAGCAGTGATAATGTGTGAGTGTGGTGAAAGTGTTGAATGATGATGAAAGTATTTTCTTTTTGGGGATTTTCTTTCTTTTTTGGGTCACCCTGCCTTGGTGGGAGACGGCCGACTTGTTGAAAAAAAAAAAAAAAAAAAAAAAGAGGCTGTGATCATGCTTTAACCACCCTGTGGTGATTGTTGGGAAAAATCCACTGAACAGTAATATTAAACACTTATTACAGTAGTATCAGTTGAAAATTGCATACCATACTACTATATAGTGATAATTGTGTCATGTTTGATACTAAAATTTAGTTAAGTGTATAAAAAATATTTTCCCTAACATCATTAGTGTAATTATTTCTTTATTATTAATTTTTAACACGCTGGCCATCTCCCACTGAGGCAGGGTGACCCAAAAAAGAAACACTTTCATTATACGTAATTCACACTATCACTGTCTTGCCAGGGGCACACAGATATGACAGTTTAGATGTCACCCCAAACAGCAGGTATCTCTGATCCCTCCTAGAGAGTACTTCCCACCTCCAGGACTCAAATCCAGCAAACCAGTTTCCCTAAATCCCTTCACAAAATTACCTTGCTCACACTCCAACAGTTCGTCATGTCCCAAAAACCATTTGCTTTCACTCCTGTCTAACACATTCACACATGCCTACTGGATGTTCAAATCCCTTGCACACAAAACCTCCTTTACCCTGTGAGTTATATAGTGCTTTTTCTCAATAGTTAGACATCCACAATAAACATTATTTGCTTTACATTTGTATTACCTATTAAAATAATAAAATGCTGTATAGTATATTATTTATAATATTCAAAAGCAATTAGTGTATCGCTGCAATATTATTATGTTTATGGAATACAGTGCACTGTAAGAAGATATTTTATTTTTAAATAATATAATTATAGCTCAGGTTAGGCTATGTAAAAGAGAGGGAAATTACCTCCCAGTAAAAGTAGGTCTTAGACAGGGATGTGTAATGTCACCATGGTTGTTTAATATATTTATAGATGGGGTTGCAAAAGAAGTAAATGCTAGGGTGTTGGGGAGAGAGGTGAGATTAAATTATGGGGAATCAAATACAAAATGGTAGTTGACACAGTTACCTTTTGCTGATGATACTGTGCCTATGGGAGATTCTAAAGAAAAGTTGCAAAGGTTAGTGGATGAGTTTCGGGGGGTGTAAAGGTAGAAAGTTGAAAGTGAACATAGATAAGAGTAAGGTGATGAGGGTATCAAATGATTTAGATAAAGAAAAGTTAGATATCACATTGGAGAGAGAGAGAATGGAAGAAGTGAATGTTTTCAGATATTTGGGAGTTGATGTGTCAGTGGATGGGTTTATGAAGGATGGGGGTTAACTATAGAATTGATGAAGGAAAAAAGGTGAGTGGTGCGTTGAGGTATATTTTTTTTTATTTTTTTTATTATCACACCGGCCGATTCCCACCAAGGCAGGGTGGCCCGAAAAAGAAAAACTTTCACCATCATTCACTCCATCACTGTCTTGCCAGAAGGGTGCTTTACACTACAGTTTTTAAACTGCAACATTAACACCCCTCCTTCAGAGTGCAGGCACTGTACTTCCCATCTCCAGGACTCAAGTCCGGCCTGCCGGTTTCCCTGAATCCCTTCATAAATGTTACTTTGCTCACACTCCAACAGCACGTCAAGTATTAAAAACCATTTGTCTCCATTCACTCCTATCAAACACGCTCACGCATGCCTGCTGGAAGTCCAAGCCCCTCGCACACAAAACCTCCTTTACCCCCTCCCTCCAACCCTTCCTAGGCCGACCCCTACCCGCCTTCCTTCCACTACAGACTGATACACTCTTGAAGTCATTCTGTTTCGCTCCATTCTCTCTACATGTCCGAACCACCTCAACAACCCTTCCTCAGCCCTCTGGACAACAGTTTTGGTAATCCCGCACCTCCTCCTAACTTCCAAACTACGAATTCTCTGCATTATATTCACACCACACATTGCCCTCAGACATGACATCTCCACTGCCTCCAGCCTTCTCCTCGCTGCAACATTCATCACCCACGCTTCACACCCATATAAGAGCGTTGGTAAAACTAAACTCTCATACATCCCCTCTTTGCCTCCAAGGACAAAGTTCTTTGTCTCCACAGACTCCTAAGTGAAACCACTCACTCTTTTTCCCTCATCAATTCTATGATTCACCTCATCTTTCATAGACCCATCCGTGACACGTCCACTCCCAATATCTGAATACGTTCACCTCCTCCATACTCCTCCCCTCCAATCGATATTCAATCTTTCATCACCTAATCTTTTTGTTATCCTCATAACCTTACTCTTTCCTGTATTCACCTTTTAAATTTTCTTCTTTTGCACCCCTCCCAAATTCATCCACCAATCTCTGCAACTTCTCTTCAGAATCCCCCAAGAGCACAGTGTCATCAGCAAAGAGCACTGTGACAACTCCCCACTTTGTGTGTGATTTTTATCTTTTAACTCCACGCCTCTTGCCAAGACCCTCGCATTTACTTCCTTACAACCCCATCTATAATTATTAAACAAACCCCGGTGACATCACACATCCTTGTCTAAGGCCTACTTTTACTGGAAAAAATTTCCCTCTTTCCTACATACTCTAACTTGAGCCTCACTATCCTCGTAAAAACTCTTCACTGCTTTCAGTAACCTACCTCCTACACCATACACTTGCAACATCTGCCACATTGCCCCCCTATCCACCCTGTCATACGCCTTTTCCAATCCATAAATGCCACAAAGACCTCTTAGCCTTATCTAAATACTGTTCACATTATATGTTTCACTGTAAACACCGGGTCCACACACCCCCTACCTTTCCTAAAGCCTCCTTGTTCATCTGCTATCCTATTCTCCGTCTTACTCTTAATTCTTTCATTATAACTGTACCATACACTTTACCAGGTACACTCAACAGACTTATCCCCCTATAATTTTTGCACTCTCTTTTTTCCCTTTGCCTTTATACAAAGGAACTATGCATGCTCTCTGCCAATCCCTAGGTACCTTACCCTCTTCCATACATTTATTAAACAATTGCACCAACCACTCCAAAACTATATCCCCACCTGCTTTTAACATTTCTATCTTTATCCCATCAATCCCGGCTGCCTTACCCCCTTTCATTTTACCTACTGCCTCACGAACTTCCCCCACACTCACAACTGGCTCTTCCTCACTCCTACAAGATGTTATTCCTCCTTGCCCTATACACGAAATCACAGCTTCCCTATCTTCATCAACATTTAACAATTCCTCAAAATATTCCTTCCATCTTCCCAATACCTCTAACTCTCCATTTAATAACTCTCCTCTCCTATTTTTAACTGGAGACAAAAAACGTTATCTATGGAGGCAAAGAAGGGAATGTATGAAAGTATAGTGGTACCAACACTCTTATATGGGTGTGAAGCTTGGGTTGTAAATGCTGCAGTAAGGAGGCGGTTGATGCAGTGGAGATGTCCTGTCTAAGGGCAATGTGTGGTGTAAATATTATACAGAGAATTCGGAGTGTGGAAATTAGGAGGAGTGATGTGATTAATAAAAGTATTAGTCAGAAGGCTGAAGAGGGGTTTGGTCATTTAGAGAGAATGGATCAAAGTAGAAAGACATTTAAAGCTTATAAATCTGTAGGGGAAGGAAGGCGGGGTAGGGGTCGTCCTCGAAAAGCTTGTAGGGAGGGGGTAAAGGAGGTTTTGTGGGCGAGAGGCTTGGATTTCCAGCAAGCATGCATGAGCGTGTTAGATAGGAGAGAATGGAGACGAATGGTTTTCGGGACCTAACGAGCTGTTGGAGTGTGAGCAGGGTAATATTTAGTGAAGGGATTCAGGGAAACTGGTTATTTTTATATAGCCGGACTTGAGTCCTGGAAATGGGAAGTACAATGCCTGCACTTTAAAGGAGGTGTTTGGGATATTGGCAGTTTGGAGGGATATATTATAAAACTTTATATATGCTTCTAAACTGTTGTATCTGGGCACTTCTGCAAAGACAGTGTTTATGTATGAATGAGGTGAAAGTGTTGAATGATGAAAGTATTTTCTTTTTGAGGATTTTCTTTCTTGTTGGGTCACCCTGCCTCAGTGGGAGACTGCCAACTTGAAAAAAAAAAATATAACTGTACACATTAATTACTCCATGAGACCCATGTTATTTCTTAATTAAACTGATGATTTTCTGGTCTTATATTAGTCCTCCCAGGGAAAGAAAATATAAAGAATGCATTCAACTTCAAGCCTGAGGAGACACAGCAAGGAGTGAGACTAGGAATGCAGAGATTTTCAGCACTAATCTTAAAGAGACTCTTACACCATGGAAGAGACTGGCGTTTCTATGTCCAGGTCAGTGACCATTTCAGTAATGACATCTTTGTTGCTTTTCGGTATTGACAATAATTGCTCTTTGTTTATTCTATGTATTATAATACTGTTGTATGTTGTAATTTTTTTATGCGGTCAATCGCAGCATACTCCTGCTGCTTAAACTAGAATGTTATATTATTTCATAATATCCATAAAGTCCTACCTTAACAACATACACGAACACTGCTGATAAATGCAGATTTACTCTCGTAAATGAATTTTATTAATGCATTAGTTCAAATATTTTATTTAAATTAAACTTGTCTTGTTTGGGAACTTTGTCTAAAAACTGAATACTATCTTAGACAATTAATTTTAGCTCTTTAAGATTTATTAGCCTCTACTCCTCTTCAGACTCTTGTGCTGCCACTTCTGTTTATTGTCCTAGCAATGATTGGATCAAAGTGTCGGCCAACATACAAGAACCTACCACCTCTCACTCTCGACCCTGCAATGTATGCTCCACCTACCTCCACATTTATCAGGTGAGCTATAGTGCCCTTAACAACTACACCTGCCCTGTTAATTAGGAAGGATATACAGTGAGGGTAGGTGGATTTGTATGCATGGTACAACACTTATGCACTGATGGCTAAGTGTCAGTGCATAAGTGTTGTACCATAAATGTAATTATTTTTTTTTTTTTTTTTTTTATTCGCCGGTATTCTCCCGGCCCGGGTCTTTTCCAAGTACAGTGGACCCCCGCATAACGATCACCTCCGAATGCGACCAATTATGTAAGTGTATTTATTTAAGTGCGTTTGTACGTGTATGTTTGGGGGTCTTAAATGGACTAATCTACTTCACAATATTCCTTATGGGAACAAATTCGGTCACTACTGGCACCTGAACATACTTCTGGAGTGAAAAAATATCGTTAACCGGGGGTCCACTGTAGTGGTGACCCGGCCTTGGCTCCCTATCTGGGGAGTGTCTCGAGACTTAAGTCTCCCATGGGAGGAGGTACAGTACCTCCTCATCTTTGGGACCAAGTGTCCCCAGGCTTAGCCACATTCCCCGCCCTCACAGGGCTCGTAGGGAGAAGCTAGGCCTCTGGTCTGCCATCTACCCCGCCTCAAAGGGGCTCGTGGGGATGGCAGTCTTATGAGCTGCAGATGGTAGCAAGCTCAGCCCTCTATGTAATTATTGAAAGTTTTTAATACCAAAACTGTGGGAATGTGTAATTAGGGATTTGGGGTAACTAGTTTTGGGGAGAGGGAAAGGTGTGGGTAAGAGTTGGGAATGAGCAGTTTTGGGAAGGTATTAGTAGGCATTAGAGGATGAGTGGTTTTGAGAGGGGCTGAGTATGAATAAATATTGGTGGATGAGGGGTTTTGAGGAGATGTCAAACAAAACCAGTTGATCCAACTCTCCCTTGTCTTCCAGTCTTCTTCAACTCCCATAGAAAATAAATTTCTCATCTTGTCCCATTATATTTTTACTGTAACTAAGTAACATTATGTATCTTCACCATCTCTATTCAATCATTCCATAAAGCTGAAAATCATTGAATCAGTTTTAAATATAAAATCATACTTTTATAAGTGTACCTTTCATATATTAGCTGCCTTTCTTATTGTGCATATAATTTAGTTAACTGCATAAAAATACTACTTAATGGTCTGTGTCTAATTCTTAAGTTGTTTTTAAGCATTAAGATAGTTTGCCTGATATGCATTTGGATACTAGTGGCTTTCTTTTGTGTCTAACAATGTTTTATTACATGTAAGCTTCTTTATTTTTGTACTGCATAAAAAATAAAAGTATTTGTATATTGTGTTAGATAGCAGACTGGTTGATTTTGGTTATCCTTGCATGTACTACTAGAATAAAAGGCAATATTCTGTTTGTCATTGATTTTGTATCTGTATGACATTCACGATATTAGGTAAAAGGACACATCTGCAACTACTATGACATTCTATTGTGGCAGTGTTTTGCTCTCCAGGAGCAAAACGTTGCCACAGTAAAATGTCACATTAGTTCCACAAGTGTCCCTTTGCCTAACATTCTACCAACACAAATGGTGTGACCTCCAATACTCAGCCTGTAGTTGTTGGAGAGCCACAGGGAAATGTCCTAGGTCTTCTGCTCTTTCTTATTTACATCAATGTCCTCCCAAATACATCGCGGTTCCTTAAACCAGTTCTATTCGCGGATGACACCACTTGTCTTCTCCCACCCAAACCCGGCTATACTTAGTAACACTGTAAACAGTGAGCTACTTAAAATAACAAACTGGATGGCTACCAACAAACTTACCCTCAATATAGACAAAACCTGTTTCATGCTTTTTGGAAGCAGAGCATCAAATATCCAGCTAAACATATCGATAAATGGTTCACCCATTACAAGACACACTGAGGGCAAATTTCTAGGACTCCACCTTGACTGTAATCTTAAATTTCAGACCCACATCCAGCATATAATTAAGAAAGTTTCCAAAACAGTAGGTATCCTTTCCAAGATACAATACTATGTACTCCTTACCTTATATCACTCTAATATACCCTTACCTTACCTATGGTATTTGTGCTTGGGGATCTACCATGGCCAATCACCTCAGACAGCCCAACAAAAGGCGGTAGTGAGGATAATCACAAACTCCAGTGCCAGACAACACCCCACCTCTCTTCAAAAACATGAACTTACTTAATATCCATAAAAATATACACACTTATTATTGTGCCTACTACATATACAGAATATTAAACTCCAATATCAACCCTCCACTCAAACTTCTCCTAGACAGCTTCAACAGGACACACAGGCATAACACGAGGCACATAACACTTTTTGACATCCCTCGTGTCCATCTCACACTTTGCAAAAATGCAATGCACATAAAGGGCCCTAAGATCTGGAACTCTTTGCCTGAAGCAGCAAGAGGTCACCTGCCCACAAATCAGTTTATGATCATACTCAAAAATCATCTCATCTTTCAATAATAAACATACCCACACCATACTAAACCCCAACCAAATTCAAAGCAATTCCCCTAAATACTTTATTATCCCTTAACTATTAAGCCATTTGTACAAACTTATAATGTGTGTTTGTATCACTAATTGTACTACTGCATATTAGTAATAGAGTAAATGAACTTAATTACAAACTTAAAAATGTATGATAGATTGTATCATAAATTTTACTACCTCATATTAATAATAAAAGTGAAATATAAAATATTTGTATTCTGCCATTGTAAAAGAACCTAATTTCATACTTAAAAATGTAAGACTGACATAAATTGTACTACCTCACATTAACAATAGAGTGAAGATTGACTGTATTCTACTACTATTCACCTGTCTAAACTTAAGTAGTCTATAAGTATTAGGTTAAGTCTGTCTGAAATGCTTAGGCATGATAGTGGCTTTCTTTGCTCCATTCATACTATATGTAAACACACATTGTAACCTTAACAAAGAAATAAATATTTTATTTATTTATTTTAACATAATTACAGCACTAATCGTGTAGCAAGAATGGTGCTCAGCTACATTTTTTCAACGTTGTCATTACCTTTGCACTATATTACTTTGGTTTTACTGGTATTAATAACCTTAAGAATGTCTTCTACATTTTCAAGTCTCTAACACTTACCAAGAAACTTTTCTTTCTTAAAAAGATTGCTTTTTGTTAGATTTACTCTGCATATTTCCACTGTTAAGACTTGAAAATCCACATAAGAATCATTTTAAAGACTTCTGAATGCCTATTTACCATAGCTGCCATGTGCATTTAGAAACAGGATTATGGGAATTGACTGAAAGTATTTTTAAGTACCAGTATTTGTTTCTCACTGGCCATCAGAAGACCAAAACAAGTGAGAGTAAAATAGTGTAAAAAGAGGTTTCTTTATAGTATGTTTCACTATTTTCTTTTACTAAACCTAAATGTTTTTATTAGTTTTAAGCCTTTTAAAGATGTACATTTTCAGCTTTAAAATATGTACATTTTTACCATTTAAAGGATATACTGTACTTTTAAAAGCATATAATGAAAATGTGATTTACTCTTAAATGCATTTAATAAAAATGTGCTGATAGGTAAATAAAGTATGCAAATATGTGTTGATGCTATTATTTCACACAACCTTCAGAACCTTGGATCCTGCTTTAAAGCCTGTAGCTGAAGCATTCCTCCAGCTGTCAATTGGGAAGAGAGTCAGCACGAAAAATTGGTTCACCTGTCCCAGTTATGTTGATACTAACCCCAGATTCTCTCCGTGTAATATTTCTTCTATGGTAAGGAGAAGCAAAATGAAATTCATATGTTTTGGGAATAAAGATGCATAAGTAGACTGAAGACATTTGTTGAAAATACATTTTGCCTTCAAAAATATTTTGAATATCCATACATGTTTTTATTCTCACAGTCTGTAGAGGTTCAAATATTACAATGAAGAAATATATACATCTTTCTTCTTTCAACACACTGGCCATATCCCTCCGAGGTGGGGTGGCCCAAAAGGAAAAATGAAAGTTTCTCCTTTTACATTTAGTAATATATACAGGAGAAGGGGTTACTAGCCCCTTGCTCCCAAATATATATATATATTATATATATATATATATATATATATATATATACATAATATATATATATATACATGGTAGTAGGTTGGTAGACAGCAACCACCCAGGGAAGTACTACCGTCCTGCCAGATGACTGTGAAACAAAAACCTGTAATTGTTTTGCATGATGGTAGGATTGCTGGTTTCTTTTTCTGTCTCATAAACACGCTAAGATAACAGGGATATCTTGCTACTCCTACTAACACTTTGGTCACACTTCACAGACACGCACATGCATATATATATATACATACATCTAGGTTTTTCTCCTTTTTCTAAATAGCTCTTGTTCTTTTTTATTTCTTCTATTGTCCATGGGGAAGTGGAAAAGAATCTTTCCTCCGTAAGCCATGCGTGTCGTATGAGGCGACTAAAATGCCGGGAGCAATGGGCTAGTATACCCCTTCTCCTGTATACAATTACTAAAAAAGAGAAGAAGAAAAACTTTAAAAACTGGGTTGCTTAAATGTGCGTGGATGTAGTGCGGATGACAAGAAAACAGATGATTGCTGATGTATGAATGAAAAGAAGTTGGATGTCCTGGCCCTAAGCGAAACAAAGCTGAAGGGGGTAGGAGAGTGTTTCAGTGGGGGGAAATAAATGGGATTAAATCTGGAGTATCTGAGAGAGTTAGAGCAAAGGAAGGGGTAGCAGTAATGTTAAATGATCAGTTATGGAAGGAGAAAAGAGAATATGAATGTGTAAATTCAAGAATTATGTGGATTAAAGTAAAGGTTGGATGCGAGAAGTGGGTCATAATAAGCGTGTATGCACCTGGAGAAGAGAGGAATGCAGAGGAGAGAGAGAGATTTTGGGAGATGTTAAGTGAATGTATAGGAGCCTTTGAACCAAGTGAGAGAGTAATTGTGGTAGGGGACTTGAATGCTAAAGTAGGAGAAACTTTTAGAGAGGGTGTGGTAGGTAAGTTTGGGGTGCCAGGTGTAAATGATAATGGGAGCCCTTTGATTGAACTTTGTATAGAAAGGGGTTTAGTTATAGGTAATACATATTTTAAGAAAAAGAGGATAAATAAGTATACACGATATGATGTAGGGCGAAATGACAGTAGTTTGTTGGATTATGTATTGGTAGATAAAAGACTGTTGAGTAGACTTCAGGATGTACATGTTTATAGAGGGGCCACAGATATATCAGATCACTTTCTAGTTGTAGCTACACTGAGAGTAAAAGATAGATGGGATACAAGGAGAATAGAAGCATCAGGGAAGAGAGAGGTGAAGGTTTATAAACTAAAAGAGGAGGCAGTTAGGGTAAGATATAAACAGCTATTGGAGGATAGATGGGCTAATGAGAGCATAGGCAATGGGGTCGAAGAGGTATGGGGTAGGTTTAAAAATGTAGTGTTAGAGTGTTCAGCAGAAGTTTGTGGTTACAGGAAAGTGGGTGCAGGAGGGAAGAGGAGCGATTGGTGGAATGATGATGTAAAGAGAGTAGTAAGGGAGAAAAAGTTAGCATATGAGAAGTTTTTACAAAGTAGAAGTGATGCAAGGAGGGAAGAGTATATGGAGAAAAAGAGAGAGGTTAAGAGAGTGGTGAAGCAATGTAAAAAGAGAGCAAATGAGAGAGTGGGTGAGATGTTATCAACAAATTTTGTTGAAAATAAGAAAAAGTTTTGGAGTGAGATTAACAAGTTAAGAAAGCCTAGAGAACAAATGGATTTGTCAGTTAAAAATAGGAGAGGAGAGTTATTAAATGGAGAGTTAGAGGTATTGGGAAGATGGAAGGAATATTTTGAGGAATTGTTAAATGTTGATGAAGATAGGGAAGCTGTGATTTCGTGTATAGGGCAAGGAGGAATAACATCTTGTAGGAGTGAGGAAGAGCCAGTTGTGAGTGTGGGGGAAGTTCGTGAGGCAGTAGGTAAAATGAAAGGGGTAAAGCAGCCGGGATTGATGGGATAAAGATAGAAATGTTTAAAAGCAGGTGGGGATATAGTTTTGGAGTGGTTGGTGCAATTGTTTAATAAATGTATGGAAGAGGGTAAGGTACCTAGGGATTGGCAGAGAGCATGCATAGTTCCTTTGTATAAAGGCAAAGGGGATAAAAGAGAGTGCAAAAATTATAGGGGGATAAGTCTGTTGAGTGTACCTGGTAAAGTGTATGGTAGAGTTATAATTGAAAGAATTAAGAGTAAGACGGAGAATAGGATAGCAGATGAACAAGGAGGCTTTAGGAAAGGTAGGGGTGTGTGGACCAGGTGTTTACAGTGAAACATATAAGTGAACAGTATTTAGATAAGGCTAAAGAGGTCTTTGTGGCATTTATGGATTTGGAAAAGGCGTATGACAGGGTGGATAGGGGGGCAATGTGGCAGATGTTGCAAGTGTATGGTGTAGGAGGTAGGTTACTGAAAGCAGTGAAGAGTTTTTACGAGGATAGTGAGGCTCAAGTTAGAGTATGTAGGAAAGAGGGAAATTTTTTCCCAGTAAAAGTAGGCCTTAGACAAGGATGTGTGATGTCACCGTGGTTGTTTAATATATTTATAGATGGGGTTGTAAGAGAAGTAAATGCGAGGGTCTTGGCAAGAGGCGTGGAGTTAAAAGATAAAGAATCACACACAAAGTGGGAGTTGTCACAGCTGCTCTTTGCTGATGACACTGTGCTCTTGGGAGATTCTGAAGAGAAGTTGCAGAGATTGGTGGATGAATTTGGTAGGGTGTGCAAAAGAAGAAAATTAAAGGTGAATACAGGAAAGAGTAAGGTTATGAGGATAACAAAAAGATTAGGTGATGAAAGATTGAATATCAGATTGGAGGGAGAGAGTATGGAGGAGGTGAACGTATTCAGATATTTGGGAGTGGACGTGTCAGCGGATGGGTCTATGAAAGATGAGGTGAATCATAGAATTGATGAGGGAAAAAGAGTGAGTGGTGCACTTAGGAGTCTGTGGAGACAAAGAACTTTGTCCTTGGAGGCAAAGAGGGGAATGTATGAGAGTATAGTTTTACCAACGCTCTTATATGGGTGTGAAGCGTGGGTGATGAATGTTGCAGCGAGGAGAAGGCTGGAGGCAGTGGAGATGTCATGTCTGAGGGCAATGTGTGGTGTGAATATAATGCAGAGAATTCGTAGTTTGGAAGTTAGGAGGAGGTGCGGGATTACCAAAACTGTTGTCCAGAGGGCTGAGGAAGGGTTGTTGAGGTGGTTCGGACATGTAGAGAGAATGGAGCGAAACAGAATGACTTCAAGAGTGTATCAGTCTGTAGTGGAAGGAAGGCGGGGTAGGGGTCGGCCTAGGAAGGGTTGGAGGGAGGGGGTAAAGGAGGTTTTGTGTGCGAGGGGCTTGGACTTCCAGCAGGCATGCGTGAGCGTGTTTGATAGGAGTGAATGGAGACAAATGGTTTTTAATACTTGACGTGCTGTTGGAGTGTGAGCAAAGTAACATTTATGAAGGGATTCAGGGAAACCGGCAGGCCGGACTTGAGTCCTGGAGATGGGAAGTACAGTGCCTGCACTCTGAAGGAGGGGTGTTAATGTTGCAGTTTAAAAACTGTAGTGTAAAGCACCCTTCTGGCAAGACAGTGATGGAGTGAATGATGGTGAAAGTTTTTCTTTTTCGGGCCACCCTGCCTTGGTGGGAATCGGCCGGTGTGATAATAATAATAAAATAAAATACATAAATTAAATAGTCCTAGGTAGAAGGTTGGTGAAGGTTGGTAGACAGTAACCACCCAGGGAGGTACTACCGTCCTGCCAAGTGAGTGTAAAACAAAGGCCTGTAATTGTTTTACATGATGGTAGGATTGCTGGTGTCCTTTTTTCTGTCTCATGAACATGCAAGATTTCAGGTACGTCTTGCTACTTCTACTTACACTTAGGTCACACTACACATACATGTACAAGCATATATATACACACCCCTCTGGGTTTTCTTCTATTTTCTTTCTAGTTCTTATTCTTGTTTATTTCCTCTTATCTCCATAGGGAAGTGGAACAGAATTCTTCCTCTGTAAGCCATGTGTGTTGTAAGAGGTGACTAAAATGCCAGGAGCAAGGGGCTAGTAATCCTTTCTCCTGTATAGATTGCTAAATTTAAAAAGAGAAACTTTTGTTTTTCTTTTTGGGCCACCCTGCCTCGGTGGGATACGGCCGGTTTGTTGAAAAAAAAAAATTAAATAGTATTGGTTAGATTAAATATTATGAGTGAGTCTCATAAATATATGAATAAAAATATATAATTAAACAAAAGATGCTATATATAGGTAAAACAGGGATAGTATTTGTTAAAAGCAAGATGGGACATAATCTGTCTATAATATCTCTCAATTTCCATTATCAGGCTGCTTCATCACTGTGTAAGTGTGATGATGGACGGTGCATAGCTGATGTATCAAATCAACCAAGACTTTATGATTGGTTATTAAGGACTAGATGGCAGTATATTCAAAACAGGTAAATTGGTTTCTTTTTATAAATGGTTTATGTAAAAAATTTACATAAGATATATTGTACGTGGTGAAACACAAGCATAAAAGCATGTCATAGAAAGTTACCTCTAATGTAGGTTAGCTGGTGACTCTCAGAGTAGAATTGACTTCTCCAGGGCAGAATGTCACTGTGTTGGAAACCTCCAGACATCTGTTGAAATTATTCAAGTATTGTAATACAGGTCAGCCATAATGGATCTGGCAGTCACTAATCTGGTTCCATCACTAATCCAGCACTAATTTCAGCTACCATCATCAGGAAAAGTTTGTATACCAGAGCTTTCAAAGGTATGACAGTTTCCTGTGATTTACCATGCCAGGTCCGTCACCATACAGGTCCCATTGATGTCGGATTAGTGATGGTTGACCTGTACAGTACTGTATCTGGATTTTTCTGTGCTATTTATGCAGTACTCTTGCTTTAATTCTTTCTGCTCCTCTCATATCTTTCACACATTCCTTTTACTATTGCTTACATGGCAGCTCTAATATTGGATACCATCCTCTTTGACTTACTAAAATTTTTAGGTGTTTGATTTTTTATATCAATTTATGTACAGATATATTGTGTATTTTTATACATATATACTTCTAAGCTGTTGTATTCTGGGCACCTCTGCAAAAACAGTGATTATGTGTGAGTGAGGTGAAAGTGTTGAATGATGATGAAAGTATTTTCTTTTTGAGGATTTTCTTTCTCATTGGGTCACCCTGCCTCGGTGGGAGACAACCGACTTGTTGAAAAAAAAAAAAAAAAAATATTATGCTATTCATTGTGTGTAGTAAACCTGGATTTTTCTAATTTAGTGGCAGTAGGTATGGAGGTATAAGCCTTGGTGTGCAAGACCCTCGCTTGAGCAGTAATTGGTCCGGTGCGATGGTATGGTATGATGACTTTGGTTACCATGCACTGCCAGCCTATGTCAACATGCTGAATAATGCCCGACTTCAGAGACTTCTGGGAAAAAACTACTCAATCACTACCATTAATAAGCCAATAGTCTTTTCTAATCATGGTTTTGCAAGTATGTCAATGTAAGTGATATTATTTAACAATGTAGTTGCTGTGTATATTATTTATAAGACAAAATTAGCAATTTAAAAGTGTTATTTTATAATGCAGCCTCATCTGAGGCCCTCTTCAGCAGCTTTAGACGAGGTCAAAATATAAACAGTAGATAACTCTAAGGATTAAGTTTTCTTTAGTGAGTTTCAACTGGAAGTTACCAGTGTACTGCAATACTATTTATTTTGAATACTGTATAAATTAAAGTTAAACATGTCATATACTTAGTTCCATGTGAATTTTAAAAATCATCAATATACCATACATGTATACAGGAAATTTTAAATTTTGCATAATATTTCCAGCATTGTAAAGACTGGTAAGTACTGTGAAGTACTGTGCTCTCATACAGTAGATAATTATCTTTCTCCTTTGTGGGGAGAGGCTCTAAATTTTTCAACAGCACCTGAAGTTCACACTTTTATGGTGCCTTTGTTTTACATGTTCCTTTTCTCATTGCCTGTATAGTTGCAGATCAAACAATACTGCAAGATAACATTGAAAGCCGAATGGCCAATTTCCTCATATTTGAGGATATACTTTAATTTTTATATTTCCTGTATCTGTAGAATACAGTAATAAATCTTCATTGTAACTCAAATTTATTTCCAATGATGATATAATATAAAAAAAAATTTAATGGTCAGTAAAAATACAATATCAGTAATAGAGAACACATAAATTCATTATTTATTAATAGTAACTTTGGCCTTGACCTTTGACATTGATTACAAAATCAGACTTAATCTGTAATTTGTTATAAGTACCAGTGATTGAGTGCTGTAAATTGGGGCCTGCCTGTAATGTTAGTATGATCACAGTATTACTTTAATTTCTCTGCAGACAACAGCATGCAGCTGACCTTGGCATAGGACTACTGATCCTGGTGTCACTGACAGTAATGTGCTCTGCTACTGTGGGTTATGCAACCACTGAGAGAATAAGAGGTGAACGCAGAGTTTTATATGTTGCTGGTATCACCAGACGCACCTACTGGACTGCCAACATGGTATGGGATGTCATGGTAAGCTGAATTAAAGGAAAGAAAATGATGTTACCAATGTTATGTAATTTTAAGTCAGGTTTACCTTAGTCTTAATTTTAAGTTAGCGATAAATTGGCCTTAATTTGCCAAAAATGAATTGTATAACTAGGGATGCCATAAAAATCTCCATTGTAAAACATTATAAAGCAATGTGTCAGACTTTGCATCTTCATGGTAAATAAAGATTTCATTTTTTATGTGAAAAATATAAAGAAAGATGAAAGAGTGAAGATATGGTAAGACCCTAACTGCAGAGGATGAAAACTGATTGATATTAAAGTATAACTTATTGTAAAACTGTCTCCAATAAATTAATAATAAGCAAAAAAAATTATGTAATGTGCAAAAGGATACTGTGGTGTAAAGTTTTAAAGTAAATGATACAAGAAAAAATTCTCCTCCACTAGAGTTAAGCATAAGTGCACATTTTCCCTCTCCATGTATGAATCATAGCCTCACATTCTCTCGATGTGTGTGTGTGGGGGGGATGTATGTGTGTGTGTGTATTATAACCTCACAATCCATGTGTGGACTTGGTTCCCCTTTGCAGGTACAGTAAATCCTCATTTAACATCGTTTCACACAACATTGTTTCATTATAACACTTATGAGAAAATAAATGATTCCCAGCCAGGGCCAGTGTCTGTGTGGATTTCATACATTGATTTTTTAACTGTGTGGTGGTAAGAAGTGCTCACAATTTTTGCTTTGCAAACATTTTCTTTGTACTTAATAAATAAAAATTGTTATTACACATTGTAACTTTTGCAAAGAAGTGAAATCTTTATTCTTTTATCTTTATTTATTCTTTGATTTAACCCTCCTACAATGAATGCTAAAGGTGCACTGTGCACCCCTAATGTTTATATCAATTTGCCTGTGGTAAAATTGATTTTGTCATACAATGTTTTGCTTAAAGTTGTAGTTTTCAAGAGCCTATTAATGATGTTAAGTGAGGACTTACTGTACAATATTGATCAGGGGTTCACATTCCCTCGGTGGGTGTTGACTATTTCTTTGTATCTCTGTAACAGTCATGCCTTTGTATATTTTTCACAGATATTAATCCTGATTGTGTTTTTCCAGTAAAGTTGCTATTGTTTTTTTTTCAACATGTCAGCCCTTTCCTACTGAGGCAGGGTGGCCAAAAAAGAAAGAAAAAACCCAAAAAGAAAGATATAAAACTTTCATCATCATTCAACACTGTCACCATCACTCATACATAATCCAAACTGCCAATATCCCAATAAAGTGCAGGCACTGTACTTCCTATTTCCAGGACTCAAGTCCAGCTAACCAGTTTTCCTGAATCCTCTCACAAAATATTACCCTGCTCACACTCCAACAGCTCATCAGGTCCCAAAACCCATTTGTCTCCATTTACTCCTATCTAACACACTCACGCATACTTGCTGGAAGTCCAAGCCCCTTGCCCACAAAACTTCCTTTACCCTCCTCCCTCCAACCTTTTCAAGGACAACCCCCTACTCCTCCTTCCTTTCCCTATGGATTTATGTGCTCTCCAAGTCATTTTACTTTGTTCCATTCTCTCTAAACCGAAACAACCCCTCTTCAGCCCTCACACTAATACTTTTAGTAACTCCACACCACCACCTAATTTTGTTATTCTTTCTTTCAACACACCGGCCGTATCCCACAGAGGCGGGGTGGCCCAAAAGGAGAAACAAAAGTTTCTCCTTTTACATTTAGTAATATATACAGGAGAAGGAGTTACTAGACCCTTGCTCCCGGCATTTTAGTCACCTCTTACAACACGCATGGCTTATGGAGGAAGAATTGTGTTCCACTTCCCCATAGAGATAAGAGGAAATAAACAAGAACAAGAACTAGAAAGAAAATAACAGAAAACCCAGAGGGGTGTGTGTATATATATGCTTGTACACGTATGTGTAGTGTGACCTAAGTGTAAGTAGAGGTAGCAAGACTTACTTGTAATCTTGCATGTTTATGAGACAGGAAAAAGGACACCAGCAATCCTACCATCTTTCTTCTTTCAACACACCGGCCGTATCCCACCGAGGCGGGGTGGCCCAAAAGGAAAAACGAAAGTTTCTCCTTTTACATTTAGTAATATATACAGGAGAAGAGGTTACTAGCCCCTTGCTCCCGGCATTTTAGTTGCCTCTTACAACACGCATGGCTTACGGAGGAAGAATTCTGTTCCACTTCCCCATGGAGATAAGAGGAAATAAACAAGAATAAGAACTAGAAAGAAAATAGAAGAAAACCCAGAGGGGTGTGTATATATGTGCTTGTACATGTATGTGTAGTGTGACCTAAGTGTAAGTAGAAGTAGCAAGACGTACCTGAAATCTTGCATGTTCATGAGACAGAAAAAAGGACACCAGCAATCCTACCATCATGTAAAACAATTACAGGCTTTCGTTTTACACTCACTTGGCAGGACGGTAGTACCTCCCTGGGCGGTTGCTGTCTACCAACCTACTACCTACAAATTTTGTTGTTATAATCATTATATTCTAAAAGAAGTGTTAAATATGTTTTGATCATTCAGGTTTGCTTTTCTGGTGTTGTCTTATTAATTGCTTAATATTACTACTTCAGGTGCTGTTGATCACTGTTTTACTGATAGCTATCTTACTTGTGATCTTTAATGAGCAAATGTTCATCTGGAGGGAAAACTTGGCAGCATTCATTATCCTGTGTCTTCTATATGGGTAAGCTTTTTTTTTATTGAATTATTGTTTCTACTTGGGTTTTGCAGTATATGAGCTCTAACTATTGGCCTTATGGTTTTACATTTAGTTGAGTGATAAGAATTAGTGTATCCCTTTTGAGTTTGTAGTTTTTCTGTTTTTTTTTTTAATTCATTGCGTTTTTTGTTCCCTTGTTTGACGTAAAGTTTTCTGTTTCTTGTTTTCAACAGTGAACTTACAAAAATCCAACTAAAGTGGTCAGAGAAATTCCCCAAGTACTACTGTAATTAAAAAATTTTAAAGTTTTTTTTTTGGTATGAATAAATAAAAAAATAAATTTTTAAATTTGGGACTGCATGTAAACCCCAAGAAATAATGCATGGGGAGTAAAAAATTAAAAGACCTTCACAAAAATTTTAAGAGAAAGAATATTCAAATATTTGATACTTAAACTAAATCAAAGTTTTTTTTCCTTAAATTTCTTTTGCTTTGTCTACTAAAGACCCTAACATAAAGAATCAGTTTTTAACAAAGTTTTGTGTAAAGATTTTTAATAGTTTCGTTTTTCTTTTCCAAGGTGAGCATCCCCCACATTTATTTAGGGAAGGCTGGTTCAAACAGAAGCGCAGCAGTGTTTTTTTTTTTCGTGCAACTTTTTGGGTTTGGCGGGTTCCTCCTTGCTGGTGTTATCTGCCAGGTCATGGCGGGATCAAGGACGAACTTTAAACTTCTGTTTAAATCTTTAGATTGAACAAACCATTGTAAAGTGTGTAGGGATAACAGTGAAACACACAAAAATTTTTCTGTACAGCACATAAAAAGTTTAAAAAGGGGAAATTTAAAATTTTCACCATGCAAATGGTTTGGTCCCAAGATATTTTCCGAAAGAAAAATGGGTCAGATACGTAGAAAAAAAAAACAACACATTAAGTATTTCCCAAAGGTACTCACACAAGTCATTCTGAAAAATTTTCCAAATTCCACTGAGCTTTTTGATGCAAGATAAAAAATATGAGGGATCTCCTATTATAGTTTTTTTTTTTTTTTCAACAAACCGGAGCATCCTCCAAGGCGGGTGCCCCAAAAGAAAAAAAAAAAAAATTTTTTTTTTAAAATTTGGGAAATTTATACGGGAAAAGGGGTTTACAGAGTATAAAAATTTTTCTCCGGATTCTAATTGTCAGTTTTGTGGGTTTTTAGCAGTATTGAAAAAAACCATGGTACACCCAACCAGTTCAATTAACTTGTTTTTTGATCCATTGCTAATCGACAGTATAAAACAAACTGGGAAGAGGAAAAAAATAATTTAAAAAAAAGGCTGATCAACCTGTTTTCAACGGGCCCTTGAAAATTCAGTTTGTACCCCCCAGAGTCGTAGTTTAGTAAAAAGGGGAAAAATTTGTAAATTTTAAACCCTTATTCTACAAAACCCCCCAGGGGCAAAATAGCCCCAGACCATCCATATTCTCGGGTGGTTAAATACTGACCATCAATATGAGAGGAAGGGGGGCCCCCATAGAGGCTTATTTTTATTCAAGAGCTACAAAAGATTGACTCTTACTGAAGGGGGATTTAATGAATCCCTCGATTTTTTATTTTAGTATTATAATTGGATTAAAGTAAGGAAAGGGAAAGGAAAATCTTACCATAATAATAAATAATAAATTTTATTTTTATTACACACTGGCCGTTTCCCACCAAGGCAGGGTGGCCCGAAAAAAAAAAATTCACCATATTCACTCCATCACTGTCTTTCCAGAAAGGGGCTTTTTAATAAGTTTTTAAACCCCAACATTAACACCCCTCCCCTTTAGAGTGCAGGGGGACGTATTCCCACTCCAGGGCTCAGTCCGGCCTGCCGGGTTTTCCCCGAACCCCTTCATAAAAGTAACTTTGCTCCAATCCCAAAAGCACGCAAGTATTAAAAAACCCTTTGCTCCATTCATCCTATCAAACGCCTCCGCATGCCGCGGAAATCCAAGCCCCCGCACACAAAACCTCCTTTTCCCCCTCCCCCCAACCTTTCCTAGGCCGACCCCCACCCCCCTTCCTTCCACTACAGACTGAACACTTTGAAGTCATCTGTTTTTTGCTCCCTTCTCCTACATTCCGAACCACCTCCCCCTTTCCCCAGCCCCTGACAACAGTTTTTGGGATCCCGCACCTCCTCCTAACTTCCAAACTACGAATTCTCTGCATTATATTCACACCACCATTTCTCTCAGGGCTGACATCCCACTGCCCCCTTTTTCCAGCTGCAACATTCATCACCCTGCTTCAAACCCATAAAAGGTTTGGGAAACTATACTCTCATACATTCCCCTCTTTGCCTCCAGGCAAAGTTTTTTTGTCTCCCCAGACTCCCAAGTGCCCACCACTCTTTTTCCCCCCATCAAATTTTAGATTCACCTCATCTTTTTATAGACCCATCCGCTGACTGTCCACTCCCAAAAATCTGAAAACATTCACCTCCTCCATACCTCTCCCCCCAACTGAATTCAATTTCATCACCTAATCTTTTTGTTATCCTCATAACCTTACCTTTTCCCGTAATCCCTTTTAATTTTTTTCTTTTTACACCCACCAAATTCTCACCAATTCGCAACTTTCTTTAGAAACTCCCCAAAAGCACAGTTCATCACAAAGAGCCGCTGTGAAACTCCCACTTTGTGTTTGGATTCTTTATCTTTTTAACTCCCGCCTCTTGCCAAAACCCTCGCATTTACTTCTCTTACAACCCCCTCTATAAATATATTAAACAAACCCCGGGGACATCCACATCCTTTCTAGGGCCCTTTTTTTGGGGAAAAAATTTCCCCTTTTTACATCCCAACTTGAGCCTCACATCCTGTAAAACTCTTATTGCTTTCGTAACCTACCCCCTACACCATACACTTGCAACTCGCCCCAAATTTCCCCCCTATCCCCAAACCCCGTATACCCTTTTCCAAACCATAAAAAGCCACAAAGACCCCTTTAGCCTTATCTAATACTGTTCACTTAATGTTTCCTGTAAACCCGGGCCACACACCCCCTACCTTTCCTAAAGCCTCCTTGTTCATCGCTACCTACCCTCTTACCTTAAACTTTCAATAATAACTCTACCATACACTTTTACCAGGTATACTCACAGACTTATCCCCTATAATTTTTTCACTCTCTTTTTTTCCCCTTTGCCTTTAACAAAGGAACATGATGCCTCTGCCAACCCTGGTCCTTACCCCCTTCCTACATTTTTTAAATAATTGCACCCAAACCCCTCCAAAACATATCCCCACCTGTTTTTTCATTTTACTTTACCATCAATCCCGGTGCCTTAAACCCCCTTTCATTTTCCACTCCTCACGAACTTCCCCCACATCACAAAATGCTCTTCCTCACTCCTACAAGAGTTAATTCCTCCTTGCCTATAAAGAAATACAGCTTCCCTATCTTCACAACATTAAAAATTCCTCAAAAAATTCCCTCCATCTTCCCCTACCCTTAACTCCCTTTAAAAATCTCCTCTCCTATTTTTTTAAATACAAATCCATTTTTTCCGGCTTTCTTTCTTGTTTTAAACCACCCAAAAATTTTTTTTTTGTTTCAACAAAAATTTTTTTTTATAACATCTCACCCCTCCTAAATTTTCTCTCTTTTTACATTTCTTCACCCCTCTCTTAACCCCTCTCTTTTTTCCTTCTCTTCCCTCCTTGCATCACTTCTCTTTGTAAAAACTTTATATCTAACTTTTTCTCCCCTTTCAAAATCTCTTTACATCATCATTCCACCAATCGCTCCTCTTTTCCCTCCCCGGCACTCCACTTTCCTGTAACCCGGGGGGACAAACTTTCTGGCTGAACAATCTAACACTACATTTTAAACCTACCATACCTCTTCAACCCCATTGCCTTATGCTCTCATTTAGCCCATCGATCCTCCAAAATTTAAGCTGTTTATATCTTACCCTAACTGCCTCCTCTATTAGTTTTATAAACCTCACCTCTCTCTTTCTTCCCTATGCGTCTATTCTCCTTGTATCCCATGTAATCTATACTTTGACTCTTAGTGTACTACAACTAGAAAGTGATCTGATATATCTGTGGCCCACTCATAAACATGAACATCCTGAAGTCTACTCAACAGTCTTTTATCTACCAATACATAATCAACAAACTACGTCATTTCGCCCCTAAAAACAAAAAAATCATAACTTGTATACTTAATTTATCCTCTTTTTCTTAAATATGTATTACCTTAACTAAACCAAACCCCTTCTATACAAAGTTTCAATCAAAGGGGCTTCCCATTATCAGTTACAAAACCTGGCACCCCCAAACTTACCTATCCACACCCTCTCTAAAAAAAGTTTTCTCCTACTTAGTCATTCAGTCGCCTACCACAATTACTCTCTCACTTGGTTTCAAAGGCTCTCCGATACATTCACTAACATCTCCCAAAATCTCTCTCTCTCCTCTACATTCCTCTCTTCTCCAGGTGCATACACGCTTATTATGACCCACTTTTCGCATCCAACCTTTACTTTAATCCACATAATTCTTGAATTTACACATTCATATTCTCTTTTCTCCTTCCATAACTGATCATTTAACATTACTGCTACCCCTTCCTTTGCTCTAACTCTCTCAGATACTCCAGATTTAATCCCATTTATTTCCCCCCACTGAAACTCCCCTACCCCCTTCAGCTTTGTTTCGCTTAGGGCCAGGACATCCAACTTCTTTTCATTCATAACATCAGCAATCATCTGTTTCTTGTCATCCGCACTACATCCACGCATATTTAAGCATCCCAGTTTTATAAAGTTTTTCTTCTTCTCTTTTTTAGTAAATGTCTACAGGAAAAGGGGTTACTAGCCCATTGCTCCCGGCATTTTAGTCGCCTCATACGACACGCATGGCTTACGGAGGAAAGATTCTTTTCCACTTCCCCATGGACAATAGAAGAAATAAAGAAGAACAAGAGCTATTTAGAAAAAGGAGAAAAACCTAGATGTATGTATATATATATGCATGTGCGTGTCTGTGAAGTGTGACCAAAGTGTAAGTAGGAGTAGCAAGATATCCCTGTTATCTAGCGTGTTTATGAGACAGAAAAAGAAACCAGCAACTACAACTCTGTTAGAAAACCAGTACTTACCTATGTCCTTTCTAAATCTAAATTTATCCAACTTAAATCCTATGCTGTATATTCTACAAGATTGATGGACGTTGTAGACGTTTCGCCACTGGATGGCGAAACGTCTACAATAAAGATACCCAGATGTTGCACATGTAATAATAATAATAATATAATAATATCTTTATTTTACTACAAGTACATGTACAGGGTATACAGTCCTAGCTGATTACAATGACATATTACTATATAGAAAGTCCCTTGTTATGCTCCGGAGGCATTTCGGGCAAATTAGGTCAGTGTCCAAGGATGCGACCCACACCAGTCGACTAACACCCAGGTACCCATTTTACTGATGGGGAACATAGACAACAGGTGGAAAGAAACACGTCCAATGTTTCTACTCCGGCTGGAAATCGAACCCAGGCCCTCGCCGTGTGAAGCGAGAGCGTTAACCACCAGGCCACCAGAGTCATGAACATATATTTTACCCTCAACTTTAAGGAAAGATACCTGATAATACAGGTTGGCCATCACTAATCCGGCATCATTGGAACCTGTAGTGTGCTGTATTAGTGAGTTTGCTGGATTACAAAGTGGTTAGGTTAGAATACACTTAATTAACCTTTCTGCTACATCTTCCTCATTTTCATCACTGCTTTCTCCTCCACTGGATTGCTGCTGTGGATTTACAACCATCTGCACAATTTCTGATTCAGTATAATGATGAAATGAGTCAATATAATGATGAAATTTGATTCAGTATAATGATGAAATTTGAAATTGTGCTAGCTGAAATTAGTGCCGGATTACTGATGGAACTGGATAACTGATTGCCGGATTAGTGATGGCTGACCTGTAATAACACCCTAGTATAGTATAAACATTTTAATTCATGCATACTGACTGGCCTAGAAGAAAGGTCTTTGACAGTGTGACATTTAACATTGATGAATGACTTCAAGGTAATTAAAACTATCATATTGTATAAAATTTAAGGTAATTAAAACTTTCATATTATTGATGTAATATTGTATAACCCACCAGGAGCTGAAGTTTGAATTTGGATCTTCAGTGATTGTAAGTAAAGGAGTAGGCTTTGTGTCATGCCAGATGTTGCAGATCCTCCAGTATTTACTTGCTTCTTAACATACATATGTGCTTGCTTCTACTAATATTTAACTAATTATTTATGGCAGAATTTGCCAGTCTTAAAAGATCGTAGTCTTCAGATGGTGATTTTAGTTATCTTTTGATTTGTGTAATGTTTCTCTAATTGTCTCTTCTCTTAATATTTGGAAGTAAAATGACTAATTTTCTGTATAGTTTTGAGGAGTGATATACAGTAGATCAGTAGTACCATCTTCCCTTCAGGGAAGATGGTATTAGATTTTTAACAGTCTGAGAGGATTACATAATTTTTCATGGCCTCTGTTTTGTAGTCTTTTTTTTCTTATTGTTTAAGTGCCAGATCGAACAAGATCACCATATAATACTGTAAGCCAAATAACTGACAACCAAATAAACAGTGATCCACTGTACATGCAAAAAGTAACAAATGAAAAAATACTGAATATCTGTATATATTTACTATGTAAAAGTAAAATTGAGACTAGGGTGCATTAGAATGAGAAATAGCTGGTTTAATGAATACCTGGATGGGAAAGAACATGTAATTATAGCATTTCATGAAGTCTTATCATAGCAAGTTAGCATCTGGGAGCAAGTGTTGATGTCTCATTGAATGTTGCCATCCCTCTGTCCACAGAGATTCACACAGGTGCAGATGTAATTGTTAAAGTTAATAGAGGGTCAGTTACCATACTGGTGCATGCCATGCATCAGTATAAAGACTTTAGTGATGATTTTGTAACTCCCTGCCCTTTGCTGGCATATATATTCTATGGAATGATATATGAAGCCTGAGGAAGAGTGATCACTGGTCACATTTTAATGTAAATGTACTATAATGCAATATAATTGTACAAAATGCTAGAAACTTCCAATAACAAATATATAAATCGAAAAGTAGATTAGATTCTGATTTATACGTTCGGTCTCTGGAATACTGTAATGAGGTTCCCACTGGTGAGAATCATTGATATTTCAGGTTTAATCATAGTGAAACTGTGTGAACCTCCTAAGATCAGTGAGGATAATGTAATTAACAACTGGAAACAGTGACTACTATCTCAGTTATTGATGGCAAGCCTGTCAAAAATAAGCCTGATTCCCAACATAGTTTGCAATGTGAAGCCAAAGTTTAAAAAGGATTTGTGTATGTAGATGAATGTCCTGTAGCTGGGCAAATTGATGGATGAGTCAGGCTTGTATAGACATTCAGGCAAGCATGAGAAATATCAGAGGTATTAGCTGCAAGTGTGATGTTTGTGTGTTCTTTTGCAGTTTTCCAGGAAGTGTCTTAGGTCAGCCTCAGCATTACAGTGAGCATTTTGAAAATGTGTAGAAGACAGTAGTATTTATAGCATTAATATTTAATAGGTTTAGTGGAGTTGCTGACTATTCATGTTTTGATAGTTTTATTATTTATTGCTGTATATTTGTCCTACTTCTTTCACACACAGACTATGGTAACTATAACCACTACATTAATGCTAAATAAATTAAGACTTCAAAGATTCAAAATTTTGGAAAAAAATTAGAAATAGTACAGTACAGTATCAAAAATTAAAAAATGTTTTCTTAATTAAAATTTGTAATTTTATCATATTCTGAAAAAAAATATTTACAGAGATCATATGGATGTTTGGATTATCATTATTATAATCATGGGGGAGCACTAAACCCAGAGGATTATGCAGCTCATGTGGGGGGGGGGGGGGTATGGAAGGCATTCAGGCTCAATTCAGGGAACTGGAGCACAGATTCAATTCCCTAGATCAAGAGCCCCTACCAGCATCGAGGAACCTCCCTTGAGGGGACGGATGTTTGGAAAAAGGCAATTTTTCGTGTGAAGATCCCAAAGTATTAAGCATTTATTTTAAATAAGTATGTGATTAGTACTAGCCAGCAATTTAAATTAACTTTTCTGTTCCATACATCTTGTTAGTTCACTCTTCATCTTTGTGCCTCTCTTTGGAAAATGTTGCAGATACTGGAAGACATTGCAGGAGTATTGAAGTATATATGTCTGATCTTTCCTCCCTTCTCCTTTGTCATTGGAATCAAGGATATGGCTGTTAGTTTTACCAAGGTAAACAGATGTGTATTTTTTTTTATAAATAACCAAGTGGCATAATAATATTATCACTATTATTATAACATTTTATTTTTATTTTATTATCACACTGGCCGATTCCCACCAAGGCAGAATTTTGATCATATTGAGAAAATTTATTCATCTCTAATAACATTAATTTAGAAATAACATCCACTCACTTTTTTAATGGAATGTGTATTTGCCACACTTGTAGGAAATTATCAATATGTATAAATAAGGTCAAGTACTGAAATTTACTTAATTTTCCTTCTGAAACAGGCATCCATAATGTCTCATTTTGATATGGACATATATATGTCACCCTTCTCATGGGACACCAAGATGCAGGGAGGACTGGGCCTACACTATTTGAGTCTGGCCCTATGGATGATAGTTGGCACTGTGGTCCTCCTCTGCTGGCATGAGTGCTCAAGAGCAGTGCCTCAGTCTGCAGCTCCAACCAAAAACTTGGCTGGGGCAGAAGAGGATAAGGATGTGGCAGCAGAGAGAATTAAGTATGACATTTTGACTTAAATTATTATTATAATCAAGGGGGAAGCATTAAACTCGTAGGATTATAACAGCACCTGTGTGGGGGGGGGGGGAGGATGTGGAAGGTATTCAGGCTTAATTCAGAGAACTGGAGCACAGACCCAAGTCCATAGATCAAGAGCCCCTCACCAGATTCAAGGAACTTTTCTTGAGGGGATTTTGACTTAAAGTAATTTTACAGAAAGATTCCTACAGATTAGCACATTACCTGAAAAACTAATATCAGATTTGCTTTTAATAAATTAGGAGTGATATACTAAATTAGTCTGTCATGGGATGTACTTTCTTGTGATCTATGATTTTCTGAATAAAATTTCCATTTTTGCACCTTAACATAGAGAAGGTACTGGTAAGAGAATATACATATATGTTAATTCCATAATGTCTATTTACTACTGTACATAACACATGCTTGGCAGAATCCAGTGTGGTGGAACATCACTCTATGACACTGTGTTGCGGCTGGTGGGCCTTGGTCGTGATTTTACCTCTCCTCCAACAACAGCTGTCAGTAACCTCTTCCTAGCTCTCAGACGTGGTGAGGTAAGTTACTCAAAAATAGTTTTTTCTAGTGGAACAGTTAAAAGTTGTTGAGCATACTTAATCTCTATTCAATATCAAAAGATGGATATTTTTTCATATAGTTCAGCTCCAAGCTAGGTATGATGACACAAAAATGAAAACATTTACAATCACTTCCTGCCTTGTTGTATTTCCAGTAGAAGACAGATATGATTAAATTATGGCCCACTGAACTGTAGCATCCCCACCTGTCCTTCCAAGTTGAAGCACAGTGCTTCACACCTCCTGAATCCCTCTCAGTATCTTAAATCCAAAAATCACTTGCCATCACTCTGATGTAGCATGCTCTGTATTGCTATTATCATTATGTTCATGAGTAGGTATTAAACCAATTTGGGTCATATAGCACCAGTGGAAATGGGAAATAATCAGGTCTGATCCAAGAAAGGGAAGGGTAGTTCCAATTCCTCAAATTAAGAGCCCTTCAACTATTAGGCACCACACCTCTTGAAGGTAATGCTTGCTTTTATAACTCCTTTTCAAAGATCCTTCTTCTCTCTTTTACATACTCATTATGAGCACTTTTCTTTATCCTGTCTTTTCAACACATTCTTTTAACCATTTGTTTTTCAAAGACTTAAATTTTTGTATATTGCTTTGTGCCTTATACTAATATCTTAATTTATGAGCCTTGTAATATTTTCTTTATTTTACTCTCCTCTAACCTGTTTTAAAGTTTGCACAATTTTTAATTTGTTGCCCAGCCTATATTGTTTGTGTTGTAATTTTTCCTTCATAAGTCATTCCTTTGAATGAGTGATGATAAATGTGGTTCCTTCTTTGGGCCATCCTAATTGATGAGGAATTGTCATGTGGAAAAAGTTATATCTTGTAACATTTGTTACCTCCAAAAGGACATAATTGATTTTGCTAATTTGGTTTAGATAATCTACATTAAGAATTTCTTCTTTCTAATAAATAGAAGGTCTAGTATTGATGTGTTGCTTTCTTTCACCTAAGGCACTTATTTAATGGACTGGTGCATCGAATAAGTGTTTGAGCTTGTTAGATCAGAGTGGGATCAAGTGTATTTTAGGGTTTGATGTGTTGTTGGAGTGCAAGTAAAATAACATTTGTGAAGGCTTTCAGGGTAAACCAGTCAGCTGGACTTGGGCCCTGGATGTGGGAAGTACAATACATCACTTTGTAGGAGTGGAGATGTTGCTATTTTGAGAGTCGTTTGAACTGTGATGGCTGTACACTTCTAAGACAGCTATTGCATTAATGATTGTGAATGTGTTTCCCATTTTTGGGTTACCATATCTTGATGGGAGACTGCTGATGTGGTAAAAAAAATTAGTCATTCATCATCTTGAGGAAATTTTTTATAAAAAATTGTATTTGTCTTATATAAGAATGTTACCCCTCAGTGTTTCAGTTTGCTTGGGCTGAATGGTGCTGGTAAGACCACAACCTTCCGTTGTCTAACGGGTGACCTGCGACCAACTAGAGGGCAGATATTGGTGAATGGGCTGATCTTAGAAGAAGCTCTGGCCTTACCTTATCCTATTATGGGCTACTGCCCACAGAGTCATGCCCTCGACCCTAATCTAACAGCAAGAGAGGCATTATTTATCATGGCACTAATCAGAGGGTTCCGCAGCAGTGACATTACTCCAGTAAGTGTAGACATATATTGGAGATATCTTCACTTAGTTAAGAATCTCAGTGTTACAGATATCGGACATTTATTTCCTGGGTTTTTTCTTAGTGTTATGGTATTGTAATAAAATTGTTTATTTGAATTTGTTGCTCACTGTTTGCAAGTGCTGATTGCTTCAACATTTTAAATACTGTATCTCTAAAATTTATAAGTGTTCTTTGAAAACTTGATGACTTACAAGGGACAAATTATCTTGCAAAGTTCTCTATGATGCTGCTGCCTCAAGTAAGAAGTATTTCCAATAAGACCAGCTTATAAAAAATGTTTACCAGTAATTAAATAAAGGTATTGTATTCATTATGGTAACAGAAAACAAATTGTCAACAAAATGTGTCCACATTACTTTTATTATTTTCAATTTTGTATTTGCTCTTTTTTTTTCACTGTATTACATCTTGATATATGATCTATAACATAACTTCAGGTATTAGATCGAGCCATTAAGGAGCTGGGACTGAGTGAAGAGGAGAAAACATACATACATCAGCTATCTGGTGGCACCAAAAGGAAGGTGTCCACAGCCATGACACTGCTGGGTAATCCACTGCTTGTGCTGCTCGATGAACCCACCACGTCAGTATTTTACATATCTTATTTTGGCGTTGTGAAATAGAAAACTATTGTATTTTTAAAAATAGTGTTGGCATGTTTATATTTTGAAAGAGGATTAATGTCATCTTGCCAAAAAGTATAGTACCATATGATGCACAAGTAATATATTAACGTTCTGTGTTGCAGTCTTGTTATGCTGGGCTTTATTCAAGTTTTAAGGTCAATACTACAAGCTAAATATCTTAAAAAAAAAAATACTGTGTACATACAAACATATATACACACACACATGCAGGAGCTATGACTCAACTCCTACAACCACAGTTCGGTTAAGTACATACATACAGACATATGTACATGCATATGTATATACATACTGGTTACTAAACACATGCTGATGGAATAACAAATACTGTAAGTGGGAGGAGTGGCACGAAAGAATCAGAGGCATCACCGGACATCATAGTTCTCACTAAAACCAAGCTCACAGGAATGATAACAGATGCCATCTTTCCAACAGGATATCAGATCTTGAGGACAGATGGGGTGGAAGAGTGCCACTGCTCATCAAAAACCAATGGGATTTTGATCAGCTAGAGACAGAGGAGAAGCAAGAGACTATATAATAGGAACACTTCAGTCTGGAGGTCCCAAGGTGGTAATTGCAGTGATATATAACCTACCACAGAACAGCAGGAGGCCAAGGCAAGAATATGATGAGAGTAACAGAGCGATGGTTGACACTGGTTGAAGTGGCCAGAAGGCCAAAGCTACTGATTGTGGGTGACTTCAATCACAAAGAAATTGACTAGGAGAACCTGGAGCCACATGGGAGCCCAGAAACGTGGAGAGCTAAGATGATGGAGGTGGTACTGGAAAACCTCATGTACCAACACGTAAGGGACACTACCAGAGAGAGAAGAGGACGAGCCAGCAAGACTGGACCTAGTATTCACCTTGAGTAGTGCAGATATTGAGGACATCATATATGAAATACCTCTCGGCCAGTGACCACATGGTTCTGAGCATCAAGTACACAGTAGAGTTACAAGTGGAGAGGGAAGCAGGACGAATGAAGCCAAACTGCAAGAGAGGCGACTACACAGGCGTGAAGAATTTCCTGCGTGAGGTTCAGTGAGACAGAGCACTGTCAGGAAAGTCAGTAAATGAGATGATGCAAGGAAGCTGAGGAGAGGTTTGTACCCAAGGGTAACAAAAATAATGAGAAGGCCAGGACAAGCCCTTGGTTCACTCAAAGGTGTATAGAGGCCAAAACTAAGTGTGCTAGAGAATGGAAGAAGTATAGAAGGCAAAGGACCCAGGAGGAATAAGGAGAGCAGTCATAGAGCCAGAAATGAACATACACAGGAAAGAAGGGAAGCTCAACGACAATTCAAAAATGACATAGCAGTGAAAGCCAGATCTGACCCAAAGCTGTTGTATAGCCTCATCAGGAGGAAAACAACAGTCAAGGACCAGGTAATCAGGCTGAGGAAGGAAGGAGGGGAGATCACAAGAAACAACTGAAAAATATGTGAGGAGCTCAACATGAGATTCAAAGAAGTGTTCACAGAGGAGACAGAAGGGACTCCAGAAAGACGGAGAGGTGGAGTACACCATCAAGTGTTGGACACAATACATACAACTGAGGAAGAAGTGAAAAGGCTGCTAAGCGAGCTAGATACCTCAAAGGCAATGGCGCCGGATAACATCTCTCCATGGGTCTTGAAGTAGCAGAGGCGCTGTGTGTGCCAGTAACAACAATCTTCAAAACATCTATCAAAACAGGGTGACTACCTGAGGTATGCAAGACGGCAAATGTAGTCCCAATTTTTAAAAAAGGAGACAGACACGAAGCATTAAACTACAGACCAGTGTCACTGACATGTATAGTATGCAAAGTCATGGAGAAGATTATCAGGAGAAGAGTGGTGGAGCACCTAGAAAGGAATGAGCTTATCAGTGACAATCAGCATGGTTTCAGGGATGGAAAATCCTGTGTCACAAACCTACTGATGTTCTATGACAGGGTGACAGCAGTAAGACAAGAGAGAGAGAGGGGTGGGTAGATTGCTGTAAGAAGGCTTTTGACACAGTTCCACACAAGAGATAAGTGCATAAGCTGGAGGACCAGGCAGGTATAACAGGGAAGGCACTGCAATGGATTAGGGAATACCTGTCGGGAAAACATCAGCGGGTCATGGTACGTGACAAGGTGTCAGTGGGCACCTGTGACAAGCGGGACCCCACAGGGGTCAGTCCTAGGACCAGTGCTGTTTCTGGTATATGTGAACAACATGATGAAAGGAATAGACTCAGAAGTGTCCCTGTTTGCAGATGATGTGAAGTTGATAAGAATTCAGTCGGATGAGGACCAGGCAGAACTACAAAGGGATTTGGACAGGCTGCAGGCCTGGTCCAGAAACTGGCTGCTGGAGTTCAACCCCACCAAGTGCAAAGTCATGAAGATTGGGGAAGGGCAAAGAAGACCACAGACGGAGTACAGTCTAGGGGGCCAGAGACTACAAACCTCACTCAAGGAAAAGGATCTTCGGGTGAGTATAACACCAGGCACATCTCTTGAGTTGCACATCAACTAAATAACTGCTGCACCATATGGGCACCTAGCAAACCTACGAATAGCATTCCGACATCTCAATAAGGAATCATTCAGGACCCTGTACAATGTGTATGTCAGGCCTATATTGGAGTATGCAGCACCTGTTTGGAGCCCATACCTAGCCAAGCATGTAAGGAAATTAGAGAAAGTGCAAAGGTTTGCAACTAGTCCCTCCTTGGCGTGGTGAAGAGGCTCTTGGTCTGAGGAATTAGACCTGTCGGTCTCTTTCCTCAGACCGAACCTAATTATCCCCCCTTCCCTATCCCATCCTCCCCTTTTTCCTTTCCTCCTCCCCCTCCCCACCCCTCCCTTTTGCCCTTCCTCTTTTTGGCCTTTGGGATTTTTCCCACAGGCGCGCTAGTTCCTAGGTAGGGGAAAGGGTACCGGGGTCCATCCCATTCTGTTGAGGTTCTTGGCGGTGGCGTAGTTTGCCGTGGAATCTGGATCGCCTGGGGATGTCCCGATCCCTCTCCGGTATCCCAGAGAGTGGCTTTGGGTGTCTTTCGGGCGATGGGTGTATCTCTGAAAGCCACCTTTCGGATTCCGGGGGTGGTGGCCGAAGGAGGTATGCTTTGTGGCGGATATCTGGCCGCCCTCTCTTTTGTCCACTGAGGTAGCTCGGCAGATGTGAAGTTGCTATCCTGGATTGCTAGTTTACTGGCATGATGGGTAGGGTATGGCACGGGTTCCATGCTGCATCTATGCTACTTGCGGTGCTGAGGTCCTCTTGGGCGCGGAGGGAGATTTCTGGCCCTTTCATTCCTCCTGGGAACTATCCCTCCCCGGTCCCCTCTTTTTTTATTCTTTTTTTATTTTTATTTTCTTCTTTCTTTTTTTCTTAAAAACAAAAAGAAAGAAGTAACCTAACCATGGAGAACCCAATCCATGAACCTGGTACCCCCGGGCCCCTTCTTGATACTGCACCCCGCCTCGTCTTTGGACCACTCTTCGGATACTCCTCATGCCTCTGTACCTCTTGCCGGTGCTGTTTCCTCACCCGCTTCAGGTACTGAGGTCTCGACTGACTCCTTTGATTTATCTGACCTCCGCTCTCCTTTGACTATGCTTCCAGCCTCTCCTTCTATGGTGTGGCAATTTTCGAATCACCGGCCCATTCCACGTCGGACCAACTCTGGTTTCATGCCTAAATGCCAACGACAATTACCTGCTGATGATACTTCTCCACCTTCTCGTTCTTCTCAGAAAAGATCGACACGTCCTGCACTCCCTTTCTACGCTCAGTTTCAGACTGCACAATGGACTAAATTCTTCACTTTACGACCGACTTCCTCTACCGCCTATCTTTCCGACCACAGTATTGGCAAGGGACTCCTACGCCATGTTGGTAAAGATATTTCTTTTCATGCTCTTAAGAGCGGTACGCGCATCATCACTGTACAGAATGCTACCCAAGCTCATGATCTTTCTCTTCTTTCCCATATAGATACTGTTCCTGTCACTATTGAAAAACATCATTCCCTCAGTTCTTGTAGTGGTACCGTAATTCTGCCCCATACCATAGTTCAACAAAATTTCGAGACATGTGGCAATGACATTCTTGAACAGCTGGAACTCCAAGATCTCCCAATCCTCAAGGTAGACACTTATGTTCTTCCTGCCCACAGGCGGAGACGATACCCTAGCAATGTGGCTCGTTTAACTTTTGACAGCCGTGAACTCCCATCCTCAGTTTATGTAGCAGGACATCGGTTACAAGTTCGAAAGGTGATCCCTACACCGCAACAGTGTAGAAATTGCTGGCGATTTGGCCATCCAGCGAAATATTGCAGATCCATGGCCGAATGCCCAGTCTGTGGTGCCGATGACCATTCTAATACGTCTTGCAATTGACCTCCCTCTTGCCTTAATTGTCATGAGGCTCACCCTTCGTACTCTCGCCATTGCCAAATCTACTTAAATGAGCGGGAAATCCGTTACCTCCAAGAGGCAGAAGGTCTCCCTTATGCCATGGCAGTTTCTCATCTCCGCCTCCAAGGGAGACTACCTCGTGTTTCTTATTCCCGTGTTTCAAAACGTCCCCCCACTTCTGGGGTCCCATCTTCTGCAACCTCCTCTGTGGTTACCTCTCCCATAGTCCTCCGGGATCTAATTCTTTTGTTTGCCCTAGGCTCAGACATCCCTACTTCAACGCCTCAGTCTGTTCTCGCTTCTTCGTGTTCTCCCTCACAAGCCTCAGTATCGACGAGACCTCGTACGACACCTCCTCCCAATCGTCCCTCTACTTCTCAGAAGTCAAAAAAAGGTCCTTTTAAACCCCCTCCTTCCCTTCTTCCACCACCTCATTTTACCTTCCCCTGTCTCTGTACCGGGTTCTTCCCCTCTCACTGGCTCTGTTACAAAGTGTAGAGGTTCACCTTCCTCCTTGTTACTTTTACTACCT